TCATCTCGGAGCTGTCCCAGCTGGGAAGAGGCGGAGGACGATGCGGCCGGGGCTCTGGTGGTCAGGAGAAAGAGAGCCCCCATTTCTGGCAAGGAAACTTTGATCTAGTCAAGTCACGAGAAAGCTAGAACCTCAAAATGGTCAAAACGATTGGAGGATAATTTGCCTTGAAAATTCATATTACTTGCAGTTAATTTAATGAATGGACTATTTCTAGATGGCAAGCACTCCAAAAAGGCTCAAATTTTGTGCGTATGATAAAGCGCTAGTCATTACCCAGATCTAACGATTTTAAACTTTAATGATGACGTTAAATTTTTTTTAATATTCTTTTAAGATGATTGATAAGATAACAAGGGTTGCATAAGAAGTATTTCGCTAATTGTTAATATCAACTTACCAGAACTAGATATTTAATCTTAATCTCTTTAAGCACTCCATATAATCTCGAATTTTGTGCGTGTGGTAGTCATTAACACATTTCTAGCGATTTCACACTTTTATGATGTTTAGCTTGTTAAATATTCTTTTAAACTGATTGATAAGATAAAAATAAGGCTTGGACAAGAATTACTTTGTTAATTGTTTATATCAACTAACCAGATTTAAAAATTTTTAATTGCACTGAATACGAAAACTGTTCCCTAGCTTTCACCATGGGATCCGACAAGGGAGACAATTTATTTAGATTAGATAAGACGCGTTGAACAGTTGGTGCTGTACTACTACTTTAAGGCTCTGTCTTATTATAATACAGTCTTAGCTGGACCAGAGCGTTAGTAGTACTCTTGATTTTGACTGCGAAGGACCACCTAAAGAATGGAGATACCAACAACTTTCGACGCAAATGTTCGGGTATGGAGTGGAGCCGAACGGATTCTCACATACACCGATGAGACGTCTCTTGGCAAGATAATTTGCAATGTCATGAGGACTTGGCCGAAGAACGTGTGCCAGGTAAGTGCAATCGCGTGATAATAATGAGTTATTCCCAAAGATGGCACTCTATATCAGATAGATGATGCGGATGGCAAGGAAGTCACCTTTGAACAGGCCATATCCTGGGCCATTCGGATGGCCCAGATCTTTAAGAAAAAGGGGCTGAGGCATTTGGACGTAATTGGCATTGCGGCCAGGAACTCCACATATGTGATGCCTGTGGGAGTGGCCTGCCTGCTGAATACAACTCCCTTTCACGCGGTGAATCCGGTGGCGGACGAAGGTAAGTCATTTAAAGTTTTCAACCGATATTAACTAATATTTTAAATAATATACTTCAGCTACCTTATCACACGTTTTCTCAATAACCAAACCTACTGTAATTTTCTGCGATGGAAAGGAGTACGAAAAGGTCCGGGCCGCCACTAAAGGATGGCAGCCGGAGATCTTTACAGTAACTGATCCAGTTGAAGGCGTGCCTCATGTTGACACGCTTTTGCAACCCACCAAAACGGAAATGTTTTACCAGTGAGTGCTTGAAATTAAAAGTTCTATAAATAGGGATATTATAAACTTGTTATTTCAGACCAGAACCATTGAAAGAAGGAGGCGAACAGACTGCGGTTATTCAGTGCTCATCGGGAACCACTGGCTTGCCTAAGGCCGTTTGCATTTCGAATCAGACGCTTCTCATACATTCCTTGTGAGTCTTTGTTATACATCTTGCTAAGAAAATAATCAATTTTTTACTTTGCAGTACGATGACCAGCGAATGGATCATTTATTCTGCTAGTGGTGTGGATTGGTATACAGGTCTGCTTTTTTTTCTTAAGAGCACTCTGGACGGTTCCACCCGGATTATAACCAACAAACCATTTGCTCCGGACCACTTTGTAAAGCTTGTTGAGAAGTACAAAATTGCCTCTGTCATTTTGCCTCCTCGCCATTTATCTGCCCTGATAAATTTCCCAGGAGCCACAAAGGAAGCCTTGCTCTCCATTCGGATGGTTTGCTACGCAGGTGGGTTCACATCCATGACCACACTGAAAAAAATGCAGGAGCTGTGTCCCACTGCGACACTGATCTCGGTTTACGCAATGACTGAGGTGCGAGCAGTGTCCGTCAATATAGGGCTTGGAAATGGCACCTCTGTAGGCAAACCAATGACAGGAGTAAAAATGCGCATCGTGGACGAGGAGGGCAACAACCAGGGTTACAACGAGGTGGGAGAGATCTATGTCCACACAGGTCTTCCCTGGAAGGGCTACTATGGAAATCCCGAGGAGTCACAACGCACGCTGGATCACGAAGGATGGTTCCACACCGGCGATCTGGGCTACTTTGATGAACAGAACTTGCTCTATGTGGTGGATCGCAAAAAGGAAATCCTCAAGTACCAGGGCAATCAGTACTGGCCCTCTGAGATTGAAGGTGTTATCGCAGAGCTTCCGCAGGTCGAGGAAGTGTGTGTCATAGGCATCTACGATGAGCAACAAGGAGATGCAGCTGGTGCACTTGTGGTCAAGAGTAAGGGATCCTCGATAACTGAAAAGGAAATTTCAGATCATGTGGCGAAGAGACTGCCCTCGGTTCAAAAACAACTTCACGCGGGCGTGCAGTTTACGGACAAGCTGCCCACCAACCCAAATGGAAAGACGCTACGCCGTACCGCACGATTGGAATTCGTTGCTAAAAAAGAGGCTGGAAAATAAGGATTCATTAAAATTGGTATATTAAATTACTTTAGATTAAAAATGTTATCTTACAGTACAAATAAAAATAAGTTTTGTAAATAATACAAATGGCTAATCACGAGATGTTGAAGAATTTACTTGTAACATTAAATTTGGTTTTTAAAATATTACTTACAATTATGTCCATCGATATCAATTGTTTAGCATCGAATTAGAAGCAACAAGGCGAGGTATGGTTTAAATAACCCTCTGCAAGGGTATATCAGTACTATCTGTCAAGATAAAACTTCTGAAAAAAAATCTTAGTGCTGAAAACATACCATGTTAAATATAAAGATAAGGATATTTGCTTAATTGTTTGCTTCGATTTGGTCTCGCGCTGGATTTGATAAGGCACAAAAAACTGCTGGGTAATCATGATGTGAATTTGATTAGATTTAGACAATAGCTAATTCACCATGATTTGAGCTTTTAATTAGTTTCTTAAAACACTATCTGCGATAAAATTTAATGTACGCTACATTTTTTATTATTATTAGAAAGTCCAACATGGTTTGCTAAACTTTCGAATGCTTCTGATAAGCTGGTTCACACTCAAAGGTGTTTCGGTATTCTGGCCTACTATAAATACACTTCGCTTGTTCACAGCTCCGCAGTCGTCCTCAATTTGTGATTGGGAACAAGTGGCTAAGCATTAACAAATATGTTTGAACAATCCGTGACATATAGTGAGCAGAAGAGGGTCTGGAGCGGGGCAAAAAGGACATCAGTCTATAATCCTGACGCATCTGTGGGCAGAATAATATTCAATACCATGAGGACTTGGCCCAAGAATGTGTGCCAGGTAAGTTTGACTCGGAAGGTGATATGAGGGATAGTTGTTCCAATGGATGCTCGTAAATCTATAACCAGATAAACGATGTTGACGACTCGACGGTTACCAACGAACAAGCGCTTACTTGGGCAGTAAGGATTGCCCAGTTTTGCAAAAGACGAGGCTTGGGGCACAAGGATATTATTGGTATTGCTATGCAAAACTCTACATATGCAATGCCCTTGGGAGTTGCCTGTCTGATGAATGGAACGCCCTTCCACTCCATCAGTACCTTGCTAGACGAAGGTTTGTGTTGCCATTCCTAGGTTAAACACTTAAAGTAAATCCTCCCATGCAGCTACTACTACTTATGTATTATCAATAACTAAACCAAGCGTAATTTTCTGCGATGGGAGCGATATTTAAAAGATTCAAGCTGCCACTACGGATTGGAGCACAGATATCTTTACCCTTACCGATCAAGTTGCTGGAGTGCCGAGCATCGAAACCCTTCTTGATCCCACAGACACGGAAGGGATCAAGAAGGTTAAGCATGTACAGATAATATCCTTTTAGGCCTGAACCCTTAAAGGAAAGAAGTGGTCAGACCGTGGCAATTCTGTGCTCTTCGGGGACAGCTGGCTTGTCCAAGGCTGTCTGCATTTCTAATGGTGGCCTTATAATTGATAACATGTAGGATAGCATAAAACTCATAGCTTGATAGGGTCCGATAAAATAAATCGTTTTATTCTTTTGCAGGATGGGGATAAGTGGAAACATCATATTTACGCCCAGTTGTCTGGATTGGTTTTCCGGTCTAGTGACCTTCATTTACAACACACTTTTCGGCTTCACTCGAATCGTAACCAACAAACCCTTCACACCCGAGTATTTTGTCCAGATGGTACAGAAGTACAAGATCAACAAATTCCAGGCTGGTATCACACAGATAGTGAACCGCAAAAAGGAGATCCTCAAGCACCAAGGTCTCCACTACTGGCACACCGAGATCGAGGCAGTCATCTCGGAGCTGTCCCAGCTGCAGGACGTCTGCGCAAGGGAGCCACCATTTCTGGCAGGGAGATATCTGACCACGTGGCCAAGCGACTACTCGCCTTGCAGAAGACTTTGATCTAGTCTAGTCACGAGACTTTCACAAATATATGTATTTTTACTCAAAGCCTAGAACCTCAAAATGGTTAAAACGATTAGGAGATCAATTGCCTTGAAAGTTTATATTACTGTTAGTTAATTTAACGATCTCATACTTTTATGATGACGTTTAGTTTGTTAAATATTATTTTAAGCCGATTGAAAAGATATGAATAATATGTTAATATCAGCTAAACAGCCGAACAATTGTAATCTTAAGTACAGGCCACTTAAGCCTGACTATAAATATAGTTCTCACACTGCACAAACGGTCGCCTTGCGGGAGACCGTTAAAAAGGGTCCCACTCAGGAAAACAGATGTGGTCTCTGCGTAGACCATAAATAAGTATATTATAAGAATTTCAAGTTAGTTACGTAAGCGAAGACTTAGTAAGATAAAATCATTTTTTATACGGAACTCAAACCTGAAGGTTGTTTTTCCTTATTACAGGAATCCCTTTCAACTAACCAGATTTGGAAATTTTCATTTTTAAATACTTTTTGATAATAAATAGTTCTGGACTTTCAAAGATAAATTTTACTTGGAATAAAAAAAAAAGCAGAGATTTTAAATTTTGGTGTAAAATTACACTGAATACGAAAACTATTCCCTAGCTTTCACCATTGGATCCGTCGAGGGAGACAGTCTACAATTTGTTCGGGTTAGATAAGACGCGTTGAACAGTTGGTGCTGTAATACTTGCTGTATTTTAGGGCTCTGTCTCACTATAATACAGTCTTAGCTGGACCAGAACGTTAGGTTTACTCTTGATTTTGACTGCGAAGGACCACCTACAGAATGGAATTATCAACAACTTACGACGCGAGGCTTCGGGTATGGAGTGGAGCCGAACGGATTCCCACATACACCGATGAGAAGTCTCTTGGCAAGATAATTTGCAACGTCATGAGGACTTGGCCGAAGAACGTGTGCCAGGTAAGTCCAATCGCGTGATAATGATGAGTTATTCCCAAAGATAGCACTCTATATCAGATAGATGATGTGGATGGCACGAAAGTCACCTTTGAACAGGCAATATCCTGGGCCATTCGAATGGCCCAGATCTTTAAGAAAAAGGGGCTAAGGCATTTGGACGTAATTGGCATTGCGGCCAGGAACTCCACATATGTGATGCCTGTGGGAGTGGCCTGCCTGCTGAATACAACTCCCTTTCACGCGGTGAATCCGGTGGCGGACGAAGGTAAGTCATTTAAAGTTTTTTACTGATATTAACTAATATTTTAAATGATATACTTCAGCTACCTTGACACACGTTTTCTCAATAACCAAACCTACTATAATATTCTGCGATGGAAAGGAGTACGAAAAGGTTAGGGCCGCCACTAAAGGATGGCAGCCGGAGATCTTTACAGTAACTGATCCTGTTGAAGGAGTGCCCCATGTTGATTCGCTTTTGCAATCCACCAAAACGGAAATGTTTTACCAGTAAGTGCTTAAAATTAAAAGTTAAAACAAGAGAGAACGCTATAGTCGGGTGCCCCGACTATCAGATACCCGTTACTCAGGTAAAGGGATTGCGAGGGAGATGGAGATAGAAACTTTGATCACGCGTAACTTTTTAACGAATGGTCCGATTTGAAAAATTTCTTCTACATTTCGATAGGTATTGATAAACACAATAAAACTGCATTTTTACTTTTCCGAAATATTTAAATTTTTAAAATCGTACATAAGCGATTGTGGGCGTTAAAGGGGGCGTGGCACCTTTTTGAAACAAACTTGCGCTGCGTAGGAACTCCTAAAATCTGCATGTAAAATGCCAATCTTCTAGCTTTTGTAGTTTCCGAGATGTCAGCGTTCATACGGACAGACAGACGGACAGACGGACATGGCTAGATCGACTCGGCTAGTGATCCTGAACAAGAATATATATACTTTATAGGGTCGGAAACGCTTCCTTCTACCTGTTACATACTTTTGCACGAATACAATATACCCTTTTACTCTACGAGTAACGGGTATAAAAATAGAGAAATTATTAAATTGTTATTGCAGACCAGAACCTCTGAAGGAAGGAGGCGACCAGACTGCGGCCATTCAGTGCTCATCGGGAACCACTGGCTTGCCTAAGGCTGTTTGCATTTCGAATCGGACGCTTCTCAGAGAATTCTTGTGAGTCTTTGTTATACATCTTGATAAGATAATAAATAATCTACTTTTAACTTGGCAGTACGATGACCAGCGAATGGATTATTTATTCTGCTAGTGGTCTGGATTGGCATGGCGGTCTGATTAGTTTTCTTAAGAGCACTGTGGACGGTTCCACCCGGATTATAGCCAACACACCCTTTGCTCCGGACTACTTTGTAAAGCTCGTTGAAAGGTACAAAATTAACTGTGTCCTTTTGCCTCATTGCCAACTGTCTGCTCTGATAAATTTTCCGGGGGTTACAAAGACGGCCTTGGCCTCCATTCGGAGGGTTTTCTACGGAGGTGGGTTTACGTCCATGACCACACTGAAAAAAATGCAGGAGCTGTGTCCGACTGCGATACTGATCTCGGTTTACGCAATGACTGAGGTGCGAGGAGTGTCTATCAATATAGGGCTTAGAAATGGCACAACTGTAGGCAAACCAATGACAGGTGTAAAAATACGCATCGTGGACGAGGAGGGCAACAACCAGGGTTACAACGAAGTGGGAGAGATCTATGTCCACACAGGTCTGCCCTGGAAGGGCTACTATGGAAATCCCGAGGAGTCACAACGCACGCTGGATCACGAAGGATGGTTCCACACCGGCGATCTGGGCTACTTTGATGAACAGAACTTGCTCTATGTGGTGGATCGCAAAAAGGAGATCCTCAAGTACCAGGGCAACCACTACTGGCCCTCTGAGATTGAGGGCGTTATCGCAGAGCTTCCGCAGGTCGAGGAAGTGTGTGTCATAGGCATCTACGATGAGCAACAAGGAGATGCAGCTGGTGCATTGGTGGTCAAGAGTAAGGGATCCTCGATAACCGAAAAGGACATTTCAGATCATGTGGCGAAGAGACTACCCTCGGTTCAAAAACAACTTCACGCGGGCGTCCAGTTTACGGACAAGCTGCCCACCAACCCAAATGGAAAGACGCTACGCCGTATCGCGCGACTGGAATTCGTTGCTAAAAAAGAGGCTGGAAAATAAGGATTCATTAAAATTGGTATATAAAATTACTGTAGATTAAAAATGTTGTCTTACCGTACAAATAAAAAAAATTTTAAAAATAATACAAATGGCTAATCACTGTCGACGTTGAATATTTTTGTTAGAAATGCTGAAGAACATACTTGTAACATTAAATTTGGTTTTTTATATATTATTTATAATTGTGTCCATCGATATCAATTCATTTTACCAGGACTGTTTAGCATCGAACTAAAAGCAAAAATAACCCTCTGAAAGAGTGCTGAAAACATACCTTGTTACAAATAAAGTTTAGGATATTTTCTTAATTGTTTGCTTCGATTTGGTCTCGCGCTGGATTTGATAAGGTACAAAAAACTGCTGACTAATCGTGAAGTGAATTAGTTAGATTTAGACAATAGCTAATTAAGCATGATTTAAGCTTTTAACAAGAGAGAACGCTATAGTCAGGTGCCCCGACTATCAGATACCCGTTACTCAGGTAAAGGGAGTGCGAGGGAGATGGAGATAGAAACTTTGATCACGCGTAACTTTTTAACGAATGGTCCGATTTGAAAAATTTCTTCTACATTTCGATAGGTATTGATAAACACAATAAAACTGCATTTTTACTTTTCCGAAATATTTAAATTTTTAAAATCGTACATAAGCGATTGTGGGCGTTAAAGGGGGCGTGGCACCTTTTTGAAACAAACTTGCGCTGCGTAGGAACTCCTAGAATCTGCATGCAAAATGCCAATCTTCTAGCTTTTATAGTTTCCGAGATCTCAGCGTTCATACGGACAGACAGACAGACAGACAGACGGACAGACGGACAGACGGACATGGCTAGATCGACTCGGCTAGTGATCCTGAACAAGAATATATATACTTTATAGGGTCGGAAACGCTTCCTTCTACCTGTTACATACTTTTGCACGAATACAATATACCCTTTTACTCTACGAGTAACGGGTATAAATAGTTTTTTGAAACACTGTCTGTGACATATAGTGAGCAGGAGAGGGTATGGAGCGGGGCAAAAAGGACATCAGTCTATAATCCTGACGCATCTGTGGGCAAAATAATATTCAACACCGTGAGGATTTGGCCCAAGAACGAGTGCCGGATAAGATTGACTCGGAAGGTGATATAAGGAATAGTTGTTCTCATGGATGCTCGTAAATCTAAAACCAGATAAACGATATTGACGACTCGACGGTTCCTTGGTTAAACACCTACAGTAAATCAAGAACCTGACCTACAACCAGGTTGGAGGGTTGTATGTGCTCACGGATCTTCTCTGGAATGGTTACTACGGAAATCCAGACGAGACCCTGAAATTGGATCTGGTCTACCTCGATGAGCAGAACTTCCTCTATATGGTCGATAGTATTCGTTACGAATAACTCAGCTATTGGCCCGCTGAGATCGAGAGCGTTATTTCGCAGATTCCCCAAGTGCAGGACGTCTGTGTTGTGGGCATCTACGATGAGCGGGTGGGGGATGAGGCGGGTGACCTGATGGTCAAGGTCCCGGTATCCGAAATAAGTGCCCAGGAGATTGTTGACTATGTGGCCAAGCACCTGTCCGCCAAGGAAAAACAGCTTATTCCGGTGTCCAGTTCATAGACAAACTATCTAGTAATTCCAATGGAAAAACCTTGCGAAAGGCATCACGTGAGTCATTTCTTGGCAAAAAAGGGGCATAAAAAGAACTAATTGATACCGACATACTCTTATCAGCCCAATGCAAAGTACTACGCATTCAATAGTATAAAGTCAGTTCTTATGAATTAAAAGATAAGCAAAGATGTATTGATTAAACGCTGTGAGAGCATTCCAGCAAAAATTTAATTATAACTAGATTCATGTTACAACTTTGAATCATAGTTAATCACAAATGTAATAATGAAGGGAAATAAATAAAATGGTGTTCTAGTTTTGTTTCCTATCACTGGCTTTTAATGGGAACTAATCTGGTATTTGGGAATAATAATAATGTGATATACAATTAAAATTACTTACTTAATTTTTCTTTTGCCAAATAAAATAGAAACACTATTTGAACTTAATATTTTTGCTTAGCTTTAATATTTAAATAAATGTAGATAGCGAATAGATTCCCTGAGTTGTTTTAAGGTCAAGCGATCCTAATTCTAAGTTCTAAGTCCTGGCCTGAAGCTCCAACCAATAATAAGGAGTAGTGTGAGGAGGCCAAGTGATCTTCGACTAGCTCCCGCAGTGGAATCACTGGGCATTGGCGACTCCGTTGGTTCCATATCCATATCGGTTTCAAAGATTTCCTGATCCCTCGTCACCTGCTCCACCTGCGGACGAACATGGCCAGGACGCACCTCCACCTTGGGCAGTGGGAAGCAGTAGACCCGCTCCACCTCCACCACCTGGGGCACTATGCTGTCGGAGGAAAGGGATGTCTCCGAGACGGTGAGGGGCACACATATGGTCGGCTCCTCGGAGGCATTGCGATCTTCGTAGGGAATGCCCACCCGGGTTATATTCAGTGGCATCGTTTCCGGCACACTCAGTTCGCTGTGCATTTGGGCTGAGTTCAGCGAGTCCTCGTAGTATTTGTACTCATCCGCAGGATCGGAGACGCTTTCATCACGCCTGTCGATGTTGACTTGGAGATTCCCATCTATTCTTTCGGTGCTCGCCGTGTTGGAGGAACTGTCGATGAAATCAGTGGGCCAGTTGAGTAGTCCCTCCGTGGATCGAGTGGCCTGTGTGGGTGCCGGTGGATGCACCACTGAGGATTGCATGAATCCCGGAATCGCCGAGCTGGTTGCCGGAGGTGCTGGAACTGTGGTGTCGTAGGGATATGGATACGGCAATGGCATCCAGCTGTCGTCGGCGGAATGCTGAGAGTTCCTCTGAGTATTCGTCGTCGTCGTTTCCACGGACTCGTTTATTTGCTTGCCCATGGTCTTCAGCCGTGAATCCGTATTGTTCACCACCTCGAACTGGTGTGGTGCCTGCTGGCTGGTAATACGCCGCCGTCCGTGTTTCTCCGGCGATCGCTCGAAGCTGGCTGAATGGACAAATGAGGGATTCTGATAGCCACCAGGCGCAATGGGAGCCGTTTCCTCTTCACTGGAACTCGATGACTTGGCATCAATGGCTGTGGGAACAATTAAGTTGAGTTAAATGGGAAAACTAAACTTAAATCGTGCTAGATAAAATATGCAAACTTTCCATTCCTATAAACTATTTATAGGTATATCTAGACATTTATTAGCGTGATATTGATAATCTGTAAGATTACTTGGATGGATGGATTTTAAAAATACTTGAAATACGAGGAGAAAACAGAAGAGGATTTAAAAGTGATTAAAAAAGGCATTACAAAAGAATGATACAATCCGCAAGTCTCATAACGACATCAAAATCCTGATACCTCCTTGTTACGGAACAATAAATGAAAACTAACAAAGTTGATATTTATTCAGCCTTTAAAAGGATTTCGATCGCATAAAATTTTAAAAATTATTTAAATATAGTATAAAACATTTTCTGTTGAATTTAAAGACAATCCAAATACGTTTTGTTAAGTAAAACCGCTTTTAATTTTAACATCATAGCTTTCGCAAGAAATATACATAAAAGATCGACTGATAAAAGATTGATTGCCCAAATCTTACCATCCGCTGGCATTCCCATGAGCATGGCCTCCAGTCGCCCGTAGACGCGCTCCTTGGGCTGCTGATCCGCGTCGAGTACCCCCTCCATCTCCTCGGGCTTCTCCGGATGCTCTGGCTTCCAGTTCCCGTACACCACCGCCTCCTGACTGGGCGTGGCTGGAAGAGGGGGAGCGTTCCCCTCGCGCAACAATGGAATGTGGGTGTGGACGGTGGAGCTGATGGGACCTGCTGCTGGCAAACTTGGCCAGTTTCCCAAGGCCGGAGCCGATGCTCCACCGGCAGAGGCGGGAATTTGCATATCCGCAATACGTATACGCCCCCTGGGACGCGGTGGCCCCTGCAGTTGCTGAGCTGCAATTAGCTGGCAACCACTAATGGCGATCAGCAGCCACAGTAGGCACTCTTTCCGATGACTAACCATATTTAAATGAAATGCTAAAAATCTCTTTCTGTTTTTTGTACTTGATGGCCGATGCTGTGCCACTTTTCAAGTTTACTGTTAGTTTTCAAAGGTTTTATTGATTCATTCTCGTTTTCAGCAGCCACAATAACAATCTATTGTTTGTTTTCTATTTTGTTTTTGGTTTTTGCTATTTCGCTTTATTTTTTTCTTTAACGGAACTTCGATGTCAATTCAATATTCGCACGCACTTGTTGTTGGATTCATCTATAACTCTTTACATCGTCACATTTCTGGCGTTCAACCTCTCCACTTGCCCATTTCTTTTCACTCCCCACACACACTTTTCAGTACTACCGCTACCTCTTCGCGGTTTAACGCTCCCGCGAATTCGATTTCAGCTTGTGGAGATCTTTTTCCCCAGTCTTCGTAATGTTTCCCGGTTGTTGGGCGATTTGCGATCTGCACGCGACGGCTTCTAAACGGCAACTGACTTGGCCAAATCAATTCCAGCGTCCGCGCAGGCCCACAAGAAAGATTCTTTCTAATCACGGGCCATAGAAATTTTCTTTTGTTCGGCTTGGTTATTATATGGTTTTTTTTTCGTCTTAATTATGCGCAAGAGCGTTGAAACTTAATGGCGAATAAACATTCTTCGGGGCCCTGCTTTTGGGCTCTGTTTCTGCGGTGGTGAAAATGCAGCGGAATTGATTTATCTATGCTTAGACTTAAGCATGTAGTTTAGGTATGTGTGTTTACGTTTTATGCAAATAAGTGGCCAAATCGTTTGCCGTTTTGTGGCCCAAAAGGTTTTGCGGCTGTTTGGTCTTTCAGCTTGATGACAGTGTTTGGTCTTTTTTTTCTGGTTTAGCTTGTTTCTATATTTACGTAGCTAAGGGCTAGTTTTCACAAAAGACCAAACGGTAACCTGTGAAATAATTGATAGAATGAAGAGGTATCTCGGCGGGAATCGAGGCTGAGCCAGTAACCCATTCACGGACCACTTCAACCGGCTCCTCCGCTTGCCACATACTGGCAGACTCCCGCAAGTCAAGTCGAATGGCACTCTGGCAAATCTGTCGTAATTATGCAACCAACAACCGACAACCAGTCGACGAGGAGGCGCTCTCGAAAGAAAATTTCCATGCAGGCGATGTAGAAATATGGAAAATTGGAAAAACCCAACCTGCATGGAATGGGATCAACAAACTGACGTATGGGGTAATTCGATCTGCGAAGTAAACAATAAAGCAACGAAAGATGCACGGTAAATGGGGAAACACAGTAGGAGAAAATAATGAGGACCCATAAACGCTTTGTCACGTCTGTCTGAACATCGTGGATATGGTCAGCTGTAAAACGGAAAAAGGTAGAAAATATGGTAAATCCATCATTGAGTCGGTTCGGCATAATGGAAACGTTAGTTTTTCTTTTATTGTTTCAAAGCAGCGAAACTTTCACACTCGTTAATAAAATATTATTATTTCGATTGAGCGCCCCGTGTGTGTTTGTGTATGGAACTTAATTGAAAATTAAGGGAGTTATTAAAGTTTTATCAATCAGAGTGGTACAGCGATTTGGAATAACTTGCAGAGTGAAATCACAGTCTTGTTGTTGTTGATATAGAATGCGAATGAGTCACGTTTCCAGGATCATCGGTTCGGTGGGGGAATGGGATGGGCGGAGCTCGTCTACTGGTTCTCCAGCAGGCCAATGTACTGGCCATTCTGGTTGGCCACCCGTCGCTCCTCCAGCTTCCTGGCAAAGTCCGGATCCGTCTTGGCCCGCTGCTCCAGGCGTTCCTGTTGCAACTTAATGCCGGCGTAGATCTGGTCAAGTCCCTTCTGGATCTCCTCGGGAATGGCCGGCGGAGTGGGTATATGATCCCCCGTGGCCCGGAAGCCATTCTCGTCGGCCGTGTATTGCACATTCACCAGAGTTCCCTCAGGAGATTGGTACGAGTACTGGCCATGCTGGACCAACACACCATTCGGATTCGTGTCGAAGTCCTTGAGGAAACCCGTCTCCTCGTGAACGATGCTATTGCCCGTCTCGTACTCCGTCTTGTAGCTTCCATCCTCGCTCTGCTCCTTGTTGTACTTGATTATGGGTATCCAGGTGCTGGTTTCTCGGTGATCTTCGTGGCGATGGTGATCCGGCTTGTCATCGCGCGGAATATTATTTACACTTTGATGCTGGTGCGGATGGTGGTGTTGTCCTTGGCACGAAAGGACCAACAGCGCAAGAAGTATCTGCAATAGGTAGTTGCAAATTTTACTTACAAGCACATACAATAATATACTATTGTGAAGGATATTATAAATAAATAGCTTACAAAAACAAATTTTTAAAAATTTTGAATGGGCATAAAAAAATATAGAAATAATAAAAAAGCTTTTCTGGCTTGTTAACTAAAACGGGAAATTCTCAAAAAATTATCATTTAAGAAGAAATTTTAAGCAACTATTATTTTTAAATGTCTTATGTCATTTCTTTAAAGCATGGAGGAAGCACAAATTATTGCACAATTTTTATACAACGGTTTCTCTGAATACCATTAGACTTGCTAAAAGTTTTTCTGGATTCTGAATGCACTTCACAAAAATTACAAAATCCGACAGTTTGAAAATCTTGGGTTGCGGGGACCACTTACGAGCACTTTCATTTCGCAAGGAGTTTCTGCTGCTTATCCACTGTATTCCACTGAATTAACCCGCTTTGTCGCCCGTTTGGCTGGCACTGATTGCACTGGCTAGTGAAAGCAGCTCCGTTAGACACTGTGCCAAGCGCGGCCCTATTTAGGCCTTATATAGGCGATTCGCTCCGACCGACCCGATCCGATCCTCCTGCTGCACTCGTGTCCATGCCCACATACCCACACGGGTGAGCCGCCATGGGAGAGCGTGCATTTGCAGTTTCTGTTTCAGTTTCGGATGCCGATGCCGATGCAGATGGAGATGCAGATGCAGGTGAAGATGGGGAAGATGGAAGTGGAGAGGTTGCCTAGTTGAATTCGCCATAGTAGCTCTTGTTTTTGTTGTAGCTGTCTGATCCAACCGATTGGTAATTGTTGTTTGTAGGCTCGTCGACGCTTAAATGCTAAAATAGAAAAAAACAATTCACTGTCGCTCTCGTTTGAGGCTGTTCCAGAGTCTTGGGGGTTTTTGTTTGTCTTCCTTATATCTAAATATATTAAAGATGAACTAAATTAATAGTTTTGTAGGATTAACAAACATAACTTAATTAAAACTCAAGTTCGTTTCCTAAGTCTTTTGATTTTAGAGTATAAAAATTTTCTATGAGAAGCTTCTCAACATAAAAGGAAATTATTATAAAGTTAAAAAAAATATTGTTTAAATATTCATGATAATATAATTTGTTTAGACCCCTTTTATCTGGCACCCACCTTAGCCCGGCTTATTGTCGCTGTTCGTATTTGGCCTGCTTATAGGCCCGGCTCAAATGTCTGCGAAATGTCCGTCCGCTGCTAACGCGTCCGGTCGTTCATCTTCGCAATGCCGTTATTTAGAAACAAGCCAGAACGAGTTTTTTTGCTTTCGTTGTTGACTTGGCCAAAAGCGCCACTCGGTTCGGATCGTTTGGGCTCTCTCTCTCTCTCTCTCTGGCTCTGCAGAAGTGCATTTGAATTTGGATGCACCAAGATGCTGCTCCCATCTTCGGTTTCGGATTCATTTTCAGATTCGCACTCGGACTCAGATTCGAATTCGCATTCTTGTAATTGCGGCAGTTTGGCGGAATGGAACCCCAAACACCAACACCAGCGAAGCGCAAATTGTTGTAATAGCCAAAGTGCCGGGCAGATGAGGCAAGCGATAATTGAGTTCAAAGCGAGCCCGTGTCTTGGCAAATGTTAATTAGTTGCCAAACAATTGGGTTAATCTGCAACGCGTTTTGGGCCAAAGAGAACACACACACAAATCATTCGTTGGCAAATATAAAGAAAAAAGGCGAATTCAATCAGAGAGGTGTACCGGAGACAAAGCAGCAAGTTGAACAACCGCCGAAGAGCCGGCGAAAAAGCCCGAAATGCTGCAAAACTCCAACGCCTATTGCAACAAACGACCTCTCCCCTCCTCCCCTCCCTATACCATCATGTTTTGGCCACGTCTTCGTCTTCCGCACCCACAACTCCAAGCCAAACGCCCGCCAAGCCTCCAGATTGCCAATGTTGCTGCTGTGTCTGTTGATGTTGCTGCTGTGCCTGTTGTTGCTGTTGCTGTTGCCGCTGTTGCTGGTGATTCATTGCAGGTTGTGCAACTTTTTGAGATGCAGCTCCACGCACAGGCGAAAATGAAAATAAAAAAAACGAAAGCTGGGCAAGGTTAGCTTTCGAGTGCACCACCACAGATCCACAAATCCGCAGATCCGCCAAAACCAATATCCCACCATCCAATTTTTGCCCCACTCACACACTGACCTGTTGCTGCTGGCAAAAGGGGAAATTGCAGCATCTGCAAATGTCAAGCGATTTCACCCTTACATTCTTAGCATTTGTCGAGCTGCTGCCGTTCTTATGAACAACATTTGACATTTCGGTTGCGGCTCTAACGCTGAGAGCCAACTTGGCTCACAGAACCCCGTTGCTGGCCATAAATATTCAGGCTGTTGTGAAATGAAATGCCTTGTCGATGCGGCCAATCTTGAGCTTGACTCGTAAATAATGCTCTAGTGGCGATTTTGAGGCAATCGTCAACGGAACTTGACATAAAGATCACGTACTGTTGCGTTGACAAGTGGCCCGGCCATAAAGTATTTGATTAATTCTTAAGCGCTCCAAATTGCCTTAACGACTCTTTTCATCTGGATTTAATCCTTGAAATCCATCTGGTAGCCGCTTTTAATACCCATTTTATTTCGCTTTCGACACTTAAACAATCTTTGCCTTCTTTTTCAGCGGATCGTACAAGAATCCAGTGAGACTGGTATTAAATACATGCGTTTCAGGTGTTAGGAAATTCATTTCGATTTTGAAATCGTTCTCTGGCATAAAGGCTGGCAAACTTTCACCAATGTTAATTTTCGGGTACGAGTAGAGGCCCTGAAAAAACTGTATCAAACGGGTTTAGGAATCAAAAAGGGATATCTACCTTGGGATGAGGACACTTTAGCTGAGATACTTGCTTTCCAAAAGCTTTAAGGACAAACGTCATGAATCTGTGACCACTGTTTCCCCTTGCAAACTCGCATATATCCACATTAACATCGATTACTTTTTGAAATGGCTTGGAAGGCCTGCGAGGCATCAACAGTTTAAAGGTGGCATTGTATTTGGCAATATCCTTTATGTACATCACCTCGGTTGTTATCAAAGATTTGTCTGTCTCCAAGATGAAACACTTGAATGAGGAAATGTAATCCGGGTTCGAGACGCAGCTAAAAGTTTTCCACATCAGTTTTAGGCGTGCCTTGGAAAAAATCTAAAGACGATTTAATAGAAAGACTCAACCTATGTATATATATTTATATGTTAGCGTACCTGCGCCGATTCGCTATGGCTAGCCATAAAAATGAGCAGAAATATCAATTGAAATTGAGCCATAATATTGTAATTGCAGCTCTGTTAAATTAATACTGTCTGGCTCGAAAGCCTAAGCACGGTCTATAAGTGAAAACAATAGCGGATAATGCTTTTTATAATTATACCCCAATAATTGATTTTTTTCGTGATTGCATTTTAAGTGGGCTTAAATATGAATCTAGAACACACTACTGAGATTAAACGTTAATGTCTTTGTTTATGGCCACTAAAAGCGGCCAATCCGGTAAAGCAGTCTATAAAATATATAAACGAATAAAGTTGGTATCTGTATGTTTATTTTTCAGTTATTTCTCCTCTTAAACTAACGTTTAAGTACAATTCCCGGCGAGAGTAAAAGTCTACTTGGATAAATAGCTGGGCGGAGGGAACAAACATAGGTAAAGACTCTTCAATACTTATGTTATTATAGTAAATTACGCCCTGCAAAGATAAAACTTTACATTAAAATTAATGATTTTTGATTAATAAATCTATAAGTAAACCTTTTTTATGGGACACTTTCGGGGTTGATTGCTCGACTTGACGACTGCATTAAACATGTTCGATACCATGGTCCCTTGAACCATATCGGCTATTACTCGACATCCATTGAAGTTAATGTCAAAAAACTTTCGATACGTAATTGTTGGCTTGAATCTTGTCGAAATTTTGACATACACCTTAATTGCGTCCAGTTCCTCCAATAAATTAAGTTCGACATTTAAAAGGGACCGCCTTATGCCTCCAACATGGCAGTTCATTTGATCTGCATACTGAGTTCCCATCTGACAATCGAAGCAATCCCATCTAATGCGTCTCTGAAAATATATTCGATGATGAATTTATAACTTTATTTCTAAACGATGCTTTACCTTAGCTCCAGTGTAATGGATCAAGTGGATGAGCAACCAAATCATCCGCCAGTAGCTCAACCAAAGGCGGAACATTGCTGTCGATCAGATGGCGGCTAACTGGCCATTGGTGTTCGCTGTCATTGTTGTTCATTGATTGAAATTATATTGAAGTTGAAATAATTACTAATCATAACATAATTGTTTATATTCATAATTTAGCTTGTCAATTAAGCGTGAAGAATTGTTTGAAAGCGACAGTAGCTGTCGCTATGCTAACAGTTAACCATTCAACTCACTGTTTTGTTTAGTTTTTAAGTAGAAATTTTCCATTCGGCATTCTCAGAAAAAAGGTTACTGCCCCAAAGTATGCAAAGATTTGCAGCAAGAGTAGTGTATGAAAATTGTAAAGGAGGTAAGTAAAATTCATTCGCTGACAACATTACTATCCATAAATTCAAAAAATAGGTAGATATCATTTTTTTCTACAACACTTTTTAAATTTATTTAAGGATAAGTACCAATAAAAACTTTACAAATATTTCCTTCTTCTGTTCTTTTCCTTGGCAATCTCATAAAGATGCCCATGAAGAGTTACATTCATGCCAATGGCCACCTTGGGTATAAAGAAGTCCAAGTTGACGTAAAATTCCGATTCGGTTAACATAGGCGGCAAGTCGGTAACGGAGATGTTTCTAGACTCAAAAGATCCCTGCAAGAAGCCCAAAAAATTCAAAATGTATAACTCTATATTAAAACCATTTTCTACCTTTTGAAAAGGACATTTCCAAGCCTTAGCATTGCTGTTCCTGGCCAAAGTGTTGACCAATAGGTCAATCAGCACCTTTCGCTTGCGTTCACGCAAAACTTTGCACACATCGAAGGTGATATCGAATATCTGGGTTATGACCTTTTTGGCATTCGGAATGGATACCCTGAGCGAACCACTTAGGGCGGTCAACTTTTGCATAATTACCACGGATGCCTCCATGGTCCTATTATTGGGTGGAAGGATTTTGCAGTACATGCTGTTGAAATAGTTGGGATTGCCCACGCAATCAATCTGCCTCATCTCCACATAGTAGCCCAAGTTCTGGTCCAAAAAATACTATATTTTAAGATCTTGTCTTAAAAGATATTTTGGTACTCACTGGAATTAGCTTGACTGAATCGGCAGGATTTGCTTGCAGCAAACTGCCAACCAAAAGGCCAAATCCCCAGAGTAAAGGCAACATTTCGGTGTCTCAATGGTCGATCAACTGATCCCACATTAGCTGATGAAGTGGCACAATCCACACCTAACGACAATTTAATAATAATTGCTCTATAATGGTAATTAAACGTCCGGCATTCTGGTATGCACCATTGAGTTGGCCAAACACACGATACCCAATTCCTAGCCCTATCCATATCAGCATCAATGTCATCTGGTGCCGAGGGCTTTTACCACCGGTGCGGCAGTGTAAACAAATCCGGCAGTTGGCTCATGATCACCATCCCATCTCCACTTCGCAGATCATCAGTGTTAACCGCAAGCGTGAAGGGCAATTCGGTAATGTAATGTTATAGGCCATGCGAGGCTGAGAAGTAACTTCACTTCAGTTGTCGTTTTCATTATCGTTACCAATATTTATTTCTCTCTTTGCAGGCGATTCGGTGTGTTTTTTGTTTGCTTAAAACTAACTACGGCATGTAGACATTTCAATTTCGTATGGCATTCAGGCAGTGCATAATACTTTCAAGCGAAATATTATAAGGAGGGTTTACTATGTATGGATGAAATAAAACTATTGCGGGGCCACGGGCAGATGGTCACCCTCCGGCTGGAATCCGTTCTCATCGGCCACGTAGCGCAGGGTGATGAGGTTGCCATCGGGATCGCTGTAGCTGTAGGATCCGGTCTGGACCAGAACCAGCTCCTCGTGCTCATCGATCACCTGGCCATCGGTGGTCTCGGTCTTCGGAATGATGATCTTCTTCAGGTAGCCAATGTTCTCCACGCGTATTCCGTTCGAGGTCTCGTAGCTGAGGAGCAGATGGAGGTAGAGATGTTAGGGTATTCCTTTCTTATATCTGCATATCTAAACTATAGCTAACCTGCTGTTAAAGCTTCCGTCGGCATTATTCACATTATCCTGCTTCACAATGGTGGCCGCTGTGGTCGTGGACGTGGGACTGGCTGCTCCTGCCCGCTGATCCTGGGGCCTGGCCAGGACATAGCTGAGCAGCATGGCGGAGCAGACGAGGAAGATGAACTTGTACATGTTGGAGGGGGATATATCCTTGGACCTGGAATTGGACTTGGACTCAAGTGTGGGCGGTATCCAGCAGGTTGGCGAGCGACTGTTGACTGCCCGAACGAAAGCCGGGCTTTTTATACTCTGGTCTCGTGGCTTCGGCTGCTTACGATTGCCATTACGATGGGCGCACTAGATAAGCTTCGAAGTACTGGCAGAAATTACGAGCGGGCGCTGCCAGGGGTTTTTTTTTTCAGATTTCGGATTTTGGTTTCGGTTTTATTGCCCCGCGATGAGTAAACATCAGATCGCACCGCCAAAAGAGATGAAGATGGAGCGACGATGTCAGCAGGTGACAGTTTTCTGTCGTCCACCCCCCTCCCCCAACCACATATCATGGTGCAGATCTTGACAGGCTACGTGATTTGTCTGAGCAGAATATAATTCTTATTCAAGCAGGGAGTCGGGTCTCAAGTTAGTTCCGCTGGCTCCACAGCCAGTTCCTGGGGATTCCGTTAAGGATTTGAGTTGAGGGAGTGCTGGCATGCTCCCAAAAGTTATTAGCCAAAAGTTCTAAAATATTTCTATAAGTCATTTTGTTTGCCTGATTTACCATTCCGATCACGTTTCAATTAGGGAAATATTTGCTGGTCGAAAAGCTAACGGTGAACGGTGGAGACAAACAGGCAATAAAAAATGTAGAGTATTGTTGGCCATAAATCGAATTGATAACGCTGCGAACTTATACCCATATGTCGGCTATATGCCGCGAATATTAACCACAATTGTGTCATAGAGCCTAGAATTCTGCGGGAACGGAATGGTCAATGAACTTGACTGGCTAGAAACAAAAGAGCCAAGCGACAATAATGGAAATTACCTCCGATACATATCTGATTAATTTTCGGGTTAGAGAAATGCCGTTCAGCTCATTCCCGGAATTCTCAATGTTCTTCATCGGTTTAATTTTAAAATTAACATATTATTGTAAATTAAAACGAGGGAAAGAAAAAAATCGAATCACACTTTCAGTTTCTGTTTGGCTTACATAATTCCTATTGATTGATTTTGTTTAGTTTAATTCGCAGTTCTAATGCTGCTCAATCTCTTTAAACTGATTGCGGATTCGGCCTTGAGACTTTTGCCACTCTGCTTCGGCTTCAATTGCTTATTTAACAATTTAGCTTTCAATTAGTAATTGTTTAGCGAGATGGCCAGCAGAGCCAAAAACTGCTAAGTAAGGCAAATTTAACACACATTTTGGCACACATGAGGCAGTGGCTCTTTGAAGAGGGAACCTCGTCTACACTCCAACCCTAAATAAACAGTGAACCGAACTATTTGAACACTTTTGTTTCCGGTTACCCAATCTCTTGTTTTGTTGTTTTTAAATATCGGTTTTAATTTGTCTCAGTTCTTTTGGTTCCAATCACATTTTGGCTCAGTTCTATTAGGATGTTTAGTGCTTCTTCTCGGGAGTTGTGTAGGGATGCAGCCGGATGTATTCCAGAGCCTTCAGGACGGACTCGGGAGTGGGTGGTGGAGTGGGCAGGTGGTCTCCCACCGCCCGGTATCCATTCTCGTCGGCCGTGTAGGACACCACATAAGTCTGGCCATCGTCGCCCACGAAGGAGTATTTGCCATGAACCGCTTCGCCGTTGTGTTCGGCATTCACCGACTTCAAAACACCATCCTGAGTGGCCTTGGAGCCATCTTTGAGCTCATAACTGGGTAATTAGTGATATTAGTCAGTGAAGTGATTCAACTAGTCAACAAAACTCACTGGTAATGGTATTTGCCATTGAACTCCACATTGGATTCCTGGGAAATCGGGTCATTGTTGTCCGTCGCCGAAGCAGCAACCACAAGAAGAGCAATCAGTAGTAGGAATTTCATTTCGGGATCTCTGTTCCGCTCTATCAATATCACTTAATACAATCCAAGCTAAAGTCTCGAGGCGACTGGCGATCCCCATCCGTAAACAAAGACTCTTATATAGGCAAACAAAATTAGCAATAGACTATGACAAAATTCCTGTACTAAAATATTTAACATGAAATTAAAATGTGGCCAATAAATAATATTGAACTTGTTTCGCCGTGTTCCGTTCGTAGCTGGCCTTTCAAAAAATTGGGTGTGAAATTTGGTGCAGACGACTTCGACTCTGGCCAGCCTCCACATTGTTTTTTTTAAATAAATAAATAATAATAATGTTGTGCCATCCTCTATGGGCACTCGTCATCGGCATCACTCCGAATTCTGGTTCTCGGCGTTTTTGGAGCCAACATGACAGCATTTTTGCCAGCCTGCGTCTGGCCACTTTGCATAAAATGAATTTATCAACTCTCGCCTTGAAGTGCAAAACAGAATGGAACAATAAAGAACGGACGTTTGTTTTGGACAGTATCTATGAATAAACAGCGAATTAAGCTATGAGTTACTTCCCATGTAAACTGTATCCTCAATATTTGTGCATCTGGCCAACAAGTTTTGTGCATTTATAAACTTTTTCAGTCTCTTTCATCGAGGTTATTTGAGGAATGATGATTTATGGCTACGACAGAAGCTCGAAACATTGGGTAGAAATTCAATCCGCGAGATTATCAGTGGCAGTGGGAGTGGAATTTTTAGCAAAAGCTGCTTTAAAACCAGATTTAAGCTATATATACTTTGACTATTAAGGATTATTAGAGGTCATTTGATTCTTCTTTTTAGGCTATCCCATAAAATAAAAACACTTGACTTGCTTACTTTTCGAAAGAATATTTAATTCTTTATTTGCAGCTAAGGCTAAAGAATATCATCATAGTTCTTTACAAGTGTTTATATAATTTTCGAAGCAACGACAAATCGATGGCTTCGCTTAGACTACGTGTAAATGTATCTAATTTACAGACTATTTACACAAAGTTTGCTGTGGATAATATTCCTTGTATATTATTTAAGTAATTTCTTGTTTGTCCTTTTTTTTTACATTTTCTTTGTTGATTTCATTGATAAATCGACGATATCACATGAGTCCGAAAATGGCAAAGTTCCGGCGACTAAAAGATCTGAAGAAATTCGCGTAGAAGAGAGTTCGTGGAAGAAAGCAAGAAAGTAGACTGGGCATCTGTATTGTATCATCGTGTGTTTCGGTGTTGTGTGGTGTTGTCCCTCAAATCCGTTTGAGTTTGTGTTCTTCAGTCAGTGGATTTGGCCGACCTTTGACCTCCCAAGTGGAAGAAGGTGGAGGCGAAGAAGGTGGCTCCAGCCCTTGGCTTGTGTCTTATGTGTGATTGTCTAGGAATCGGGGATTGGGGATTGGGGAATTTGCAGCAATCAACTTGTAGCAACAGCGCAGCATCTACACATCAGAATCGAAGGTTGGTCAGAATCGTTGGTCAAAATCTAAAGTGGTAGTCCTTTCCTAACGACGCTTTGCCGGGGGAAGGCTGAGCAGATAGTCGAGCGCCTTCTGGATCGCTGGTGGGATTGGTGGCGGAGTGGGCAGATGATCGCCCTGCGGCTGGAAGCCGTTCTCATCATCGGCCGAGTAGCTCAGGGTGATCAGGTTGCCCTCGGGCGAGGTGTACGATACCGATCCCCGGGCGATGATCACGTCACTGGAGTCCGGGGAGGTGGCCTTCTTCAGGGTTCCGGTCTCCTCGGCCTTGATTCCGTTGGCCGTCTCGTAGCTGCAAGTACCAAGCGATCGAAAAAAATCAAACATTACTCATGGGGTTTAACCAAATTCACCTTGAATTGAAGATTTTGTTTGCTATTTTCGGTCACCTTGTTTTTATGCATCAGCCAACTGGCGCCAGGCAAATTAAATTAATATTCAATAAACTTTTAGCATTTCTGCTCGGAAAGCTTGCTTCCATTTAAATATGGTTCATTAATCCATATTTCTTAAGCTTCATTAGCATATTCTTTTCGAATAGCTGGTTTTGTTAATGAGTCATGGGAAAGGGGTGTTGGGGGCTAACTAAAACAAATCTGTCGCTTAAAGACAATTTATAGTTTCATTTTGGGGATTTTTTCATAATATGAATTTTTATACTTTATTCTTTTAGGCCATAAAGTATGCTATAAAATTTCAGTTTTTACTCACGGACAGTATTTAATGACTATAACACTTGGATCTTTTGAGCGCGGCTTTAAACTACTTTGAATTTTAGAGGCATGAGGTAATTAAAGGTTGAAGTTCAATTGACGTGTAAAGATAATAAGCTCGTTAACACTTGTTATAATGACTGTTTATTATCTCAACTGTTTGGGATACAAATGCTTACCAAAGAACAGCAAATTACTTAGACCATTTTGGTCTTCAGGAATGATGACCAATTTTTCTCTTAATTATTTGAATGGATATTTTGAGTACTCACGCATAATTGTATGATCCATCCGGCTCTATGTTGGACTCCTGGCTGATGATGGCGATGGGCTCCTCCGCTTTTTGGGGGGCAGCCTGGCAGCAGCTCATCAGGGCGGCGACCAGCAGACAGAGAGCAAACTGTCAAAGGGAAAATGAAATGGAAAGTGCCGCAATGTTAACCGAGCTAATAAACATCTTGAAATCGTGAACGATGCTATTATGCAACGTCCCCGGGTCCGAGAGCCGAGATTTATTGCCTTAGCTATTTTATTTGCTGTTCTCACATACCGAGCTTTTTAGACACCTTTTGAGGTCGGCAAATAGATGCCAATTAAATATTTTCCACATTTCCACACACACGATGTCGACTGACTCAATTAACTTGTACACAAAAGAGCATGGAAATCGCGGGGCGTGGTCCTCTGTCCCATCGGTGTCTTCGGTTTTAATGTGCTTTTATTTTTTTTTGGCAACACAGAGTTCACTCCAAATCGACTCTTGGGCAATTGTCGCTGAGCTAAACTGAACTGAACTGAACTGAGCTGAATGGGTTTCATGTTCCATTTGGGATTCCAATTTCGTGTCTGAACTTTTCAGGCCGATGGACAGCTGCCAGGTGTTGGTCCGTGGGTCTGACTCTGACCTTTGCGTGGCATTCCATACACCTCGCATCTGCGCCTGTGCTGCATCTGAATCCGTTAATTGCCTTTGGCTTTTAAGCCATTCAAATGGCAAGACGTGTCTGCCCCCGTTGGCAATATAGCATATGCTATATGCTTTTGCACCCGCCTTTACTGCCGGCGGGCCACGTAATTGCGGAAGATTTGCCCAAACACAAAAATACGCTAAAGGGCTTTGGGTTTTTTTGTATGAGTCGTAATAAATGCCTAAAAAGCTATGGGCTCACCTCAGGCGATTGATTTACGAGTACTTTTACTACCTCAGCATGGCCGCCCATATATTTTATGAGCACATTTGAGAGATGTGGATTGCCCAGGAAGTATACCTTTGGCACATTTATGAGCACCAACTAATTGCTAAACAGATTTCAGTATTCTAGAGCAGATTTAAATTGTAGATTACTTGGGATCATTTTTCTCTAATATAGCCAAATAAAATTATTTTACCTTATGCATTTTATTGAAAGACAAATATAAGGGACGCCTAAAAACAAAAATGTATTGAACAGCATAAATAAGTTTCGTTGTTAAAGTCAAAAACTATTTTTCAAAGTGTCCTTTCAATTTAAGATCTTGAAATGTTGTGACAAATGTGTTGTTACCAAAATATATAAATAAAATACTTCAGGCCCTATAATTATATTATAATAAATTATCCTGGCAACTATTTGGTTTTTTTTTTTAATTACACTTTTTAGAACAATTTAAAAATTAAAAATCTAAATAGCAGCCTTTTTTTTTATTTTGCTATATTTTTCACTCTCAAACTTTTGGTTGAATTAGCTATGTTTCGAATATACACTTTTTCGCTAAACTATATATCCCAAAGATTGTTCATCGAATCCCATCCTTGTTTTACACTTTTTTTATGTATTGCATACCGCTTGGAATCACTACCTTTCCTTGGGTCACTTACGTTCTTCATCTTGTTTGAAGCTCAGAAGTGTAATCCAAAAGGCAGTATTATCCTTTCGACTGGGGACCTCAGCACTGCAGTTGTTAATTGAACGAACGTTGTTATTTAATGATGCCCAATGCCGGCAGGTGAGTCTATTTATACGAAAATTGCACTGACGAGGTTGCAAACAATTCAGTTTCAGTTGGCAAAGCGTCGCACACACAGACAAGATGCAAAGCTGCGACACGAGTACGGCCAAAACCAACAACGAACAACTAACAACCAACAACTAACTAACAACTTGGTTACTGGGGGGAGGGGGGCTGGTGGGTGGGTGTTGAGGTGCCCAACTGAAGAGAGAAGAAAAACTAAACTAAAGATTCAACGCCTAAGTCGCAGTCGCAGTCGGCGTCACTTTTTGCAAAGAGCAGCAGAAGCGGAGGCTCAGCTGTTCTGGGCTGGAAATAAAGAACTAACTTTGTACTAAGTACACTTAATTTATGCAATTGTTTCAGGTTTTTTCTGCAGAGCATCTACACACATTTAAATATATTGCTTGGTAATTGCATCAGCCGGCGGAAATAGATACACCTAGATAAAATAGTTTGTTAATTCTTAACATAGATTTTATTTTTGTAAGAAAGGTATTATTCCTTATTCTAGTCCAAACTTCTCTAATCAAACTTGTACGCAAACGATCTAATATTTTCATAAAAAGGTTTCATTAGACTGAATATTTAAAATTCAAAAATTGAAGCATTCAAAATTGATACACAGAGAAAAGCTTAAAGCAAATAAAAAAGTTATAAGTTATTTTAATTTCAGAAAGTTAACCTAGAGCATATATAAATTCCACAATTTATCGGAAACCCTAATCATTATTAGTTAGCAATAACAACTATTTCAAATAATTTCAAGACTGTAATGTTAAGACATTTGTGTGCTTAGGTAAACATTTTTTCACTTGAGAGGTATTTCTAAGACACCCAGATCCTATACCCGTAGTTGTGGAATCTATTTCTCTCAGTGTAAGTACCCTGCAAGCGGCAAAAGCAAAACGGTCGATAAATACGCCCCATTTAAATGATAAAGATAATGAAGATACCTATCTCGGCCGCCGGCGTTGCCACCTGACTCGAAATGGGGCAGACCCACTGCTTTTTTTTGGTGAGGGGGGATGCTGAACCGTTGCATTTAAATGCACTGAATTAATCGGGCATCGCAATCAAAGTCAGGCAGCCATCTGAGCGGTGGCGTTACTGGTGGCCATACCATGCCCATTCCCTGGTACTATCCGTACCCAAGCCCATGGGCAGACCTCAAACTGAAGCCGTGCACGGGGTCAAAATGCCAGAAATTGCTAAACGCCAAGTTGGGGCTGTTGTTGTCGTCGCTGCCAAAGTGTAGGCGCGTCTAATGAATAGCTTTGGGCCAGCAGATGGGGCCAGACTTTAAGACTTTTAGTCTTTGGCTGCCACACCGACCCGAGCCCCATCCCCGATCCCCCATCCACCACGCTTCATCCTCCAACTTCCATCTCCACTTTAACTGCAACTCCGACACAGACGGCGACAGAATTTCGTGACAAGATTGTCCCAAAGATTGTGGCCGTATTGTATTGTTATTGTCTTTGGCAACCAGAAGAGATCGGAAAAAAGAAGAAAACCCATATAGTACCAGTACATACTATTGCCGAACTTAGTATTTGGGGCCTGAACTGAGCAAGTTAAAGGCGAAGCCGTCGAGGTGGAAGTCAAAGTCTGATTATTGTTCCCTCGCTCTTTTCGGCTGGGTCGCAATAATTATGAAGACATTCGACTGCATTAATTTTAATATTTATTGTATTGCTTTTAAATGTTTAATTCCACTTAACTTGCTGTCTGCCTACTGAGATTTATGTTCTCACTTGGCCATTTCCCATCTGGGCTTATTATTAGGCGTCGGAACCTTGAAATGTTACGCATGGCTTCGGCGATTATGATCCCCAGCCGGCGAACCCGATGCCACCAAATGTCAGTTGGCTATCCGACGTCTGGCTACATGGTTATATAGCTATATGGTTATATGGTTATATGGTCACATTCTGGTTGCCCAACCAGTTCTCGCCCGCTGTCCACTTTGAAGGTCGCGGCGCGTTCTTTACGGCATACAACGTAATTTGTTTTAAAGACGTTTTGAGTACTGTCTGCAATTTGATACCCAGCAGGGGGACGGGTATGATGGCCACCAGTTGCGAGGCGACGAACCGAGGTGCAACTTTCGTCTACTTTGTCACAGAGCATCTTTTTAATAATAGAAACCTATATATATTTTAGAAAAAGAACTTCGTAATCTAGGTTTTAAATCAGCTTTAAGCTTAGCCATAATAAAAATAGCAATGATCTTTAAGAACCCAATAAACAAATAATTTATCTGGAAATACTGAATTTTCGGGCTGTAATATTAAATTGTTTAAAATAAATTAATTTTCGTGGTTACTATTATTAAATATATCGAAGACTATTTTTTTAGACTTTGTTATTATGAAATCTGGCAATGAAATATGAAGATTTTAAATGGGGTGTTTTAATAAATAGTTATAAAATGTATTGTAGAAGCAACCTATGTAGTCTTTTGAATATTTTTCGAAGCCTTCTTCTCAGTTAAACTTAAATTCTGTAGCCAAAGTTCAAGAGATTTCTGTGACACCGAGATCGGCTTAAGCTCTTAAAATCCTAACCAAAATCCTTTCGAGCTCAAGATCAAATGTTAATAGCCAAACGACAACTCCCAGCTGCCCAGATATTCGCGGTGGCATCTCTGTAAATCGGTTGTCCGCATTGATTTAGCTGTTGCGTAAGAAGCTAGAGCCGCCTTTTGGCCAATTCGTAGCTGGGTCTGCGGACCAGCCTGGCATACTTTGCACTGCCTAATGCTAATGTCAATGCGGGCATAAATAAATAATTGCACACCGCAGCAGAAGTCACAAGCAATGGACGAGGCGGCGAACCAGTTGCTGCGGTTAAATGTCAGTGGTTCTGGTCATGTCGCGATCCCAGCTACTGCAATTTGGTGGAATACTGTGGCTGGGAGTGGGAAATGCTAGCTGGCGCTGGCGCTGGTATGAGCTGCCCATTTCATGGTCAAGGATAGCCAACACTGTGCTCCGGTTTGCCGGCCTAAACTGGTTCGAGTGGTCAGGAAGGTGCAACGCTTAACTGGAGCACATGGCATCGAGCAATGAATCATGGGCTGACCTTAAGCTTAAGCCAACACCAGTACACCAGTTCTAAGTTGCCGCATCTATGCTAATCCGTCTGGGCATCCGAGTATCGTTGGGCTCAGTTTATTAATGTAATTTATGCAAATTGACAAACATCTCAAATGGCAGAGGGATCGATCTGCAGCACGTGGGCGTCGTCGATTACGGCTCATGGCTAATTAATGCAAATCGCGGCCAAGACATTTTTTATGCGGGAGTGGGTCTTCGGTAACTCCCCCCATAAGCGAATTTGTCACGCCAATGCTCTGACATCAAGTTAAACTTCCCTCTTTACCTTTATTGCCAAGTAATTACCAACATTTCTCAGTTATTTCCCATGGTAATCGCTAGGTAATGCCGTTAATTAACAAGCTATTTTATTGATTTTATTTATAAATAGCTATTAGCCACATTTCAAGCTCACCACTGTAAATAATATTTGCAGAATCAAATCCACCAACCAGCTGACGATGGTTAGTATAACCAAATCTTTGTAATTTAAAAACTTGGATCGGAGTAATTGTAAACTTTGGGTTGTTGTCAATCCGAAATATGTAGCACACAATGTGTAGGAAACTAGTAGTTTGCTGATGAAGACACAGAATCTTTTAGCTCGGGACATTCGTGGAAATCTAGGCGATTCCCTCCAATTTCCGGTCACAGGTTGCCACAGTGAGTAATTGATCCAAAGCAGCTCAAAGTGCGCTTTGAATCGAGTCTTCCAACTGTCGAGGAACCTTACGTCTCCAGAACGATAGATCAAGGATGATGACAATAAAAACATATTATTTTGTATCCATTTATTGACCATAAAGACCTGCGTTTCGCCGGCTTGAACATCGGTCACCTCTATGCGGCGCAGATACCAACTTGAAAAACGTCCCGCATTGTTATGGTAAACCAAAACTTTTGTGGGTATACGGATGTCTCGCGTTCGTATGCATATATTTAATGTGATATTTTGCTTAAGAATTATATGCTCAGGATCTTGTAAGATCGTAATCTTCCGCTGGGTTTCAAATGGGCTATATAATAACAGCGTAACCGATGCGGTGGTCCCGGAATTCAAGCGACCTCCGACTTTAAGACAGACTGTCAAGTCATGTAGCTCTCCTGTAGTCTCATCCTCCGTCTCAAAATTCTGATATAAAACCGTTCTACTGGGAAGAACATTTCGGTATAAATAGAACAAAAGTATCCACAGTAGTATAAAAACCAGTGTAATGGCATAAAATATCACAATTTTAACATTGAGATGTGGTTCTGTATAGACACCAACTGGAACCTCAATGGGAGGAATATAGTACAAATGGTTGGTGTATGTTCCCAGGATATCGCAAGTGCAGCGAATTCCCTTCTTGCAACTCAGGTCCATTGTGGGGTAACATCCAAAGTGTAACCATTTTTGCTTGTCCGGTGGAAAGCTATATGGCCAAACATCACAGCTACGAATTTGAAAGGAAAACGAAAAAGTGGCCGGTCCATCGGCTATTGGTGTATTGGGGCTATGTTTAACCGAAATATTAGAGGCAATTCGTATTGCAATATAGGCCCGCCTTCCTGAATGGCAATTATTTCGCATAAGCAGTACTTTAATTTTATCTAACGCCGGGATCAGGCAAGTTGAAGTTTCAATTTCATGAAACAAAGGTTTATACCTCGTTTTTAGCACTATCTGTAGATCGTGAGTGGTCTTAGTGAAATGTACAGCCAGTAATGAGTGTTCCATCAGCATTATGCGGTACATACGAACTTCATGAAGAGTCCAAATGGTTCCCGTTTTCATGCAATTTACATATATTCCAGCATGGGAAATATGATCCGAACGCTTCTTTCTCGACTGATTTAGAACAATCGGTTCGGCGTGATATGTCACCTTCGTTTTAAAGGAAATTTTAGTTTTGTTGAGCGGTACTTGAACGGTAAAGTTATCTTCTTTTTCATAAATGCGAACAGAAACTACAAGAGCACTTGGTTGTTTCTCTAGTGGGTACCACCAATTTAGTTTCTGTTTAATAGATACCACCTTAAGACAGCCATGACCATGATTTTTGCGCAAAACTTCTTCAAAAACGCCTGGCGTAAAAGTAACAACTTGAATTTTATCCCTTGTCCTTACAATGATGTTTTTTTTTGGAAATTTGTCAAAGCATTGAACTTCCACTACAACTTCCTCTTTCCTATAACCAGGATTTAATTGGAATTGATTGCGTTGAAAATGTCTAAAACTTCGCTGAAGGCGCTCCGTTTCCGATGTAGAGTTGAATATTACCCATGGAAATATGGTTTTTCCGATGCCCAATGTTTGGACGGATCTTTCGATAAGGTCAATTTGCTGATTATAAATTGACCATGGAGGTTGGTAGGTCATTTTGTGTAATCTTTTCATCATTTCATAGATCTTTAAGCAAGCTAAAGAAATGTCAATAAATGGCTTTTCCGTTAGAAAAGATATATTATCGTTGAGGTGTATTTCCTGTAAGTTATTATTTATATTCATAGCCACCATGGATAGTAAAGCTTTTGTCTTTTGATCTACGGGATATAAACGGTGTGCTAATGTTAAACTCAGATTAACCAATCTTGCGAGTGAACTCCACGATTGAGGATGGATCGATGTGAAGTTATTTAAAAGAAGTGTTCCAGAATCCGCATTGGTTAGGTGAGACGCTAAGGATTGTATGGTTTGTAAATACCGATGCAGAGGTCCTTCTTCCAGAAGGCTTTGAACTTTATGGGGAACTTTGTTCAGGGCATTGACTTTAACCTTTATCCAACTGGTGTGACAAGACCAGAAAACATCGCATACCAGCACTTTTATGAAATCGGTGACAGGTAAGTAAACTTCGCAGTTGCAATCTAGACAGCTATTGAGAAGTACTGGACCGGCATAATACCAATACTCTATTGGGTTGTTCAATGACACAAAGTTTCGGCAACAGGGATAAAATGGTGTGAGTGCCTCGTAGCCTTCTTTTGGATTCACCGAACATGTCCCACCAGTGGGACTCAAATTTTTTACCAGTGTCTTACTTTTTCGACCGTAGCGCCCATCTTCCGATGAAATGAGAAGCTTTACGCGAATCTCATTTAATGATGTTCGTAAATCCATAACCAGCTCCTTGGAAGTAAGTACCAACTGACCGTCGATAAACCATTGGTATCTTACATTTTGATTTCCGCAATTGGTGCATATTGAATCGAGATGCACCTTCGAGTTCGGAATGAAGAAATCCATTCTACAATTCTTTACACATTCTATCATTATTTCTAGGATATTATAATTTATCATTTTAATAATTTGCTCTGTTTGCGAGGAAATATTAGGATTGTCATCTCTAGACACTTGCAAGCGAAAAATATATCTACAACCAGTTTTTAAGGAATTGGCTGGAATAGAAAACTCAGCAACTAATAAAAAATAACATTTTTAAAATATAAATAAAGGTTTTCATGGTAATCTCTCACCCGACGATATGTTTTGATGGCAAAATGGATTACGACTATCGTCAAATGAGTAGCAGTTCCAATTATAGTAAGAAAACTGAATTTCCTTACTTCTCTTAGAGAAGTCGTAACTCGTGGAGCCGTTCATCCAAAGTATTTCACTTTGCTGGGCCCTTCTAGTTTTACCACCTAGAATTACAGCTTCCACCTGACCCATAACCAGTTTTAGATAGCAGCGGGCAGAGAAATTCAGTCCATTAAGGTTTCCCTCGACTTCAAAAACATACAAATTCCGCCACAGTTCATAGGAAGTGGGAAACCGCAATGTAAATGGCCGAATATCAAGGACTGGACTATGTGTATTATATGATGCAAACTGTGCTGTGGAAATGATGAATGGAAAAGGTATCTTAGTAATCTGGACTACTCACTTAACCCAATCGCATCCTTCAGTCTCCAATTATATGTAGTCCTGGTAGTTAAATTGCAGTTTTCCAGAAATAAGCCAGTAATAAAAAGTTCTCGACTGACCAGTATTTTTCTTGGGGATCGGGGATTAGAGCACTTTGGCATTGTCAAACGCGGGGAGCAATGTTCAATGAGATATACATTAATGGGAACGATTTCTTCTATTTCATATAGCAATGGCGTTGGTTTCATTCGACCAAATAGCCTAAGATTCTCATCACTTATCGTCCAAAAACTTGCGGTTAAATTTGCAAAATATCCCTTTTCATAAACAGGTTTTACTTTCGTCTTAATTCCAAAATACGACAGTTTCCTACTGATTGATAAGGTTTTCTTGAACTTGGGCGGCATCACTTTCGTCACGTTTCCAATCTCAAAAAAGGCCAACAGGTAACTGGGAGTACTAAGATGTACTGTAATTGTGCAATTCACTGGAAGTTTTTCCATGGTTATAAGGACATTTGTTTGTATTCCGTAGGGCACATATTCATTGCAATACACCTTCATATTGGCTTCTTTTAGTTCATTGGATTTAGCAAACTGATGAGTCAAATAAACTAATAAAAGTATAAGTATTTTTTTATTTATAGACATATATTCATTTTTACTAAAGGAACTGATAGAAATCTCAATGGATCATTTTTCCCAACATTTAACAAAAATCTTTTTGAGTGACTAAACTTCTTGCAGGCAGATCTAATTTCTATGTAAACTAACGATTAAATCTTTTATGTTTACTTCTCCACAGTTTGACGTATAACCATAAAGAATTGATATGTAATCCTTATCAACTGTGAATAATGTAAAATAATTATTTTAATAAGACATAATAGTGCTGAACTTACTGTCTTAAAGGTTTCCAGGGAAATAATAATAATTCCCTTTGCAGATATCTCCGCAGGACGTTGGGCCTGCGCCATAATAAAGAGTATTTCCTTTTTATATCGCAAGGATCCTTCATACCATTTGTGTTCATATGCAGCCAGAGCTACATTGGTACTCTATAAAGATACTTTAGTAGTCGTCCAATAACTTTTATCCTACTTACCCAATCTTGGAGCATTTGTCCATGTAGACTGACCATATAAAACTGAGCTGTAACGCTAACAAAAAGCATCATATAGGAAATGCCTTCCATGTTAAAACCCTGTACGACGGTATAGTAAGCTGTACAGCAAAGTAAACTAGCAGTGGTGAACAAGTTAGAAGCCAATAAAAGTCCAAATACAGTATTCACGTCCTCGTGATAGCTATCAAAAATAAAAAGTTAAATTAATGCAATAAAGTTACCAGTTGTATTTACTTACCGGAGCATTAGTTGATGTTTTTTGACTAGATTTACCAAAAAATCACAATCCTCTCGTTCTCGTTTCCGATTTGGAATGTGTGAAGATAAAACCTTGGCCAAATAGGCAAAGTGCATAGAGATTTGACTCGTGGTGCACATCATCCAGAGATCTGTGCCCAAACTCACATTCACTATAAATTGACTGTAGGTAAGATCGATAACATATGTCACCACATAACCGAATGGGTTTTCCGAATCAAAGCCAAGACGTGTGGGATAAATTCTTAGATAGGAAAATTCGGCTTTTCCGAACCCTATTAAGTACATAATACACGATTGAAACAGAGGTCCCAGTGCCATGAGGAGCATCAAAGCATAATAGAAATACACAATATATCGAGGGGTTCGTGATAAGTAAAATGTATTGACATCGTATTTCTTTTGGCACTGTTCTTCGTGGGGATATACATCTTTCAGGTTATTACATAGCACTCTTAGGTGTTTTCTATATATCATGAAGGTGACAAACTTTGCCTGGGCACTGAACATGTAAAAGAATTGCAGGGCCTGTCGCATGATTTTCGAGGCACTTCCTTCCACGGAGTCCCATTGAATAAGTCTTAAGGTCACCATGGAAGCCTCGTAAAAATTGCTCACCATGCACAGAATAAAATAGCCACGCATGAGGATTTTCTGCCATCTGGGCCTGGGTGAGTCCATTAAATCGTATCCCAAGGTCTTGAACATAATGCCAGCCATGTAGGTGTAATTCTCGAAGGAACGGTGTTCTCCCATTTTCTCTTTGACTGCTGACATTTTCCACTTCCAACTTTAACTGGCTTTTGGAATTCAACGACCTCTTGTTATATAACCAGTAAAGGGACGTACCGGTTTATATAATTTGCCCACTGAATAATTTATGTTCTAATTGTTTTGTCACTCAATTGCTAAGCAATTTGTGGTTTAAGCTGACACCTTTTTTAAGTGTCATTAGCTGATTTATAATTTAAGGTGTGGTTTAATTTTACCTACCCGGTGTCATCGGTTGCAACATATTATAGGATATAGCTAATCTAATATTATATTCAAATTATCGCATCCCACGCGCCGATACAAACGGAACTCCACATTTGGTCTTGATTACATGTTAAGTCTGTTGTTTAATAATTTATCAAAGCACAGACAACAGAACTCAAAACCTAGCTTATTAAAAGCTAACACAAAAACTCAATGAATATTTAAATACAAAAGTTAAATAAATTCGAGCCAATTAATTAGATGACAAATATTCAGCGGCTCGTTTATGTAAATGAGCTAATAAAGATCTTTTGTCTAACCTATAGGCAGATCTTATTTAACGCATTCCGCAAAGCCGCGACTTTAAAATCGGAACCATAAAAAATACGAATTGCCAACATTTGGACATTTATAGTTCAAGATGTGGGCAAAGTCGGGTTCTGTTTTGAATAGAAATCCAATTTGTTTGGGCTAAGCGTGGATTGCCTATTGATCTCAATTTGCTTTGTTCTCATCCATCGCAGCCATAAGAATGCTAATTTGGGCAGTTAAATAAATAGTATTCTCGTTTTAAGGTGCACATAAAAGGTTCCAATTAATAAAACGAAAACCTGTGTTAGCTGGCACGTGACTTTTGCTGACTAGTGTAGACACAATTACATAGCTATTGTTGCACTCGTTGACTGCTGTCAAATCGCACGCGAAATGTGAAGGCCGGCGATGCAATCGAGATGACTTCCCCCCAATCCTCCGGCTACTGCCCTCCACCTCCCAGATATCTTCTCCACAGCCAACTCCAACTTCATTCATATTTATTCATGTGCCCGGGTCTCAGTCGCCCATTCATGCTTTATTCACCTCGATTTCTGATGGAAACAATAAATTATATTCGACACAAATGAGTTGAGGTAAACAGAAATGTATGCAAGGTTCGTTAGCTTTTTTTATTGATTACCTAAATGAGAAAAATCTTAAAATATAATTAATCATTTTCGTGCTAGCTTGGTTAGTCAATTGCCTATAGAAAGTTAATTAATCCGTAATTTTGTAGTAGTGATGTAAGCCTAAGTGGGTGGAAAATAATGGAAACTGTAAATCCCAATTAATTTATTCACTGGCTCCTCGAATTTCACTACTGAATACAAAATATTTCTATAATCGAAATTAGCATTTATATCTTCATATGGTTAAACACGAATAAACACTTAACGCCCCCCAGCTGTGTTTTTGCATGTTTAGCCAATCGTTTTGACTGCTACTCTCGGCTCACCTCAGAAGTTGCTACTAATTTTAATTATACAAACAAAAGATACGCGAATTATAATAAAAACCAATCTAAATTCTAAACGGAAATTGTCAAACTCTCTGGCCCGAAAGTTTTTAGCTGCCCGCCGACCAAATACAATAAATTTTATGGACTGAAATTTGATGCTTATGCAAAATGGGCTGGTTGAGACTCAAAGTTGGTTATAAAACGATCTGTTTGCCGCGGAAGCTGTTACAGTTCTGTCGGACAGATCATCGTTGAAAGTTGCCAAAAAACCAAAATGTCTTTGAAGCTGGTAAATTTGTTTGAACGCCAAAGAAAGTGTTTTGATCTAATGTTGAGTGTGCTTCCAGTTATCCTGCCTTTTTGTGCTCACCCTGGCTACGATTGCCTGTGAGGGTCAGACCCAGTACAATCCCTACCTGAGGAACCCATACTACAGGGATCTGTACTATAGGAATCGCGATTTGTACAACCTGCGGCGCTACTACGATGGCTTCTACAAGAAGTACAATCCCTACATTGCCGCAGCCCAGGCCAGAATTGTGCAGCAGAAGAACGATGTGAACTATGGAGCGGGATCCTATGCCTACAACTATGAGACCGAGAACGGCATCCATGGCGAGGAGCGAGGTGTCCCGGTGAACATCGGTAACCAGCAGCAGGAGGAGCAAGTGGAGGGAGCCTACTCGTTCATCACACCCGAGGGTCTTCGAGTGGGAGTCAAATACCTGGCCGATGCGAACGGTTTCCGTCCCGTGATTACATGTGAGTATCTTTAGAGGAATACATATAAGAACACTGATTTATTATTATATATTACTCTTTAGATGACGGCGTGAACTCCGCCTTTTACGCAAGTCAGCCAGCTCCGGCCAATGTGGTATACACCAAGCATTGAGATTGATATTATAAACTGCTTAGTTTAGTGAAAAAACGTGTGTTCAGCCTTCCTAAATTAATATAAATAAATACTCAAAATATAAAACATAAGGTTTACTCAAGTTTTTCATTTAAATGAAGGCAGCCATTTTTTCTTTTATTTATTGATTATAGACCACTAAGCTCTTTTTTGCTTGTTAACGCCTTAAAAGCTCTTTCTATTTATTATTCAGCGTAAAAGTGTGCTTTGATTAGTATCTAAAAGTTTAAAACAATTAACTAGAATGCGTAATGTGAAATGAAATGACTTAGATTTTGATTTGAATTATGCACGATTAAGTGGCTTCTGGCAGAGTCATGAAATACTCATAAAACCACAAACATTAATTTTTTTTTGGAAAGAATGGAAACTAGGGATTTGGTAATCTAATGTAGTGCCAGCCCTAATCTCTTAAAACATATTTCTATATAATCATTGTTTGCAAGGTCAGACTTAAATTCAGCTCGAAAAAATTGGGTCAATTCCCGCTTATCGGAATTGTGTATACCAAATGTATTCGGCGCCTACAGAGAACACGTACTTAGATTGAGACTTGTTTTTGTTCGCCTTAGTAGGTTCAACAAACCCATTAATTTTTTTAAACACTGCCCGTATATTGTGTATTGAAAATGTTGAATTAAATTTGGCAAAATGTCAGACACTTTCATTATCAACTGCGTTTTGGCCTTTGAAACGAAATATGCCGTTCAACCCAAGGGCCTTAGGTGATCTTGAAATTCCACAAAATCAAAATTCTTGGTAATTTATAACAAATATTTAGTAGGTTTTATTTCGATATACCATATAACAAATTAGTTATCTTATGCATAGCAACATCGTCAAATTCGACAAGTTCGACAGATAAATAAATACGAAATAACATAGAAGCGGACTATATGTACGAATATTCTCCGGTAGCAATTCGATGCTGATATTAATCACCTTCCTTTTCCTTTTCCTTTTTTTGTTGATTTTTTTTGCGTTATTGCGATGGCTTGTTATAGTGTTTGCCCGTTGATCAAATCACGGCAAATGCATGGGGAATGGAGTTGGGTGTTGGATTTTGGATTTTGGATTCTGGATGGACTAGGACTGTTTCTGGGGCTTGGGTAGCGGGAACATATGGCTGTGGATGAGGCGAGCTCGCAACTCGCACTTAGTGGGATCTGTGTGCCTTTCGCAGGCGCTCCATCTCGACCTGCTCCAAGCGCTCCTCCTCCTCGGCGAGTTCCACCTCGTGCTCCAGCATGCGGATCTGGTCGCTCAGCTCCTTGGGCATTGTCTCCAAATGGATCTGCTTGATCTGGGCCTTAATCTCCTTGGTCATGTGATTGATGCGGAAGCCGCGATGGTCGAACTGAGCTCCGCCATTGGCCTTGTGCTGCTCCTCCACGTACTTGAGAGCGCGGGCGATGGCCTCGGGAATCGGATGGATGTGGTCGCCTTCGGGCATGAAGCCACCATCGTTGGAGGCGTAGTTCACGCGGTACAGCTTGCCATCGTCGCCGGTGTACTCGTAGTAGCCCTTGGCATGGGTTCCTCCGGTGTGGTGAAGCTTGGCCTGCTCCTCGCCATATATTCCGTTCTCGGTCAGGTAACTATTTGGTAAAAGATAAGTATTTAAATGGTAAGTTGGTTTCAGGATCGTTTGCTCTCGATTTTTTATAAGCAGAATAACAACTTGGGAATTATAATATTAAATGTAATTAGATCCTAAGTAGTGGGAAATGTTATTAAAATAAGATCTTGAAAATTCTAAGACGCAATATTGCAAAAAAACATTTTGAGAAATATAAGATGCAAAATCACCGTGAAAGTTTTGGATTTTTACATGCTGCATGACAACTTGATAATTCTAAAAGTATTTTTTTTCAATTACCAAATAAAGAAATCCCGAAATGATTCTTCTAAAAAATTAATTATCTTTCTTCAGCTAAAAACTTACGAATGATCGTATTTGTCCTGCTTGCGGACCTCTTCCTTATGCAGAATCTTGTGGCGACCCTCGTCATCGTAGTTGAACAGGATATTCCGGGGCGTGGTGGTGGTCGTAGTGGTTGAAGTCGTCGTCCTTTTGGTGGTTGTGGTGGGTTTCTTTGTGGTCGTGGTCTGCGAGTGTTGTTTTGGGTGTTGTGATCATTTGCTTGTATTCGGATCTGGCGTGTGGGCATGCGTGTTGTGTGGCATGGTTTTTGGTGGTAAAGGATTTGGGGGACATGCAGGATACCGTGTGGTGGGGGTGTCATGTAGCGCGGAATGTTTGATTTAATTGCAGAGCCGAAAAACGTTCGCATTTTTGCTTGGGCTGATTATGAAAGCAGTGGGTGTTTCGGGAATTTTGGGTTTTGGGGGAAGTGTCGCTGTGTTTGCCGGATGTTGGAATTCGGGGGGATCTTGGGGGATCTTAGTACTGTGTGCTCGGTTGGTGATGGGGTTCATGATCGGGAAAGCCGTACTCCAAGGGAATTGCTGGCACATTAAACTCGGCGTTACTTACTGTGTACAGGTCGTGGCTAAATAAGGAGGAAATATATAAAATAAATCACAATACCCATACGAATTCAATTGAGCTACTCACTTGTAGGGCCTGTCGTCATGGACATAGGGAAGATTCAATCCGGCATAGGGTCCATAGCCACCGTCATAGGGATTGGGAATGTGGTGGTAGACTCCGAGCTCACGCTGATCGTCCACATGTCTATAAGGCTGTGGCATGTGGTGATAGCGACCTTCAGGGAAACAAAACACATCAATGGTTAGTGGACTGACCAATAATTAATGTTCCGTTTTGTTTAAGTGTTTTTGGTGAGTGACTTGCGTTTAAGTTTTGAAACTATTCAAGTTATACATATCCAACATTAGATATTTACAGAATTAATTAGTTTCTCATTAAGTGTTTGTACAAAGGAGGCAGTTGAGTTTTAAAATCTTTCAATTTAGTGCTAAACTACAGTCGTTAAACTACAGTTAAGGCAAAATACACAACAGTGCAATAACCTTAGGGGTATTTTTCAAAAAGGGATTTTTGACTGCTTTTTGTGTGGAATGAGTTCGGATTTGTGTGATTCTGTGTGAGTAATGTGACTTTCTTTCAGTTGTTTACCTAAACTTTCTTGCGAACCACTCCGTCCTATAGTACGAGTATAAAAGATTAAATGTTTAATATTAGAGTGCTCAAATAAGAATTGCTTTTTGGTTAGTGTTGGAAGCTCATCTCAAGGCCTGCATATTTTCATTTTTGTTTACAATTTCGCTAATTTAAAACGTCAGCCTTGAGCTTGAACTTATTAGACAGTCAAGAGATTATTCGTATAAGTGAGTGTGTGTGTTATCGATATCATCGGGTATACAAATATACATGTGTGGTATAGTATGCATGTTAGTATCTGGGCAAGTCTGACTTGCTTTTCGATCGATTCACAGTGCTGGGGGGGTTAGTGGGCGGCGGCAGCGGCATGCAGTCAGTGGGCGTGGCAGTAGGCACGATATTTTTTAGGATGGGGCTCACGAAACAATACCTTCGTTCTGAGTATTCCCATGGTACCGTCCATCGTCGCTGGGGCGATACTTTCCATCGCTAGAGGATTGCTGTGGAACAGTATACTTGCCATTATCGTCCGGAACTGGACTGGTGTGGCAGACAGCAAAGAGGGCCTGCGGAAGAAGAGGATGTGATTTGTATTATTTCATTAAATGCGACAGGAAGTGGCATCAATAACTTTGAACATTTGAATGTACTTGATCACTAAGCATTTGAGTTTTTAATTTATCTGCGGATCCTGCTAATGATTCAACGGCTGAGAAAAGGTGCAGCAGCCAAAAAATTTAATTGTGCTAAAACTTGCTCGGAAACAAAAACTCAAGAGGTAATTAAATTAGGTTGGATTCTACTTTTTTTTCTGACACACATGAGTTACACTTGGCGACACAACACACTTTTGGCACTGATCAGGATACACATCCTTTTTCGCTACTCACCACAACCAGGGCGAAGCTCAGCATAGACTTGGTGAACATGATGGCTTTGATTATCCTTTTTGGGGGGAAATATCCTTTGACTTGTTGTCCGGCTGACTGGGTAATCCTGCTCGAAAGGCGACTGCAACAGGAATGTTTGGTTTCCCTTCCAGTACACCGGGTTTATATAGAAATAAGCCAGGTTCGCAGTCGCAGCGCTGCTCTCAACGCATCGACGCGCCTAAAATTCTCCGAGAGAAGATTCGTCGGTTCATTTCGGTTCATCAGCTAAATTTCTTGAAGAGAAATACCCCGAGCTGCTCCCTTTTGATTTTTAGACAGATGATGATGCCGAATTCTTCTTGTCTCACCTTTTTGCTGGCTTCTCTCGCCCTCTCCAACTTAATCGCTCTCCGTAACAATAATTTAAATAGCGTATCAATGCCACAAGTAAATGTAATTACACACATTACCAATTAAGCAATTTGTATTATTTGGCAAATGTCGCTTTATCGAGTTCATCGCCCACTACATTGATCTTTTTGGAGCTAAGGATACTGGGCTTTGGATGACTCGTCATCAAGTTGTTTACTAGTGGTTAAAAGAAATTCCCAGGTTTTTTCAACAAAATTGTCATCGAAATTCGGCTGAACAATAAGAGCGAATCATGTTGGCATCCATTTTAATTAGCTGATAACTGAAGGTGAAGTTCAGGTCAGCGCAGACGTCACTAAACAAAGATTAACATTCTTAAACAATATATACATAGGTGAAACGTATTTAGTAATTTGGTTTTTCTGTGTCATCGATGTGGGAACAATATTTCAGTTTGAGCAAGAAAGAAAACAAATTGAATTATACGAAAACAAATAAAACATGAAATTCATAGTGCAAAAGTCATGGCGTATACTTGATATTTAAAAACATGCTAGAATCCATATCAACAATCTGTGTGTACGAAATAAGGTAATTTATATTTTTTAATAAAATCTTTTAATATATTTATTTTATGTTTAGATTTGCAGATAAAATCCATAGAACACAAATACTTTTGTATAATACCAAGAGTCTGCGGGTCGTATACTTAATATTTTATTTTCTTAATCAATTTTATTGACGATATATTGCAAGGAAGCAATATTCAAAGTAACCCTATATATAACTTCCCCAATCCCAATCCCAATTCACAGCTGGAGCCTGAAGTTAACTAGTTGTGGCAACCGATGACAACATCGCATCGCAGATTCGTATCCCCAACTACCTGGAGGCACTCGGAAGCGCCATAAAAGTGCCGTAATGAAATCATAAATTACGCACCAGCGGAAATACAGCAAAAAACTGTACAAACAATATAAATAAAATAAGAAACAATTCAGACAATGCGCACGCCAGCCGCAATGCGAAATGCATTAATATCGGAGCTAAAGATCGAGATGGAGATGAGGATGAGGATGGGCTTCGGTCTGAGTTTCAATTTCGGGGCTCACAGCATACAGCCAGTCGTGCATATAACCGGAATCGGATGGAACCGGCAAAAAGAAAAATGTTGTCAAAAACGAATTTAATTGTTTGTGGCAAACGTTGACACCGAGGCGCTGACAGTGATGGCTTGGGGATCGGCTTGGAATGAGTCCTTAACGGTTAGCATCTATAGATGCTGCCAAGCGAAGAAAGACATATAAATCTGATCATAAGTTGTTTAAAAAAAAGACAGCATTTTATATTTTATATCGATATATTTAATTTTATCTCCCATATATTTTAGTATTGTTGTGGATCAACCAGAAGTCGGAAAGGTTTCATAGCATTGTAAGGAAGTGCTGATTTTTCTGCCATATGGAAAACCAGAAACTATAATCTTAAGTTTGTAACCACCCTGACTCCACAAAGACTTTAATTAAAATCCCAAATTCTACATTTAATAATTACTATTATTAATATTATTTTTATTATTATTAATGCCTATATATAAATAGCTAATCTAGCCTTTGTTTTAAATTTTAAGTAAAAGCCCGGAAAGAAATTTATCGGTAAGTCTAATATTTGATATCTATAAAACAGGTATTTCATTTGTATCCCTTCATTCCTTATTTTAATTATACAGATCAACATATCTATACCATGGGCGAATGAAGGTAGAAAAAGGCGCTTGAAGGTCAATCTAATGTGTTATTTGTAATATTTAAATATAAAATGAAAGCTAAGTTTAAACTCTAGTCCGATTGCTTTCCGTGTATGGCCGCATGGAGAATGATTGTCAGTGCACATTGGCGGGCATATGGCGATTAATAATAGCCATGCACATAAACTGTGATTAAAACGCCGCATCTTGGGACTGCCGAGTATCCAAGCACCGATGCTGGATACCGAGTGCCGAGTTCGAGTTCGAGTATCGATACTGCGTCACAGTCACTGCACTCCAAAGGTCGTACGCTGAACCCAGATCCGATCTGGAGACCAAGACGAGATCCCAGTGCAGATCGGGGCGGAGGCGATCCCGACGATCACCCGGAGCAGAGCAGATTGGTGGGTGAATCACGGCGCGTGCTGTTATTGTTACTTTGCGAGGTGGCTCTCGGATTCGGCTTTTGGCGATATCTATATGGGGGCATTCATTAAAGTCACAAGTACTTAATAAATATTTAAATAAGACGACTTTTTAATCAATTACAAGTTCGATTTGTGATGTTCAGATGCCTGCCTCTTGATTTGCATGCTATTCCAAATCACACCGCAGGAGTGCTGCTGGTGTTATTTTATTAATCCAACGCAACATATACTTGGTATACTTGACATTGACCTTGAGCCGCAAGCTGGCCAAATCTGGCACTTTCTTCGATGCGTCACATTCCATATCTCAGGGTCCAGGTAGGATCGTTTCGGTTAGATTTTAATCTGGCCGGCCGCTCAAGTATTTACGATCCATATCCAATGTCAGAACGAGTTTGTTTGGGTTTATTTGGTATCAGTGACTTTATTGACAAGGCGTCACCTTTGAGAAGTGTCGCATATAAATCATTAATCTGCTTAAAACTATTTCTGCGGCCTAGAGCGTTCCAGGAAGTGGTAAATTGCTATTACTGAACACGAGAACACACCCCAAAAAGTGTCGTCGACTAGACGGGAAGAAGGATTTTCCCACAGACGAGGGCCAAGAAGATCAGCAGTGTTGGCAGCCGGAAGTTCGATGAGGGAAAGCTGGCTGAATTGCACAGTGATCCACGGCAATTACAGTATTCTGCTTTATCCGTCTTGGTGCAGCCCTCCGGCAAATCCATTACGACATATACATCAACCCACTCTTTCACGACATAATCTTGGGTCTTGTTAACCTGTCTTGCACACCCTCTCCGCGTTGTTTTCCACTGCTTTCCATTTAACTCATGAATCCTGGTGATCTTCGAGCACATCGTTGAGTTTGGACATTCCTGCACCCGTCCTATGGAATTCAATGGAGGACCGCACGAGGTGTCCGACTCCTTGCACTCGTAGCATTTAACCACTTCGCCAGAGGCCAGACCCAGCATCAGACAGACGACGCTGATCCAGCATAGCCCCAGTGGGAGCTTAGTTCCGCTTCGCATGATATCCGGACGCACACTGCCCAGCGGTCTTCCGAAGTTGAGTCTCGTGGAAGAGTATTTTCAAAACAAAGTGATTAAGCCGAGGGAATCAGCATGTGTCACTAAGTCAAACCCTTGGTACACAGCTTACAGCTGATATGCAAGCGAATGTGGAATTTATCTCAACCGACAATGTTTTGTGTTGCTTTTGGCGGGCGTTCCCATATCTTTCAGGGCTGTGAATTGGAGCATTATGCTAGTAGAGCATATTTGTAATATTCAGCGGTTATTGACGTAATCTTTGGGGCAAGCCCTGATCTTTTGCTTAAATGCATACTGTAATTGTAGTCTGCTTATTGTAGTATGCTTAAATACTTTTACATTATTACCAATTAAACCACTCTAAATAATAGGACCAATAGAAATACTAAACTGTGCTAACAATGCAGATATAGATGTTAATGTATCTTTACAGATCTCCGTTTTTTGTGCATTGAAGCTCTGAAAACGCATTCTTGAAAAATGTCGGCTTCTAAAATATAAATATTTAAATATGATTTTAATTGAAGCGCAGTCAAAATCTTAAAGCTGCCTACTAAAATCACCAAATACCCAAACCTCTAGTCTTTATACCCGTTACTCGTAGAGTAAAAGGGTATATTGTATTCGTGCAAAAGTATGTAACAGCTAGAAGGAAGCGTTTCCGACCCTATAAAGTATATATATTCTTGATCAGGATCACTAGCCGAGTCGATCTAGCCATGTCCGTCTGTCCGTCTGTCTGTCCGTCTGTCCGTCTGTCCGTCTGTCCGTCTGTCTGTCCGTCTGTCTGTCCGTATGAACGCTGAGATCTCGGAAACTATAAAAGCTAGAAGATTGGCATTTTGCATGTAGATTTTAGAAGTTCCTACGCAGCGCAAGTTTGTTTCAAAATGGTGCCACGCCCCCTTTAACGCCCACAATGGCTTATATACGATTTTAAAAATTTAAATATTTCGGAAAAGTAAAAATGCAGTTTTATTGTGTTTATCAATACCTATCGAAATGTAGAAGAAAATTTTCAAATCGGACCATTCGTTAAAAAGTTATGCGTGATCAAAGTTTCTATCTCCATCTCCCTCGCACTCCCTTTACCTGAGTAACGGGTATCTGATAGTTGGGGCACCCGACTATAGCGTTCTCTCTTGTTTTTGTTGAATTCATTGAGTTAAAATTAACAAACATTTCCAAACCGATTACAATAAGAAATTACGTTATTTCCAAGGCATTCCTGTTTGGGATCAGGAGACCTCTCCGCCCGGCTCCGCATATGATTTACAGGTATCTTCACCTCCCAATTCTTTTCAGAGTCTTTAGCATTTAGCGCAAAACAAATGAAACCTTTATAGGCTGTGTATTCCGACAATGCCTATAAATTAGTCTCATTTCGCGTGGGCATTCATATTTCTCCTCTGAACTTGGTTTTTTTGATTTTTTTGTTGAGAACTTTTAAGTCAGAAATTGTTCACCCGGTTTAGCAGCCAGAGATTTGTTTAATTATCATTCGCTCTCTTTTTGGTTTAATTAGTACACTTTGTGGCATCGCATTGTCATCGGATGTGAGTGAATAAATCAGAGTTGCACGCCTATAAATATTGGTAACTGCTGAAGCCAGTTTAGCCACCGAATGCCAAAATAGATGGATTGCTTTTGGTAGCAAACGGTGCATTCACATTTTAATCGACTCCATTAACTACAAGCGATTTATGCCAGCAATTGCTGGCATTTGTTTTACCCAACAAATTCATTTACAAAACGAAATTTAGCTGTGAGGCCAAAGTAACTTGGCAACTGGAGCAGGGCCCAAAAAACAATGAAACAAATTACCACTCACAATGACTTGTAATTAGATTCGAGTTGACCGAATGACATCTGATTACCCAAACGTGGTATTCGACACCTGGACTTGGAATGGGGAGCCCTAAATAACCCGAGTTCAAAGCTCCCAAATTATTGATCAATCCCGTATCTCACCCTCTCTTGGAGGTGCTAAATAAAATAAATTTCAAAGCAATTTCATTTCGGCTCTTGTAAGGAGAAGATAAAATAAATTTTAATAAAAAGGAAAAATCACGTATAAATAAATTTTGCAGCCTGACAAGTGCGAATAAGAGAAATGTGTTTTTATATTTCACCAGTGCCTCTGGATGAGATCAGCGCAATGGAATTTAAATATTATTATGCAAAGCGAACTTCCACAGAACTCCCTAGGTCCAGCAGATAAATCGAGTCGGATGGAGCCCGGAATTATCGTTAAATATTTTACTGCAGGCGCCGTCTGGTGGCAACAAAGTCTGCGGTTAAAATCAATTTATACGACCATATTGTATAGTTGCCAATTGTCAGTTGTAAGTGGTGATAATTTGCGCACACGCATAAATTTCGACGCGAAGGACGATTTGTAAAAAAACTGCTGGTTGGTTGGGGAATATTCAAACAAGATTAATTAATTGGCCGCAAAACACCAAATTACGCACCATATTGTTGACTACCCACTGCCAGGGGCAGTCTCTCTTTATTTATTTCAGATGAATAATTTAAAATCTGGATACAATTGGCGATTTCACAAACCAGACTCACCGAGTCAACGAGAGAGGGGAGAAATGTGAACCTGTTGGCTTATCAACAAGTTGCAATTATAATAGAATTTTTAATTGCCCACCGATGATCCATCGATTGTCTGGAATCGATTAAGTGAGAAACCTGGGTTTCTTAACCCCATGAATCATGGGATAACTATTTTCGTTAAGTCACTTCCTCACCATGATCGAATAATCCAAATATGCACAAGGTTCGAGTCAAGAGTTCAAGCCAAAGAACCTTGTTTTGGGGGCGTGGTTGCTTTCGATTTCTCACATCTTTTAAATATTCTAGAGTTTGGGATCCACCACGATGTTGTGATTTCCAAAATCATCGGCTCTGACTTTTTGATTAATGAATATCGAATCGGCTGCGTTGACCGATCTGCCAGCTTGATTGATTGACAGCTATTATTGTTATTAATGCTCATTAAAACAAAACGGGCGTTTCATTGTTTATGATGCGTTTTAAATTTGATTTAAACGACACTAATTACCTTTGATCCTTTCGGATTTGCTGAAATGTAAACAAATTGAAACTCGTCTCACCAATCGATCTTCGATGAATGGAGCGGTTGAATGTCTTTTTTTTCGGGGGTTATCTCTTCTGGGTTCTGGAAGCTGATTCATAAATCGTTAAATAAAAAGGTGAACGACTGCCAAACAATCATTTAAGGCCGGTTTCTAAACAAGGAGTTATGGATAAATTTATGGATATTTATTTATTTTTTTATTTGATCATAAATTTTAGATTAAGACATATCAGCCTCAGTTATCACTTAGAATTTGGTAAACGACTTGTTAACACTGTAGTTTGTCTTAACAACGAATATTATTGATTTTGAAATGGACTGTTGGTCAAACAGGTTAAACCAAATACTTACCAATCAAAGTTTAATTGTAAACATAACTAATTATGATATTTTAACATTTTTTTAGAGGTGCCATCTGCCTCCTGCCGTTGTCGCCCCCAATTTTGATCCGGCTTGCCCCGACTTGCATCTCAGAAAGGTTAAAAGCGACACGTTGTTGCCAATGCAAACGAGTTGCTAACTAAGTTGCTTCTGTCTGAATGACTTGTTAGTATGCAAAGAATTTCTATACGGATGAGCTGATATCGATTCACCGGCCACCGAATCAGCTCGCGTCCCGCCCATATTAAAGATATATAAACGATGTCGTCTTGGACATAAACCCCGCGATTTATTAGCTAAACGACAATCGGCTATGGGGATCAAAACTAAAATGGACAGCGGGTGCATTGGGGTCGAGTCAGACGTAATCAGGTAGTCGACATGGACACACGTTTGCTAGTTGCACTGTTGCTGATCGCGGCTGCCAGGGCAGAGGATCAGGACGAAGATCTGCGAAAGCGATTGAAGCCCGGCCGATATGTTCCCCAGCTGCACGGAGCTACGGGTTGGTATATGCCGGATAATAGTGGAAAGTACCAGCACGATCCCCGACCCTACGACGGTGGTTACGGGGATCGTGGTCAGCCGTACTCCACCGATCTGCGGGGCATTTTCCGGAATGCCCAGGAACAACTGGAGGCCAGGGTGCAGGAGGCTGGTGATAACCTATCGCTCGGTCCCCGGGATCATCTGCGATTCATGATCGACTTCAACTTCAACGGCACCGGCTGGCAGATAATCCAGTTCCAGTGGGTGCGAGATGGCGATGAATCCAATCCCGATGCAAAGCAGTACAGCTATGTGAATGAGAACAAACTGTGGGAATCGGATCAGGCCTATGAATACGGGGAGCCCAACGATGGTTGCGATGTGGACTGTCAGCCGGATACCGCAGAGTACCAGGAGTCAAAGGAGCCTGTCCAGGAGCCAGTTGGAGAGCCAGTTGAGGAACAGAAGCAGCCAAAAGATGGCATCAATGCAGAAAAAGATGTAAGTATTTGAAAAATCTTTTAAATAAAACAAAACTTCACACTTTTGTCTAATTTACTTTCAGCCCGTCCGGATTCACGACACCATCAATGAGGTCCTGGAGTACATACAACAGCGAATCCTGCCTACATTGAGATAAAACTATTACCTAAATAAATAAAGAATCACCCGAAATACACACTGAATCATTATAAAAATGTAGAGTTAGTTGTTTATCTCAGAGGGAGGTTAAAAAAAATGTTTTAAGAAATTAAAAATCTAATCACAAAACCACTTGTGAAACTAATATGTGCTTGAATCATTAAATGAATCATTAATGAAACACTAACAAGCATTTCAGTTGACCATACTACAAATGTAAAATAATCAAGGCCCCCAAAAAAGAGAATCGTAAACCCCATAATGCAAATTATATCCAAGACTTATGGCACAACAGTTTATTAGCCCGCAACTTTTGACATTTGCACACCACATTTACTTCTTCTTCAGCTTGCCATTTTCCTCGAGATAAGCCAACAACTTGGCCACATAGGGCGGTGGGGGCGGGGCCGTGGGCAGGTGGGCGGCACTGGGCACAAAGCCATTGTCGTCCGCCACGTAGTCCACGCGGTATAGGATGCCATCGGGTCCGGTATATTCGTAGAAGCCCTTCGATCGCAGGCCATCCTCCTCGGTCAACTTTTCGATGCGTCCACTCTCTTCGCCCAGGATGCCGTTCTCCGTTTCCCAACTAGTAGAGAAAGTGTTTAGTAGGCACTATTTTCGAAGATCAATACCCACAGATAGTGATAGCCATCCTGCTCCACGTCGTCCTCCTGGCGGATGATGGCCCAGCCGTTGCCTCCTTCGCCGGTGCCACGTCCCTTGGGCAAATTGGCCGTCGGATCGATCACTGCCGGTGGTGCTGCCGTGGTGGGTCGTGGCGCTGGTCTGGCTGTGGTTCTTGGCACTGTGACGGGCGCACCACCACCTCCTGCTCCGGCTCCACCGCCACCACCACCTCCTCCTCCTCCTCCGCCTGTGTTCTTGTCACCCACGTAGCGTCCATTGTCGCCCTTATAATCCCCGCCAGGACGATCGTCGTGCTGGTACTTGTTGTCGTCGTGGACATAGCGTCCATCGTTGCCGCCGGAGTATCGACCATCGCCGCCTCCGCGATAGCGTCCATCATTGCCACCACGATAGCGTCCATCTCCGGCATTTGCCTTCGTGGGCGGAGGACGATACCGACCATCCGCCTGGGCGAGAACCACCGCCACGTAGGCCAATAGAAGAGCGATCTGCGAAGTCCTGGTTATGTTAATCCACTAACGTGTATGGTATTTCAATCCCGCCGACTCACCGTTACGCGCAGCCACATCGTCGAAGATGAGCAATGAAAAGATCTAGCCGTCGGCCCCCAGCTTTATATCTTTCGGATGCACCCCCATCCGCCCACATGGAATGGAGACACTCGGAGTGGCTTGTTGTGTCTAATTGCCACTGCTCCGACCGGTGACTTGATCAATTAAGCGTTTTGGTTTACGAGGCGATTAATTCATAATTTGTGGGAAAGCAGCTTTCCGATCTGATGGCTCTGCGGGTGATGCGATTTAATGGAGATGAATTGCTAACTGGGATTACTATTAACTCTCGTTGTTTTTTCTTGGTGGTACCTTCAAGATATTCGGACATCGTCTAACCAGCTTCCAAAAGTGGCTGTGTCTTTTAGGACCATGAGATCATTTTTATGGAACTGCCTAAAACTAGGCAATACTATTTTGAATTGCTGAGAAAAATCATCATAATATTCCCCTTATACAAATTATAATCTAATCTATGCTTTATATATTTTTCACTTCAAAGTTAATAGCCTATTTAAGTACTTGTCTCAAATTAATTGCAACATAAGCTGTAATCGAAGTAGCTTTCAAAATTATACTTATCTCGAAATATGTATAAACGTTAATTGTTTTGACTCACTTCTAAAATGCCAATCGATTGGACATAGAACTTTGGAAATCTTATCTAGTAAAATCAGGCGTTTTTTACTATTCACATAATTGTGGGATATTAAAAAATCGGGTTTTTTGTAAATTCATGTGCCTTAACGATAAAACCTAAATATTCAGGGCATATTCTGATTCACACTGTTCAGTTTAATTAACTATTTCCAAGGGGGTTATTTGACTGAAGTCTATTTTTAGCATTTCTATAGAATAAAAAGGCTATACCTATTTAAAAAAATGTACACAATTTATAAATCAAATTGTTTTATAACATTTGTTTTCCGAAAACAACCAAATTAATTACTTAGAAATAAAAGGCAAGTAGGGCAAATTTAACAATTTTGACACGAATTTCGTTATGGTAGACGTCCGATCACCGCAGTTTTCAAACTTGTTATGCGTTTAACACTTACCAAATACAAATACGATAATAAAAGTTACAAGTTTCTAGCTTGTAAACACAGCTCGCAAACTGTATAAAAAACAAACGTCAAACGGACATTGCTATATCAACTAGTTAAGAATATATATACTTTATAGGGTTGTAAATGCCTTCTTTCTGGGTTACAAACAAAATTATTATGATTACCTTTTCATAAGTTGATTAGTACGAGTATAAATTTCGCAGCTAAATCATTTGCTAATCATTGAAAAGCTTTTCAACATTTTGTTGTTGTATGGCCAGTTTTATTGTTAATTCGCACACGTTTTGTAAATGAGTAGAACCGGGTAATTTGAGTGGAGGTGGGCCCCTAGCCCCGTCGGTTGTTGAACCCACCCGGCTGATCTTGCGGCGGCGGTGGAGCGGTGGCCAAGTAGGCCAGTGCCTTCTGGATCGCAGGCGGGATGGGTGGCGGTGTGGGCAGGTGGTCGCCCTGCGGCTGGAACCCATTCTCGTCCGCCAGATAGGTTATCCGAATCGGGATGCCCTCGGGTGAGGTGTAGGAGAAGGAGCCCTGCGCGACCTTTTGCGCCAAAGAGCAGATGAGATTTAAATGTGGGTTAGTTGTACAATGGGTTCATTTGGCAAATTGGTAGCCGGCAAATGCCAAGCACGATTTTCAATTCACCGCCTTCCTTCCCAACTCACCTGTCCCGCATTGTCGGTGCCTGGGTTCTTGAGATAGCCCTCCTCCTCGGCGTTGATCCCGTTGCCCGTCTCATACAGATACTTGTAGGAGCCATCGAAGTTCACCTCCTGCTCCTGCCTGATGATGGGAATGGGCTCTCCTTGGGCCTGGGGTCTGCCTTGGGGTCTGGCCTGGGCCAAGCTGAGCAGCAGGGCTGCTACTACAAGCATCTGCAAAGAGTTGGGGCCGATTTTAGTAGGGTGCATCCCATGGAGCCCTCTTCCACCTTACTGGGTACTGCATGTTGCTGTATCGTATATCCTTTGATCCTCGCTGGTCGTCTGCACCGGGTCCGTCTCGAGCCGTTACTGTGGCCAACAGAGGCGGCTCTTTGCATATTTATACCAATTCGCGTGAACTTTACACACAGACACACTCGTGCAGCTGGAGATTTACGAGTGAGTGTCTAGCATTTTGAAGACCCGCCGATCGGAAGCCTGCCCGGTGGCTGATGCCATCTTCCCATGGAGCGTTCATGAACCGAATCATGAATCGAATCCACCCACAAGTGCACGACCCATCCGATTTGTGTTCGCCGCTGTTGCTGCAATTTGTCGAATGAGTTGTTCACATGACAACCTGTCGATGTCACAGTATGAATTGATGCTTGAGTTCTTTAAACATCTGTATCAAAATATCTTAAATAAATAAAAATCAATTTAAAAAGGGTTCATTTTAAATTTGAATATATTTACAGAAATTAAATTGTCAGGCATTTATTTTAATTAGATTTAAAATTAATTAATAAATTCATACTATAATATTAAGAGGCCGATGAAGCAATAATGAATTTCGAATTGGCATTATTTAAAACAAGAGAGAACGCTATAGTCGGGTGCCCCGACTATCAGATACCCGTTACTCAGGTAAAGGGAGTGCGAGGGAGATGGAGATAGAAACTTTGATCACGCATTTCGATAGGTATTGATAAACACAATAAAACTGCATTTTTACTTTTCCGAAATATTTAAATTTTTAAAATCGTATATAAGCTATTGTGGGCGTTAAAGGGGGCGTGGCACCAGTTTGAAACAAACTTGCGCTGCGTAGGAACTCCTAGAATCTGCATGCAAAATGCCAATCTTCTAGCTTTTATAGTTTCCGAGATCTCAGCGTTCATACGGACAGACAGACAGACAGACAGACAGACGGACAGACAGACGGACAGACGGACAGACGGACATGGCTAGATCGACTCGGCTAGTGATCCTGAACAAGAATATATATACTTTATAGGGTCGGAAACGCTTCCTTCTACCTGTTACATACTTTTGCACGAATACAATATACCCTTTTACTCTACGAGTAACGGGTATAAAAACCAATCCAATATACTTTCCTCACTTTACTCTTATTAAATTAAAATTTAACTAAGTACACACAGACTAAATTGTTGGTTCCTGGTTAAAATTACATTAAATTTTTATTGAATACTTAACCTAAAAAAATATTTTTTTAAGTTATTGTGAAAACTTAACAATACAAAATGTTACAATTCAAATGTGAGAAGTATTCAATTTAAAATTGTACTTGTTTTCAAGGTATTATCTCGGCACCTCTTTAACTGACTTTTCATCTCGTCATTGCCAAGAAAGCATCCCACTTAGGCAATGCCCACTGTGCACCTGCATTTAGTGGGGCGTTGGTGGTTCGATCATCTCGAGTCGTGTTGTACATGGCCGGCTTGTGGCATTCATAACTCTTCCTCGATTGCATGCGACGGACAGAGACAGCCTGCTGCATTCCTACATCAATTTGTCAGCTCGATCATTAGACATTTAACTCGGCTCTTGGATGATCATCACGCCGGGGATTATGATTGCCACCTGACCATGATCATGTCTGGCCAACTGACTTACCCACCGACTGAGTGTGGCAAGTGCCGCTTGACCTTTGCGGCAGGCGGGCAGATGTTTTTGGGAACAGGTCCGGCCAAAAGGCGGTAATGAATGGGGCGTTCGGTTGGGCAAATGCCAGTTACCCCAGAAATAGAACCCCAGCTGCCCAATGCTACGTGAGATAGTTAACATCGATTTCGTATTGAGTATGCAAGAGGCGGTTTTTGTTTGTTTTGGTGTTTTTTATTTTTAGGCTATTCAGGTGATACGGATCGTTTGAAGTGGCGGCATCGTGGTTCGGAGTGATGGTTCTATCCGCTCTTCTTGTTGAACAGCAGGGACAGAAGCTGCTGCTTGAAGGGCTTCGCGGTGGTGGTTGTAGTGTCAGTGTAAGTGGGCGATGTGTACGAGGGGCTGGTCGTGTAGGTGTACGTGGTTGTCGTAGGCGATGACGGAGTGGTAGTAGTCGAATAAGGAGGCGTGGAAGTAGGCGGGGAACCTCCTTGTGCGATGGCCACAACAGCAGACAAGATGACGAGGACGGCGAAGAACTTCATGTTGATTGGTTTTGGTGGGTTTTGGAAATGCTAGCTGTTGCTGGAAGAGCTGGTGAACTCTGAGTGTGCCTTTCGATGGGCCAGGGCTCACTTTTTATACGCATCTTGCGGCTGCACACGTTGTGCCACCGAATGTTTGCACAAATGGCATCTGTACCGTTTGGAACATTGCTTGCTCTTCCCCCACCAAATGTTTGTCTAGCGGCGCATTGTGAAATGCAGCATCCAATGTTTGATCCCCATTCATTTCCCCATTCATACACACCTGAAAAAAAAAACTTAAACTTTTCGATTCGGGAGTGTCAATGACTTGGTATTTTAATCAGCCAACTTTCCTAGAATATATGGCGTTCGTAGCTACTGGGCCACTGCATGGAGAAGGCAAAGTCGGGAAGTGTGGCCAGGAACTCTTCGCTCAGCGCATCCCGCTTGTCATGGGGACTCACATAGTGTCCGGAAACGCCCATCTCAAAAACAGGCTCATCAAAGTTGCCGTTGTCCTTCTAGAAAGTCAGTTAATTAACAATATAATAGAAGAGATTAGAGGATTAGAGCACCAACCGAAAGTTCCACGAAGAACTCGATGGGCGTGTTGTCGATGCCGTAGGTAATCATGACCTCCAGAGGGGGCCTGTAAGTGGCCGGATTGTCCAACATGCCCGGGGCAAATGTCCATCGAAGCAATCTCACGCCATCCAGCGGCTTGAAGAAGAGGCCCATGTTTGGGGGTCCAGTCAGGCGGAACTCGAAGCGCACCTGATAGCCACCGGGAAGAACTGTCTTGTTGAGAAACTCCAAAACAGTGGGATATGGCAGATCCACGAGCTCCTCTCGTGCCAACCAAAGTGCATTTTTGCGGGCACTACAATATCGGTAGCAGGGAATCCCGCACATCAACTCCGAGTCGCAGTCCTCGCCCAGGAGAACTAGGTCGGTCAGATTCATGGAATCCCGCAGAGGGGCCTCTTTATTACGATCGCCCAGGTGGAAATAGTAGCCAGAGTCCTCGAGGCTCAGAGAACCATTGTACTCGAAGAACTTACGATGCACTTGCTGCTCCAACGAAAAAATACAATTAGTAATCATGATATAAATATTATAAAATATTCCACTCACCATAAAGTCCGCTCGCATCACATTCGTCTTGGCGCGGTAGGGGAATCCCACATCCGAGACGGAAATCATGCAGAAAATAAACATGACGACTGCCAAACCACCCAGCATGCAATTGGGTCGACGGAAAATATTAATTAGGGGAGCCTAAAAATGATCTAATATTTTGTAAGGTTCAAGAAAAGAAGAAACTTATCTTACCGCAAAGGACAGGGCCAGAATAGTGCCAAAGGCACACAAAGCACCAATCAGTAAATCCGGATTGGTGGACACACCGAAACGACCTACCATCGGAATGAGGATGAGTATGAACATGTGAAACAAGTAGGCGTGATATATGAAGGGTAGTATCTGGAAGACAATCAGCACCAGAGACCAAAGATAGCCTGTAATTGTATAGTTTTTAAGAAAAGCTCTTTACATTCAATAAAAAAAAATAAAAATTACCTCGACAATGCAGCCGGGTCAGCAGATTAATGATCAGAGCTGCGACATAGAAGATGAGGGAGATCAGGAATAGGTATGCACTACGGTATTTAAGGGCTGTTGTGGCCAAGCACAAGATGGCCAAAAGGACACAGTTGGCATGTCCGACTATATGTAAGTAGTAGGTGTGAGGGATCTTCTCCTGCAGTTCAAAATTATAACAAGTATTTAAGTTTCCAGAAAGATTAAACTTACAGTTTTCTTATACGTCAGATATAGAGTCATAGGTAGAACTAGCCCAATGACCGAAGGGCAAATGTACAAGCCAATCACTAGCCAACTATTACTGAAGTAAGTCAACGTGCGATTTCCCGCATCGTAGAAGACTGCCATGAGCAGGGGGAAACCTACAGCAAGAAGGACTCCTGCGAGGGCCAGTAGAAACAGAAGGCCAAACACCCCAGCATAGGTGCCCATTGACTGGCCCGTGACTCTTGACATGCGCCACAATGAGACACAAACGAGGATGATGGCTCCAAAGGAGAAGCAGAGATTCAGGGCCAAGCTCGTCGACTCCTGATAGTGGACAAAGAACAGGCCAATAAAGTCGAAAAACACAGCATGTCCCAAAGCATGTGCCTGTTTGGAAAAAGATTAAATCAGATGACTAATAACATTCGAAAGATGAAACCCACCTCAGTGTCATACATTTCCTCAGCATTCGATATACTCCACACCAGGGCCAACAAATTGTCACCGGAATTCTGCAGAGAGTCGCGGCTTATCACCGTGTAGCGATCGAATTTCGTGTGGTATACGAAGCCATTGTAGACGCCAGCCATATCCAAGCCTGGAAGAGAAGACCCCTTAAGTCCTATTCAAGGAGGAACTCCTGGTCCTAGATACCAACCTGGCACCACTCCAAAGTCACGAAAGACCCTAAAGTCGGTATCCGATGGTATAATCCCGGCCTCGAACATCTCCTCCGCCGTAGTGGTAGCGAACGGGTGTGGGGCACTGTTTCTGTAATGCTAAGATAAGGCAATCGATTAGATTAATTGATCAGCAGCCAGACGGGTGATATCGTCCATATCGGAAATGCGATCAAGGCAATGCTTTCCAAAGTAAACATTAATCTTCAAATACTTTGCAGACTTTCAGGGGGTTTATAGGAGAACTAAAAATAACCTACTTCCATCAGCCACGGGTGATTGGGACCGCCCTGGAATAGCAGATCGCGTCCACCAGCACCGGCCGAGTCCAAGTTGAGAAGTGCCCTGTTCATACGAACAATTATATGATTATACAGAGATTTTCAAAAGATAAATTTACTCACTTGCAATTGGCAGCCCACCTGTGCTGAGTGACAAACCCATGTGAGCCCTGCATCGGTTGCTCCTCGGCTCCGTTGAATAGGAATATGATGGGGTGCAGGAAGGGATCCCCTGAACTGGCCACCAGACGAAGCACTTCAAGCATTACGACAACCATAGCGGCATCATCACCGGCCCCTGAAAGGAATACAAAAATTATTAAAAATTATTATTGAATCACCGGAAATATCAATTTATATTAAACTTACCAGGTGACCCCGGCTTGGTGTCGTAGTGACTGTTCACTAGAAGGTAATTGCTGCTGTTTGAACTCTTCGTACTCAGTCTCACGATCACATTTTGCACACCTTGATAGTGATTGGTGAGGCCCTTAATCAAATAGGAACCGGATGCGCGTTGCACCTCCACCTCCATTTCGTAGATATCATCACGTAATACCTGGCGCACTTTTTCAATTTCGTCGAGGAGAAGATTTACAACGGTGACTTCATTGTTAACATCACCCACCACTCGGGGTCCCAGCTGGCTTATTTTCAACAGTATATTCTGTGCTCTTTCGGCCACAAACTGTCCTGGTTTATCCGCCTCCTCGGAGATCCTGATTCCGGTGGGCAGAGCCTGGAAAAGTGGGTAGATGACGGCGAAGAAGAGCCCCACCCAGAAGAGAAGATAGGTGGGGGCAAAGTACCAGGAAAACTGCTTGGGCCACTTCTTCACTTCCTCCACCTCGACGTTCACGTTATCAGATTCTAAAAGAGTCTGGGGAAACACCAGAATTTCACAAATTATGTTCTGAGGAATTTAGCCGGAATTTATGGGGATTGAGTCACACACCTTGCCGTCCTTTGTAGCACCCATTGTTGACTTGCTAGAGATTCGAGAACCGTCCAAGCAAGAGCACCTTCCACGACTCTCGACGCACGACTAACCTTTCCGACATCTCAATCCGCAATTTAAAATTGTGGTTTGGGTTTATGATGCGATATGGTTGATATCTTCAGCATAGTATAAAGATATTCGATATTTATGGCTATATGGCGCGTGTTATTTACGCTTTCCTATCGGAATGCGTACATACCAACCAAAACTTTCGAGTATGCCATCGATAAAATCCCAACCTTTCGATCTTTTGCGGCCCTCGAGGGACTGACGAGTTGATTACCCAAACCAAAATCATTACCGCTGACTTTGCCCCATATCGTAATCACAATTGTTGGCTATGGCGGATTTATGTATTTATTGAGTCGCATCTGGTCGGCAGTCCCATGATGGGCCCAAAGTCAAGGCCGTAATTTCCACCCAATTTAGTAGTTTTAACCAAACCAAAACCAACAAATCTTCCACTTTAAAGGATGGAAAGTCCAATAAGCACGATTTACTCATGCCAATATCATAAAACCTTGACTTGCTGTTTTTTGGATTTTTAATGGCACTTCTTGGCAATTGTGGATTTATAGCATCGCATCTGGTCGGATGTTTATTGCGCCTCGTTTACCAGTACACTTTGATCAATGATCATTTGAGTATCTTTATGACATTCTTTCATAAACTTGATCGAAAAAGTAAAATAGTTCGCTCCCAAAATTGAGAAATATGGTTTTTCATAAGTTCTTAACTTAACTTTTTATTTTTGTACCAAATATTAATACTAATTTACAAAGTCTCAGAAAATGTAACGTTCATAGGAACTAGGCCACTCCATGGGGTGAGCAAAGTCCGGTAGATCCTCAATGAACTTCAGAGTCGTCGCATCACGCTTACTCAGATGGCTCATATAGTGCCCAGAGATACCCAACTCAACCAGCGGCACTTCGAAGTTGCCGTCGTTCTTCTGCAGAATGAAAATACAAATTTTTAAGTTAAATAAAGTCACTTAAATAACATTATTAACTACCCACCGTCATTTCAAAATGGAATTCGACTGGCGAGTTGTCGCTTCCGTAGCCAAAGAAGATGTGATATGGAGGCTTGTAGACTGATGGGCTGTCCAGCATTCCCTGGAGGAATGACCAGCTCAGCATTTTTACTCCTTCCCGGGGTTGCACAAAGAAACTCATCCTCGGCGGACCTGATGACACTATGAAGTCAAGGCGAACCCTCGGATCGGACTCAGTTCCCGAAACCGTCTTATTCAGAAGCTGCAAAATCGGAGAACCAGGTAGATCGACGGGCTCATCACGGGGCAGCCAACGGGCATCTTTCACGGCGGTACACCAACGATGGTTAAAGCACGGCATGCCACACTTCATCTCCGTTTCGCATTGCTCGTCGAGGCGCGTAAGTCCAGTAAGATTGATTTTGTCCAGCAGCGGAGCCTCTAGACGCCTATCCTGCAAGTCGAAGTAGTATCCACTGTCCTCTAGACTGAGGGATCCATCATACTCGTAGAACTTACGATGCACCTCCTAAAACCCATGCAAGATATTTAATTAAGAAATGTTCGTTAATTATACTTAATAACGCTTAGCTCACCAGAAAGTGAAGACGCATCACATTTGTCTCGGCCCGATATGGAAATCCGACGTTCGACACAGAGATCATACAAAAGATAAACATCACTAGAGCCAAACCACCAACCATGCTCTTTGGACGCCTAAAGATATTCAGCAAAGGTGCCTAGGGAGAATCTTCAATCAACTGATAATTTCTTTAACCAAAAGACAATCTCTACCAGAAAGACCATGGCCAGAATTGAACCCAGGGCGCACTCCAGGGAGATCAGCAAGTCGGGGTTGGCATCCATGCCCTTGCGGCTAGTCATCGGAATGGTGATGACCAGAAGAGCATGGAACAGATAGGTGAAGTACAGATAGGGGAGAATCTGGCAAACGCCAAGCACCACAGCCCAGAGATAACCTAAATTAGACGAGAAGGTGTCATTAAACTCACATTTCTATCTCATTCTGGTCTCTTACCCTTGTCATGAAGTCGACTAGCCAGGTTAATGATTAAAGCTCCCAGGTAGAAGAACACACACATCATAAAGAGATAGGCCGTTCGAATGCCAACAGCCGTAAGTAGAATGCAAAGTACTGCCAGCAGAACACAGAAGGCATGTCCCACGATCTGAAGATGGTAGGTGTGCGGAATCTTCTCCTACGGATCAAGAAAATGTTTGTATAAATATTGAAACAATAAGACATTCTGCACACTTACATTGGGTCGCAGAGACAAGTAAAGAGTCGATGGTAAGACTAGTCCAATAATTGAGGGGCAGATGAAGAGGCCTATGACCAACCAGCTGTTGCTGAAATAGGTCATCGTGCGATCTCCGGCATCGTAGAACACCGACATTAGCAATGGAAATGCAAGGGCCAGCAGAAAACCCAGAATTGCCAGGAGGAACTGCATCCCAAAGGCTCGGGCATAGGTGCCCACTCTCCGATCCGTTACCTTGGCCATTCGCCATAAAGAAATACAAATAACAAGGATGACTCCCAGGGAGAAGGAGATGTTAAGGGCCGTCCCCGTAGACTCCGTGTAGTAAACGAAGAAAAGCCCCAGATAGTCAAAGAAAACCGAGTGACCCTCTGAGTGAGCCTGATTCAAATAGAAATACATATGAAAAGAGGGTAAAGTAATCACCATTTTCATGACCTACCTCCGTATCATACATTTCCTCGGCATTGGAAATACTTCGAACCAGAGAAAACACATTATCGCCAGTGTTCTGTATCGAACTTCGGGAAATCACTTTGATGCGATCGAACTTTGTGTGGTACACAAAGCCGTTGTAGCAACCAGCCATGTCCAGACCTGGATTAAGATATATATGGCTATTGATACATCAGTCTTAGATATAGAATAAACCCACCTGGCACCGGTCCAAAGTCTCGGAAGATCCGGAAATCCGTGTCGGAGGGTATCAAATCGGCCTGAAAAATTTCCTCGGCCATGGTCGTGGCAAACGGATGCTTGGCACTCTTTTTGTATTGCTGCAGTGCAAAAAAACGATTTTTATTGGATATCGTACAATAAATGCAGATAAGATAAGCGTGCCAGTAAAGCAACACTTTTGAAGTTTTACGGCCCGGTCATTAAGATAAATTTCAAGTGAAATACACGAATTTGACTTGCCTTCATTAGCCAGGGATGGTTGGGACCCCCCTGGAAGAGGATTTCACGTCCGCCGGCACCGGCCGAGTCCAGGTTGACTAGCGCTCTGATTTAAAGACAACAAATTTAAAAAGAGAGTTCCCTAAAAGATATAATAATGTACTTACTTGCAGTTGGCAGACCAACGGTGGTTGGTTATAAACGAATGCGATCCGTGGAAGGGCTGCTCTTCGGCGCCATTGAATAAGAACACAATGGGGTGCAGGAAGGTCTCCTCAGATGTGGCCATTAAACGAAGAGTTTCCAGCATGGTGACAACCATAAGTTCGGCATCGCCAGTGCCTGCAAAGATATTAATAATCAATCCCCTTTTATGGTACAAAGCAATAATATTCACTTACCCACACTGCTGGGCTTTGAGTCGTAATGACTGTTTACCAATAGATAGGAAGTGCTGTTGGAACTTTTGGTACTCAGCTTCACCACTACGTTTTGAATGCCCTGGTACATATTTATCATTTGCCAGTGGAGAAAGGCACCACTGGAGTGCTGTACGTCCACCTCCATCTCATAGAGATCGTCTCGCATCTCCTCACGCACTTTTGATATCTCGCTTAGTAGAAAATCCACCATAACCACTTCGGTCACGTAATCCCCGGCTATCTTCGGACCCATTAAATCGAGCTTGATCAGTATGCTTTCCGCGCGTTGTGCCACAAAAGTGTTTGGCAAGTCGGATTCCTCATCTATCTTAACACCAGTTGGCAGGTAATTAAAAAGCGTGTAGCTCACTGCGAAGAATAGTCCGACCCAGAAGAGCAAGTACACAGGAGAATAGTACCAAGGCAGTTGCTTTGAAAAACTTTTCTTCTCCCTCAAATCCATCAAAGTTTCATTGCTGCAGCCCTCTTCAGGATCCACTGTACCAGTAACCAATTGCAAGGTATTCTTTTCATTATATTCTGTTGACGGTTCCGAATGTTCTAAAGACGTATCCTCTTTAAAACCTCCATTGTTGTGCTCCATAATGATAATTCAGTACTCCAACCAGCATCAAATCACAACGAACAATCGCACGCGACTGAGCAAACCTCCGGTAAGTTTATCAATTTTAAGCCTTTTTAAGGCCGGAGAGAGATTGCTATCCAACTCGGAACCCCCAAGTCCCAGTATATTTATGGTGCATATATATAATTTACAATCTTTCTAGAGTCAAAGTCTTCGGCAATCTTCATAAAGTGATTTTTTTTTATCGTGACATCTGAATATCGCTCCTTAGATATGTGAAACGAGAAAAAATGTCTGACATAATATATCGACCAAAATATCACATTAAGAAAAAAAACATCAAATCTAATTAAAATGAAAACACTATTTTAAGATATCAAAAAACAAAAGTTTTTAACACCTTGATTATATTGATACAATATTGGAAACAATTTGAACGATATTATTAATTCAATTTTTTAAAGAGCTTCATTACTATAAAGGATCAATTTTCAAAATAAGTTTTATTCTTTATTTTAAAAGCCAATTTAAACAGTTTTGGAAAAATTAAAGTTAGTGCGTTAAAAATAACAATATCAAGATCGTTCGATATTAGTTTGCTAAAGATTTCCCTTTAAGACCCAACCATGTCGAGTAAGGGCCCATGAATATTAGCAACATTATTGCTATATAAAGATATCAAAATGGCGCCATAAGCTTTGTATCGATTTTATAAACCCTAAATCAAATACGATAAAAAGATAAGAATTAGATAACATACTAATCAGTATGTCATTTGGCAACACTTAAATCACAAAGGCAGTTTCTTTTCGGGCAGGTAATGGATGAATTTCTTTAACTAGTTCTGATAAAATATTTGGTAACAAATTCGATGTCACGTAAACTAAACACTGTTGAAAAATTAGTTTAAACTTAAATGAGATCGCTAAAGCCAATGTTGTAAGAATATACAACAATTTTGTAACTTCTATCTCCTTAATGCGTAAATTTTAGTAGAACTTTAAATAATATTGATTTACAACCATAAAAGTTATAGATAATATATGCCTTAAATATCGAGGGCCATCCATGGCATCAATATAGTCTTGTTAAGTCCATCACAAATGAAAAACGAATATTATTGCAAAGAAAGTGCAACAACCTCACAAGACTGCTATTATTAGATCCGGTCTTGAACCTATTCCATTTATTTATATGATAGAAAAGAAGACTACGAGCACGAACAAATAAAAGAAGTAACAAAATGGTAACACCTGAAGAGACATTACCATCAAACACCAATAGTAGCCAATAGTAGGAAAAATGTCACGGCTAACAAAAACTTGTTTATTAATGCTTAGAAAGTCAATTATCAAGAAGGGGCAAAAGTTTTCTATTTACTTAAAAACCTATTTATTGCATGTAATAGGCTTGCATTGGGCTTTAGTTCAGTTCTGTAAAAAAATAGTATTGAAATTAATGTGGGTATAGCACTAAAACTTCTACCTCTGACATATACTTTAGTGGTATTTTACACGCCGATTTCGAAGGCATATTCATTATAAGCCTTGGCGATATTTACTATAAATTAAATATATTAAATGACTTAATGTTCAATCCAAGTACATTCCAAGAACATTAAGTCATTAAATCTATTCGATTTATCTAGTCGAGCCAACTGACATGACTCTTTGTTTCCAAGCCGGAAGCAACAAAATTTTCATCGAATATCTGAAACTCATAAAAATCGACGGTATCGCTCGCTACTCGTGTATCGACATTTTTTTTATTAAACTGTTCTATATTAACTTTGATATAAACAAAATTTTCTTATCTGAAATCTTAAAGGCTGAAGTCATAAATTCACATATTTTTATGGATCCCTTCGGGCAGATAATGAATGAAATTTATTGTACAATTGTTAATGGTATGCCTAAAGCTAAATACTACTTAAAATATATATCGGTTAAATATAGATGGCCATTCCATGACATGGACAAAGTCAGGAAAGGCGGCAACAAATGCCGTAGCCTCTGGATCCCTATCAAATTCATAGCTGACCCAGTGACCCACAGCTGCGATTTCCACAGTGGGGTCATTAAAACTACCATCGCTCTTCTCCATATCGATGAAGAATTTTAAAGAGGAATTATCTGTTCCATAGGAATGGAAGATCTGGTAGGGCGGCTGGAACTCTTCAGGTTCGTCCAGCATTTTCCTCACAAATGACCAGTCTTCCACCTTTGCCGAACCCACCGGCTGAATAAACAGATTCATGTGCGGTGGTCCGGACAGCTCGAACTGGAATCTTGCCGTTGTGCCAGACTCCAATACCGTCTTGCCCAGAAACTCAAGGGTGAGTTCTCCGGGAATGATGACCTCCGATTCGCGAGGCAGCCATCCATCCCACTGGCGCCACTTGCACCAACTGTAATAGAAGCAAGGAATGCCGCACATCACATAATTGTCGCAGTTATTCGCAACGGGCTCTAATCCTGTCAGATCGAGAGCAGAGTCCTGGAGCGGATCAAAGGACCTCCTGTCCTGATAGTTGAAATAATAGCCGGAATCGCTTCGACTCACGGAGCCATCGTACTCGTAGATAACTCGACGAGTGTGCTTTAAAGGACATAAAGAACATCAATATATTGGACATCTTAATCGAAAGTGCAAGCTTACCAAGCAGTTTGCCCGCATCACATTAGTTTTGGGACGATAAGGAAAGCCCACATCTGAGACCGCAATCATGCAGAAGATAAAGGTGACTACTCCAAGTCCAAGGAGTATGAGCTTTGGCCAGCGGAACATATTAATAAATTGTGCCTGTGGAATCAGCGTTATATATAAATGAAAAAACCATTCCTGAATAAGTCTTACCGCATATCCGAGGGCAAAGAAGACGCACACACCACACACCAGGGCAATAATAAGGTCGGGATTTGTATTGGCACCATTCCTTCCCAATACCGGAACAAATATCACAAAGAACATGTAGAAAATGTAGCAGAAGTAAGAAAAGGGTAACACCTGAAGACACATCACAATCAAAGCCCAATAGTAGCCTGAAAAATAGCAGTGTTTAAAAATCTTTAAAATTAATGGTCATAACAAATCATACCACGATCGTGCAGCGTGCTCACTAGGTTAATCAGAAGTGCACCCCCATAAAAGATCATCGAAATCAGGCACAGATACTGAGATCGAATACCCATGGCAGTCAAAATAAGAGCCAGCAGAGCTTGGACAACCAAGTGGGCGTGCAGGCTCAACTGGAGATGGTAGGCGTGGCTAAGTTGATCCTGTAATTCATTAAAAAGCTGTAGAAAGGATAAAAGTTATCGAATTGGGTAGACTTACATTGGGCTTCAGGGTATAGTACAGGGTCAATGGGAGTACGAGACCGATAATTGCGGGAACAACGAAGAGACCAAATACTAGCCAGGTGCTAGTGAAGTAAGTCAAGGACCTATCTCCAGCATCGAAAATGACAGCCATCAAGAGAGGCAGGCATATGCTCAGCAAAAATCCCACCACGTGCAGTCCCAGGATACTGAGGAACCAAATCGATAGCTGAGGAAGCGTTACCTCCTCCGACTGGCGAGACATTCTCCAAAGAGAACTACCAACCAAAACCAGACATATCACTCCAATCAGGCAGTTCAGAATAATAGCAGTGGTCTCGGTGTAGTACACAAAGAACAAGCCCAGAAAGTCAAAGAACACTGCGTGGCCATCATCACTCTAAAAGTTACTTTTTTCACAGTATTGTTTTAGTTTATTGATATGGTTTAACTCACCTCTGTTCCGTACAACTCACTGGCATTGCTGTATGCACGCACTAGAGCAAGGACATTGTTTCCAGAGTTCTGTATGGATCGTCCAGGAACCGCCTCGACAGTATCGAATACCGTGTGGTATACATAACCGTTCTCAATCTGGGCAATGTCGAGCCCTAAGAAACAATAAATTGTTGTCAAAGATTAGGGCAAGTGATTCATCAACTTACCAGGTATATTCCCGAAATCCCGGAAAATTCGAAAGTCTGAGTCAGAGGGTAAAATTCCACTCTGAAAGATCTCCTCGGCCATTGTGGTGGCAAACGGGTGCTTCGCGTGCTGCCTATAATACTATAAAGATTCGGTTTAGTATTTCAGCAGTAAAAGAAATGACCATAAATTGGTCATAAAGTTCATAAGGTGCATAGTAACTTAAGCCATAAGCTTCTTTTTTTGCTAAAAAAGTATGATTCTTACTTTCATGAGCCAAGGATTATTGGGACCACTCTGAAACAATAAGTCACGTCCTCCGCTTCCGCCCACTTCTAGGTTGATAAAGGCCCTAAAAACAATTATAGTTGCAAATAAAAGTGGCAGTAAAACGTTTTCTCGTCTCACTTGCAGTTGGCTGCCCATTTATGTTGCGTAATGAATCCATGGGAGCCCTGAAGCGGATTTTCCTCGGCACCATTAAACAAAAAGACAAGGGGATGTTCGAAAGGCGTCGACGATATAGCCATTTGGCGAAGGACCTCCAGCATAACCACAACCATAGTGCCATCGTCACCGGAACCTGAAGACCTCTATCAGTGCCTAAAATTTCTATTGATATCCGGAAAATGCTCACCTGGACTGCTTGGCTTGGAGTCGAAGTGGCTATTGAGCAACAGGTAGGACTCACTATCTGAACTCTTTGTACTCAGTTTGACGATCACATTGTGAATACCCTGATACATGTTTACCATATCGTTGAACACGTATCCGCCCGTTGGTGACTGGACATCTATTTCGAGATCGTAGAGATCACTGCGCATCTCGGCACGGATCTTTTCTATTTCATTCACTAGAAACGCAACAGTGGTCACCTCATTCGCATAACTGCCGGTTACTTTGGGTCCAATCCGATCGTAGGTATATAGCTGTTGCTGTGCCCGTTCCGCCACGAATGTTCCAGGATTGAGAGATTCCCGGGAGACGGTCAACCTGTCCGGGAGTCTGTAGTAAAGCGGTATCACGATGGCGTAGAAGAGCGCCAACCAGAGGAGCAGGAAGGAGGGGGCATAGTACCAGGACCATCTCCGGTTGCGGACATGTCCCTTTCTCACCGACAAGGACTCGATGAGAGCAGTGTCGAGGGGATTCTCCTGATAAGCGGGCGGTCAATAAGTTCCTTTTCCTGCATTTTGCAAATCAAAACTCACTTTATCAGTCTTCTCCTCCATTATAAGATTGCTAGCGGCAGCCAATTCAAACCCTTCCGATGCCCGATCCACGCCTAACTGAACGTCTGCACCCCGAGCATATCGACTCGAAGCCTTCCGCCCCGTTAAGGCCCATAAAGATAATGCCGTGTGCCGCTTGATACCCGCCGGTTAGCCGGCGGGGGAACTGCTTTGTCTTGAGGCGCACCAGGGCGGCTGGGACTGAACCATGGCCACGGCCATGGTATCTAAATTGGACGGGTTTACGACTTAATATAAATATACATAAGTGGCGATTCCGACGCACGCGAGGGGCAGCTGCAAATTAAAGCTTATTCATTCGCACGGATGTCTGGCAGATTAAGGTGACGCTTGATGTGGGTATAGAGATTAATATATTTTTCTACTTTATCGCTTGCACTATCGCAGCGCTTGGAATGTCCCGAAAATATAATGAATGCAAAACTAAATTGCTTTTGGAATAAGATCTTAAAAGATATATCGCTTAAACAAAGACGGCCATTCCATGGTGTAAGCAAACTCTGGTAAATCCGCTATGAACTTTAGGGTAGTTGCATCCCTCTCAAAATCCTTGCTTACATAATGTCCGACAACACCTAGCTCAAAAATAGGTTCATCAAAATCTCCATCGGATTTCTGAAAGATAAATAGTAATTAATAAACCTGGTTAACAATTTTAGCAAACGTGACCTACTGCAAAATCAATGTGAAATTTAAATGGAGAATTATCCACACCATAGGAAAGGTATATTTGATAGGGCGCCGAGTATTTTTCCGGTTTGTCCAGCATTGTCCTTATAAAGGACCAATCCTCCACTGCTACTCCTTCCAGTGGCCGTATATACAGGCCCATATGCGGAGGGCCAGCTAGTTCAAATTCGAATCTCTTGGATTTGCCCGATTCTAGGAGGGATGTATTTAAGAGGTTTAATTCCAATATTCCGGGTATGTCCACTTCCTGTTCACGAGGCAGCCAAGCAGCACTGGAGAGCCCTCTACACCAGCTACTCCAGAAACAAGGAATTCCGCACATCACGTACTCATCGCAAGGAGTTTTTATGGAGCTAAGTCCAGTCAAGTTTACGGAATAATCCTGAAGTGGGCGAAGAGCTCGTCTATCCTGGTAGTCAAAATAGTACCCCGAATCGTCGACGCTAAGAGAACCATCATGTTCGTAAAACATTCGGCGAGTTTGCTATAAATCAAATCAACTTTATAATCAATCTAAAACAAGAAAGGAAAGCTAACTTCGGGCGGAGCCGAAGTTGATATACCCTTGCAGAATACTCTGTAAATTATATTCTCCAAAATTATTCATATGATGCATTCTTAATACTCATAAAAAATCCGAACTTCCTAACTTTAACAACAACAAAGTTATGGCATTTCCAATCGTTCAGTTATATGGCAGCTATAGGATATAGTCGGCCGATCCTTATGAAATTTGATAGGTCGGATTGATTGGCCAAAAATAAAATCCATAGAAAATCCCAACTTCCTAACTTTACAAACACCAAAGTTATGGCATTTCCGATCAATCAGTTATATGGCAGCTATAGGATATAGTCGGCCGATCCTTATGAAATTTGGTAGGTCGTATTGATTGGCCAAAAATAAAATCCATAGAAAATCCCAACTTCCTAACTTAACAAACACCAAAGTTATGGCATTTCCTATCAATCAGTTATATGGCAGCTATAGGATATAGTCGGCCGATCCTTATGAAATTTGGTGGGTCGGATTGATTGGCCAAATATAAAACCCATAGAAAATCCCAACTTTCTAACTTTACAAACACCAAAGTTATGGCATTTCCGATCAATCAGTTATATGGCAGCTATAGGATATAGTCGGCTGATCCTTATGAAATTTGGTATGTCGGATTGATTGGCCAAATATAAAACCCATAGAAAATCCCAACTTTCTAACTTTACAAACACCAAAGTTATGGCATTTCCGATCAATCAGTTATATGGCGGCTATAGGATATAGTCGGCCGATCCTTATGAAATTTGGTAGGTCGGATTGATTGGCCAAATATAAAACCCATAGAAAATCCCAACTTTCTAACTTTACAAACACCAAAGTTATGGCATTTCCGATCAATCAGTTATATGGCAGCTATAGGATATAGTCGGCCGATCCTTATGAAATTTGGTATGTCGGATTGATTGGCCAAATATAAAACCCATAGAAAATTCCAACTTCCTAACTTTACAAACACGAAAGTTATGGCATTTCCGATCAATCAGTTATATGGCAGCTATAGGATATAGTCGGCCGATCCCGGCCGTTCCGACTTATATACTGCGTGCAAAGGAAAGAAGGGTGTGTGCAAAGTTTCAATCCGATAGCTTTAAAACTGAGAGACTAGTTTGCGTAGAAACAGACAGACGGACAGACGGACAGACGGACATGGCTATATCAACTCAGGAGGTGATCCTGATCAAGAATATATATACTTTATAGGGTCGGAGATGTCTCCTTCACTGCGTTGCACACTTTTGACCAAAATTATAATACCCTCTGCAAGGGTATAATTAGTTATCAAAAATATTTACTTACTAGAAAGTTAACCCGCATCACACTGGTCTTTGCACGATAGGGAAAACCCACTTCCGAAATAGAGATCATGCTGAATATAAAGGTCACCACTCCTAGGCCAATCAATATAATGGTGGACCATCGAAACATGTTAATTAAAGGAACCTATTAAATAGGCTTATCGAGTTAATGATTATAACGTCTGGTTGAATATTACCACAAATCCGAGTGCGAAAAAGGTTCCCACAGCGCATATCAGGGCTATCAGCATATCAGGATTTACCGAATCTCGATTTCTTCCCATCGCGGGAAAGAAAATCACAAGGAATATGTAGAAAAGGTAGCAGAAGTACACGTATTGAAAAAGTTGAATAAGCTGAACCGTTAATACCCAGTAGTATCCTAAAAATGTAAAATAATAAGAACAAACACATATTATCTTTAGCTATTGCAATCTTACCGCGATCATGTAGGGTACTTATAAGATTTATGAGCAGAGAGCCGATATAGAGAACCAACGATATTATACACATATAGGGAATTCGAAGACCAATGGCTGTCAAAAAAATGGCCAGGAATGCCAGGACCACACAATGGGCATGCAAGCCGATGTAGATCTGGTACGAGTGACTTAACTTTTTCTGTAATTAAATAAATAATACTAAATTCATTTAACTGTATGATTTTACTTTATCTACTCTTACATTTGGCTTGAACGAGTGATATAGAGTCGAAGGCAGTACTAATCCAATGATCGCCGGACAGATGTATAGACCGATCACCAACCAGTTGTTACTGTAATAGTTCAGAGTTCGATCTCCGATATCGTACAGAAGAGCCATTATTAGAGGCAAACTAATGCATAGAAGGCAGCCCAAAAGATGTAGTCCAAAAATGATGACAAAAGCTATAGATATCCTTCCTACGGAAATCTCTGACACATATCCCATTCTCCACAAGGAACAACCAACGAGAAGAATACTTAGTACTGCAAAGCAATAGTTCAGGATTATTCCAGTCTTCTCCGTGTAAGTCACAAAGAAAAGTCCTAGAAAATCAAAGAAGACAGCATGTCCTGCACTGTGTTCCTGTAATATTATAAAATTTATATGTGAATTATTTGAAAAATTATTGGAAAAATATTTTACCCACCTTAGTGTTATACAATTCACTGGCATTGGCAAAAGCTCGAACTAGTGAAAGGACATTTTCTCCTGTGCTCTGAACCGAACGTCCTGGAACAACATCAAAGCTGTCAAATTTTGTGTGATAAACGTATCCGTTGCTGAATTGTGCAATGTCAAGACCTATAACATTAAATAAATATTAATTCGTGATCTCACATTTGTATTTCATCTTTTACCGGGAATATTTCCATAATCTCGAAAGATGCGGAAATCAGTGTCGGAGGGCAGTATTCCAAATTGAAAGATCTCTTCCGCCAATGTGGAGGCAAACGGATGCTTCGAGTGCTGTTTGTAGTACTGCAATAATGTTAATATACATATTAGTTTATATTTTTAATTTTTATTATATTCTCATACCTTTACTAACCAGGGATTATTTGGGCCACTCTGAAATAAGATATCTCGACCACCACTACCACCGACTTCTAAATTGATAACTGCTCTGGGAAATGCAGTTTAGGTAGGTTCTTTAAAAGAGATCTTAAACTTACTTGCAGTTTGCTGCCCATTTATGCTGAGTAATAAAACCATGGGAGGCTTGTAGAGGATTCTCCTCCGCCCCATTAAACAAAAAAACTAATGGATGCTCGAATTTGTCTTCGGAAATTGACATTAGACGCAAAACCTCTAGCATTACTACAACCATGGTACCATCATCCCCAGTTCCTATTTTAAGGGATAATTACAACGATCCTTGAATTATGTATTAAAACTATTTACCTGGACTTCCTGGCTTTGAGTCGAAATGGCTGTTAATCAGAAGGTAGGATGAGCTATTAGAACTCTTAGTGCTCAACTTAGCAACCACATTCTGGATGCCCTGATAAATGCTAGTCATTGTTCCCACCACATAGGTACCTGTTGGCTGCTGGACATCTACCTCCAAATCAAAGAGATCGCTGCGCATTTCTCCCCTAATCTTTTCCACCTCATTTAAGAGAAATGCAACGGTGGTCACCTCATTCGCTATACTCCCGACCACTTTGGGTCCGATACGATCGAATTCGTAGAGCACTTTCTGTGCTCTCTCGGCCACAAATTCCCCGGGCTTAAGTGGCTCGTCGGCTATCGTGATTCGGTCTGGAAGCCGATAGAAAAGCGGAAGTACGATCGCGTAGAATAGCACCACCCAGAGGAGGAGAAAGGAGGGGGCATAGTACCAGGGCAGTCTCCTTCTCAACTTTTTTTCCTTCGACAAAACATTGTAGAGAACAGTGTCCGAGTAGCTTGCCTAAAATGTAAAGTGATTAATATTCCTAGATGAAGTGGTTATTAATAAGTACTCACTTTATCGCCGTCAGCCATATTTCCAGCCAAATTCTCCGGGGAGAGAACCTTTCTGATGCCCAATTGTTTCGCTACTGAATGTTTGTCGTCCGATTGCTTCGGATTCAACCGATACTTCTCAACATATAAAGATAACAGCCCAAAGGCAACAACAAACAACATGGAAAACCAATCATTCTATGATAGCGCCGATTTGGATTTATAATTTAAAATCCACTTGCAGGTCTGTTGGGATCTATGCACTCAAATCTTATCGGCCAATCTACACACGCGAGGTCTTGATTAATTACTTTATATGGTGACTACGAAAATTTCCATTTCTTAAAGCAGTGCGTTTATTAATAATCTTAGTGTAACGAATTATAAATAACAGAGGCGTTGTTTGGTGCAAACAATATTTAGCGAGAGCTTCTATGAACACACCAACTTAAAATATATAACGTTCGTATAACGTCGGCCATTCCATGACGTGAGCGAAATCGGGGAAATCGGAAATAAACTTCAAGCCAGCAGCGTCACGATCATAGTCATAACTGACAAAGCTGGCGGCAAATCCCAGCTGGCAAGTTGGAGTGCTAAAATCTCCCGAGGATTTCTAAAAATAAATATATTTTTACAAGGAATAAGGGAAATATTTAATTAACTCACTGCAAAGTCAATGTGAAACTTCAAGGGAGAATTATCCTTTCCATAGGCAAAGAATATTTGATAGGGCGCTGAGTATGTCTCGGGCTCATCCAGCATATTTCGAATAAAAGACCAATCCTCCACGTCAACCCCCTCAAGAGGTTGAATGTATAGGCTCATGTGTGGTGGCCCAGAGATCTCGAATTCGAAGCGAGCCACTTTTCCAGAGTCCAGGACAGTCTTGCTCAGGAGCTTCAGAGACGTTGCCCCTGGAATGGCCACCTCCTGCTCCCGAGGTAACCAATGACTCTTTGTGCGGGTCTTACACCAACGGTGATTAAAGCAGGGAACACCACACATCAGATACTTATCGCAATCGGTCGATGTACTAACCAACCCAGTTAGATTAACAGTGGTATCCTCCAGGGGATAATAGAGACGGCGATCCTGGAAGTCGAAGTAGTAGCCGGAATCACTGAGACTCACAGAGCCATCGTACTCATAGAAAATACGTCGAACATGCTAAGAGATTTGGAATGCTATTAAGACTTCATCAATTGTTAGAATCACTTTACTTACCAGGAAATGAATCCTCATTACGCTGGTTTTGGCGCGATAAGGAAAGCCCACATCGGAAACCGCAATCATGCTGAATATAAAGGTCACTACTCCCAAACCGAGCAAAGCTGACTTCGGCCAACGGAACATATTGATTAAGGGAGCCTAAAACAACATGATATTATATACGATCTCTAAAGAAGTCCTCTCGTATTACCACAAATCCCAGGGCAAAGAATGTTCCCGCAGCGCAGATTAGGGCAACCAGGAGATCTGGATTAGTGCCATGTCCAAAACGTCCCAACATGGGGAAAAATACCTGGAGGAAAGTGAAGAAGAGGTAGCAGAAGTACAGGAAGGGCATCAGTTGCAGAATTTGCACGATCAACACCCAATAGAATCCTACAAAAAGGTATAAATTTGTTAGAGCAAAAAACAAAAATGTTATAAGGCTACTTACCACGATCATGGAGAGTACTTAAAAGATTAATCAACAGAGCTGCCGCATAAAAAAGCAGCGACATCATACACAGATAAGGGGTCCTCAGACTTATAGCAGTTAGAATAATAGCAATTAAAGCCAATAGAACACAGTGCGCATGTAGACTCATGTGTATGTGATTGGGGAGGCTAATTTTGTCCTGGAATTTGAATACTTATTAACTGATAATTAAACTCATGTAATCAGTTCAATTGTAACTCACATTCGGCTTGAGGGTGTAGTAGAGGGTTAAGGGCAGAACCTGTCCAATAATTGCTGGGACGATGAAGAGTCCAATCACCAACCAGTTGTTACTGAAATAAGTCATCGAACGATCTCCGGCATCGAAAAGAACTGCCATTAACAAAGGCAATCCAAGGCTAAGGACCATTCCCAACACATGGAGTCCGAGGATTATGGTGAACCATATGGATATTTGACACATGGAGGCATTTGATTCACGACCCATTCTCAGCAATGAGCAGCTCACAAGAACCAAGCTGATCACAGCCACACAACAGTTCAGAATTACGCCAGTGGTCTGAGTGTAGTACACAAAAAATAAACCCAGATAGTCAAAGAAGACAGCATGTCCTTCACTGTAATCCTGTGATAAAATATTAAGTTAAAAGAGCTTTGACTTGGGTTTTCCAATATTACAAGGGACTCACCTCTGGATTGTTCATTTCACTGGCATTGGCAAAACCCCGAACTAGAGATAAAGCATTTTCACCAGAACTTTGAAGGGAATCAATAGGAATCGCCTGAACATTATCAAAAATTGTGTGGTATACATAGCCATTGCTGATTTGTGCCATATCGAGGCCTAAAAAAGTCGTTTTAGTACATCATAAAAAAAGGGAAAGGCAACCTACTCACCTGGCAGCTCTCCGTAATCCCTGAATATCCGGAAATCCGTGTCAGATGGTAAAATCCCAGACTGAAAGATCTCCTCGGCCATTGTGGTGGCGAAGGGATGTTTGGCATTTTGATAGTAGTACTGCAAAGAGAAAATAAAATAAATATCAATGTAGCAAAACGTGTCGCTTTCATCAAAGGTAAACAGAATTCACGAAATCAAATTGCCGCAATTAGCAATTCGATAAACAAATACAATTATAAGGCCTATAAACTGCAAATAGGCACGAGTCTAGCCAACTGTTTCCTGGTAACCAATTGTGATTCGTCATAGGTACCTTTATGAGCCAGGGATTATTTGGGCCAGTCTGGAACAACAGATCACGACCTCCGCTGCCGGCCACTTCCAGATTTACGAGGGCCCTGTTTAAAGATTCTTTTATTATTTTCTTTAATTATAAGAGAAATCTCCACTCACTTGCAATTACCCGCCCATTTGTGCAGGGTGATAAAACCATGTGACGCCTCCAAGGGATTTTCCTCGGCTCCGTTGAACAAAAACACAATGGGATGCTCAAATGGGGTATCCGATATAGCCACTTGGCGAAGTACCTCCAGCATAACCACAACCATAGTGCCATCATCACCGGAACCTTTAAACAGGAGTTATTGCACATCATTTAAAAAAAAATATCGTTAAACATACCAGGACTGCTGGGCTTGGAATCGAAGTGGCTATTGACCAGGAGATAGGACGAACTATTAGAGCTCTTGGAACTAATTTTCACAACCACATTCTGAACGCCTTGGTACATGTTCACCATTTGCCAATGCATGTAGGCCCCTGATGGCTGTTGAATATCCAACTCGAGTTCGTAGAGATCACTGCGCATTGCCGCCCGGATATTCTCCACCTCCTCGACGAGAAAAGCCACCGTGGTCACCTCATTAGCCACACTGCCCACCACCTTGGGTCCGATCCGGTCGTATTTGTAGAGCAGCCTTTGTGCTCTCTCCGCCACAAATTGGCCAGGTTTAGAAGATTCATCAGCTATCAAGACACTATCCGGCAGTCGATTGTAGAGGGGAAATACCACTGCGTAAAATAGGACGACCCACAGGAGAAGAAACGATGGTGCATAATACCAGGGCAATCTATATTTCATATGCTTTTGCTGCGACAAAACATTGACCAGCGCCATGTCCGACTTGCTTTCAGCGGAACCCTGTAAAAAGTTTATTGATTAATGACTTTAAATTGATTTTAAAAATCAAATCTCACATTCTCGTCCCTTGACTTCATGTCGTTTGATTCTGGTCGGTCGCGAAAATCGAACAGTTCTTTTGGCCAGTCGGGACTGAACTGAAAAAGCCATGGACTTGCGGCACCTAAAGTTGAAGGTAGACGGATATTATCAGCAGTGATTCGCACTTTGAAGCCCATAAAGATAAATCGCTTTATGCATGCAATATAGCGTTCGATGCTAACGAGAATGTAGTGAAAAACCCCGACTATTCTCCAGTTGCTTCCCAGTTAAGTTTACCTATTTGGTATCTAAATAATAGAAGATTTATGGACTCCTATCTTTATATCGCTTTAAAAAAGCAAAGAAATTGTTTTTCGCACGCTTGTTTACCCAGTGACAGCCTGTCGCCCAACCCAGAAATCTTATCTTTATGTCCATAAGCGGTTGCTGCTTATATATACATCTTTGACTTCTTCAGTACCACATCTTATTGAGACCACAAAAAGTTCAATTCGCAAATTGTTAAAGTAGTTTAATGATACATCGATCGATTTGCTGCTCAGAAACCTGATTAGAGAGGTGTACAGTGTTTAAATATTTATTTTCATTATTTAAGGACATCATGTGGACTTAGAATTCTTGTAGACTTCTTACAACAGAGGTGTCTGCTTTACATAATAGTTTAATTTTAAAAGTACATTAAAAGTCCATTTACAAAATACACATTCTATAAAAAAAACAATTTTGTTATATCTACCCTATTTATTTGTACTTGGTCAGTTTGTGTTAATTGTCTACGTCTTCTGTCGCATCGAATCCGCAAGACCATCGAGCAACTCGTCGACTTCTTTTGCATAGGGAACGTCTGTGAATTTATGCGGATTATCCGAATATATCACCGTCAATTCTACTCGGAGGCCGGTGAGCACTTTGTACAGCTTGGTGCCGCGCAACATGGCCTTGTATTTGGCCCCGAAGCCGAAAAGTTTCCACAGCATTAGTACAACTAATCGATGCTCTTCGAATGAGTCCAAGACTTTTTCAGTGGACTCTGGTCCTTTTTTAACTGGTTGGTCCACAATATCATATAGCATGTTAATGAAGCCGGAATGTTCTACCAACTGGCTCCGATTGCTATTAAAAAAGCACATGTTTCGTAGGATACGAAGGCACAGAATCCTCTTTTTGTTCAATGGCGGTGTGCGTCGAATGGTCTCGATGAGGGCATGAAGATGGCAAACTTTGGATCCGACATCATATCGGGAAAATACCTCCCAAAATCCAAGCCAAGCGTTTAGAACCAGTGGTTTCACTTTGGTAGCATGAGATGAAGATGGATTTGCTGGGAGGATCGTATCAAACATGTCGAGCACATGCATTTTGGATAGACTCAGTCGACCCTCGGCACAGGAGCAACAGTTTACCATTGCCCTCAGGGCGGGCACCATACTGTGATTGGGCTCCTTGTTTGGGGTCTCCTTCCTGGTCGTCTCGAAGTCAGCCACGCGAACCATCAGCTGAAGCAGGGAATGCGATTGTCCAGAAGGAACCAGCGAAGTCTGTTTGCACATCTCGAAGGAGTGCTCCGTAAGAAACATGGTCAGCTGGACGGTGATCTTTTTTAAGTGCTGCGAGTGTGACAGCCAAGGCCAGATGCGGATAAGAATTCGAACAACAGTGGCAGCCATAGTGGGCTGGGTGATCACAGCATGATGCGAACTGTGCCACTGCCCCAACATGTTGATCAGAAGCAAGAGATTGCTCAGGATGTCGCGTGACTTGTGGGCTCCCACGCGCTTCACATAGACGCAGGCGTTCCCGATGTTAACATCGTTAAGAAAGGTTTCCAGAAGGCTAATCACTCGATCTAGCAGTTTCAGTTGCCCAGCCGCATGGACAGCCCAAGGTGAGATCTTCAGCAATCCGCCGAGAGTCTCACATATCTGCACATGACCTGCTCCAGGCGTTTTCAGGAAATGGAAGGTCTTGGGCGGATAATGGTGATCAAAGAGCCGATCCAGGCGGTGGTAGAGGAGCACAGCTGCATTGGTGGTTTTGGTCCCAGCTTTTGGGCTCTGGCCATCACTCTCCTTTGGCTGTTGACCCTGCATGCATATAGATATCAGTTGCTTATGTGTAGAAGCTATTTCGTCTTTGCCATTTACCAATAGCTTTTCTCCTTCAGACGGCAAAATATCATCAAGTTGCAATGTGTACTGTTCCAGTTCTCTCAGCAAGCTCTCCTTCTCTGGTGCACATTGCGCCTTGATGAACACCATGGATAGAGATGAGAGGGTGTAGCGCTGAAAGGAAGTGTTCATGTATGAAGAATGCAATCCGTACAGGAAAAAATCCAAGAAAAGGGCTGGCTGACTCTTCAGTTGCTCGATAAGGACAGCATTCGAATTGGAGTCCTTGCAGAATATCAGAAAGAGCTTGAAGAGTTGAACCAGCAGCCGTTCGGGACAGTCCAAGTCCAGCACATCGTTCGTCAGCGACAGGAAGCTCTGCAGCAGGACGGAATCCCGGCAGATGGTCCTCTGAAGGAACTCAAAGTTATCACTATAGCACAAGGCGTACAACTGGCATATTTGTCCTGCACACAGTTGCAGGAAGGGTATCGAGAAGGACACTGCAGGCGGTGGCGTCTTCATCACATCACTGAGACCGTTCATAAAGCTGTGCTCGCACAGTGTGGCGCACCACTCCGGCTTGATGGACACCATCTGGTTGCAGATGGCAACATAGCAGCTGATTATCTCACACGAATGCTGCTCTCCCGCCAGGTCCTTTGATAGCCAGGGAGTCACATGCATGACTTTCAGAGCATTGTTGGCGTCCTTCAGAAAGTCATGATTGCGCATCAACTCTATGCTAGCTTCGGCACCAATGGTCGGCATCAGCAGGATAAAAACGCGTCCGGCCAACTCCCTAACCAACATCTGCTCGTGGACATCCAATAGCGTGGTTAAACAGCAAGCTGGCAATCCACCAGGAAGAAAGTCCAAGCTCGGCAGAACGCTGGCCATGTTCGAGCCACAGCTAGTTATCCAATTGGCCATTGAAACCCATGCCAAGGCACGCACTTCGCCATCGCTGTGCCCGCACAAGCCAAGCAAATAGCGCAGAACTTTCTTCGCAACTCCTGTATCGATTGTAGTTTTGTCCTTGGCAGGAAGCCGAGTTTGGTGCATATGTAGCTGACAGATAATATGCAGGCAGTCGCGTTGCCACTGCGCTCCGGTCTGCGTCGATGTCCTCAAATCGCTAGACAGCTGTATGAAGTGCTGGCAATAGTGCTGCGGTTAGAAAGGCAATGTTAAAAGTGAACAATTAAATTCAATCGATAACTTTCAATACTCACTATTAGCTGAACATCGTTAAGCTTCAGCTCCCGCTCGCTTAAATGGCGCAGGATGCGGAGCATACATCGCACGTGCTGGAGCTGACGCAGCTCAAAGTGTGTTTTGGCCAAAACACTCAGCTGCATGAACAGCTTCCCATGCCAGTTCATCGAGATCGAACTGCGCTCGGCGGACAGGAGTTGCATCAGGCACTGAGTAATTAGGTGCAGAATTTCCAGCGGAACAAGGCGGTCGTGCAAAAGCAGATGGAAGCTGTGATGATGATCAGTATCGAGGGCTTTGCTCAGTCCACTCATCACCTGCGGCTGGGAGAAACGCAGACAATTGAGGCACAATTCCAGCAGGGATTTGTAAAGCTCACGATCCGCGTCGTTGCCCGGCGCCAAGCGGACAAACTTGTGGATGAGCTTCCACATGCCTTCGCCCACCTTCTGAGGTATCGAGCTGCGCAGAAGCACGAGGAATAGTTGAATGAGGGTCACGATCTGGTGCAGATCCTGGTGGTTGCAGCAGTTACTGGCCGCGGTGATCTGTCGCCCTAGTTGTAGCTCCAAGTGTGACGCCTGCACCAATGCCAAATCGGCAACTTTTATCTTGAGAGAGTCCCTAATATCCAGATCCCCAACAGACTCCAAAGTCATGCTCGATGGAGTCTGGCAAACGCGATGTGCCGTATACAGTCGCCAGTGCTGGGCAGCTCTGGCCTTATCTCCTCCGAAATGGGTTTCCTCCAAGTCTTCCTGCAATTGCATTCCCTCCATAATAGCAGGTTCTCGCGGTGTATTATCAACATCGTATGTCACAGGCAGAATCATGGGACTCAGTTCTATGTCCAGCACTAACTCGTCCAAAGTGGAGTTGACGTAGTTGTGGAATAGCATCAGAAACAGGCAGATGCTGACATCCTGGCGCAACTGCTTCTCATGCGGCAGCATGAACAAAGCGCGGAGCAGACACACATACACTTCAAAAGTGTTCGAGATCTCTTCACGGAATCCAGCATTATGTAGCAGCAGCTTCATCAAGATACTCACTGTGGGCAGTAGAATATCTACGGGCTCGTTGGCACTCTCCTTCTTCAAAGCATTGTGCAGCGACTCCAGAATCAGTCGATATCCATCGTCCTTCGTGGAGAAGTCGTCGCAAGCTTTCCAGTTTTGAAGCATGACGTTTAACTGAGTCATTGTGGACTTCCTGATAGAAGGCCTCAAGTCTTTGGTCTCCAGCAATCGGAGCAAGGCATCCAAGCTGCGCTGTCCTTGAAACGGTTCTTTGATATATTCATCAAAAATGGTAATGTAATCAACTGGTGGTTGGATCAGGCAGAAATCGTTCGGGAGCATCTCAATCGGAACCTGGTTCATGGTTGGCCTATACTTGTTCGTGTAGTCCTGACATTGCAGCACGTAAGCGATCCTAGTGGTGGCATCGCTTCTCATCTGAGAAAACGGATGGAACATGTAGTAAACGTAGCCACGCAGCATCAATTGCGGTTCCAGTGGACTGGTGTCCGGCTCGAACAACTGCCAAACCACTCCGTGCAATTGCTTGTGTGTAACCGACCTGCGGATCAGCTGGGCCAGCACGGGAATAACCAGTTCGAACACTTTGTTAAAGTCCTTTGCACTGAGCACGCAGTTCAGTTTTAGTAGCATTGAAGGATAATCAATACACCACTGGCGCACCTGCTCCGGAGCATCAGCGTCCAAACTCTGAAGGATCAGCCCTTCCAGTATCTTGGTGTTCAGTGGCAAACCAAGAATGTGATGGCGGACCAGGTCCAAATTGCTGCATCCCGTCCTGTAGACCGTCTTGTTCATAAAGGCATGAAAATGGGACACCACAGGTCGCGGCATTAAACGGTACACAAATCCACGGAGCTTTTGGTCCTCTAAATTCATCAGCATTAAAATCAGCGATTCTGCATTTTCTCTTAGCTTCGGATCACCAACGTAAAGTGGTGTGCATTCCACGACAGCGTCGAAGAGCTGTTTCACCAGAGTCTCACTTCCCAGTTGTTCGACCACCAGGCACACCTCCCTGTGCATTCGGACTAGCTGCTCCGCAGCCATTCTGGTTTTCGGCTGGAATTGGTTTAGGGCCAGGCTGTAGGCCCGCTTCAACTTGATCAAACGCTCCTCATCCCTCGAGGGCTCCGAGGGCATCGAGGACAGGGCGCAGATTAGGTTGGTCAGTGACTTCATGCGATCGGGCACGCAAGACAGGTAGGAGCTGTCCAAAATTAAGGGTTTGATGAGCCTTTGGGCGTTTGCTCGGTCCAGGTGCTTGTCATAGGTGAGGTTCAGGGCTACTGTATCCTGTAGCAGGCCGTTAAAGATCAGTGATTGCAGACGGGGAATAATCATTGAGTCCACCAGCTTGGCCAGGTCACTGCCCTCCAGACTGTTGCAGTATGTGAGTAGCTTGCTTACTACGTGTGAAAAACGTACGGTGCCCAGGGGTGAGACTCGGCAGTGGATGACATCATAGGTTCGGATGGTTTCCACGCTGAGCTCCAGGATGTGCCAGTTGTCGTTCGTCGCGCGGAACAGCAGCGGGTGGATTAGCTTGGTGCAGTTGGCCAGCAGCACCCCCAAGATGCACTCCACCTTCAGTTGCTTGGGACGCGTTCCAGGAGGATCAATGCTGGCCGAATAACTAAGGGTATTACTGCGCACCTGAATGCGGCGCTGTAACTGTTTCAAGAAAGCGATTAGTGCCCGGTTTACGTACAGCAGACTGCCATCTGTCCGCTTTTGAAGCTGCACAAGATGGAGGAATACATATGGCGGCTGCAGAAAATACTCAGCCGGGTAGTCGCTCATCCGGATGATCAGATGGGTAAGCTGCACTTGCACCTCAAGGACATTAGTGGCACCATCGCGCGGCATGTCGATCATGTTCGTCATGCTCGCTACATCGTCCACGCCCGGACGCGTCCAGGCGGTCTCGTAGTCCTCGGGCGTGAGATTGACAAGCAAATGGTCGATGGTGCTGGTCACGAATTCAGATCCCTGGCTCTGACTGGTCACATCAATCGAACTAAAACTGGAGGCAGACGGCGTGGCCAGGACCATTTTGTACTTCTGAAGCAGCAGCAGTTGCAGTTCGTCCAGAAGTTCGTTGATTCGCTTGGACTCCAGACTACGAAGAACGCGACGCACCTTCTCTAGCTCCGTCTTCAGTCGAACGTAGGGAATCTTGCGGATTACCGCCTCGCCGTACTCCGAGCGCAACAGCTCCAGGATCATGGCCAGCACGCGGTCGGGGGCCAGTGGAGGAGTGTACCCGAACCAGCGGATGAGCTGCTTGAGGAGCAGCACCGGCTTGAACTGGATGCGCTCGTCCAACTGAAGGCACCGGATGAACCGCGTCTCAACCTGCTCGAGGGCGCGCAATCGGATCTCCTCCGAATCGCTGGTCAGCTTGGCCAGCTGTGGATCCGCCAGCTGCAGGACCAGACTCTCTTTCGCGCTCATTTCTAAAACCTTATATTACCCTATTTTCACTTCGTGTTCAGTTTCCTTTCCAGCAGCAAATGTTCCAAAATGACATTTTTGAAAGCGTCAACTCGAAATGTGCCGGCCTTGCCAGACTTACCCAGCTTTGTGTATATTCAAAAGGGGTTAAATAATCCTATAGGTGTATTTAACTGAATCTAGTATTTTTATTAGGTCTATAGCGTCACGGACTTCAATTATATTACAAATGTTATGTTACTAAAATCCCTTCTACTTTTTCTGTGTTCTGGTTTCCTTACTGGTTCATTTAATTGCAATAAACCTAATAATGTTTAAAATAATATAAATGGCCTAATTATTTGTTCTGAAATACTTCAAGATAAAAACCACCATTGGTTTAAAAAAATTAAATTTTTTCGGTATATTTTCTGCAGTTAACTAGTTTTTTGAGTCACTCCATCCACGGTCACACTAGTTCTTTATGTTTTAAAAAAATCGCCCATCTGATCGGACTTACTTTGTCGCGGGTAAATAATAGTTTTTGTTTGGCATGTCTGCGAAGTACTCGACTGTTCTGTGTATGTATATCTGATTATCTCGGATTTCGTGCCATTCCGCGAACTTTACAGTGTATAAAGTGCAATTATGTGATTGCAAATACACCCACACGCACAGTAACCGCTAATAATCAGTTGACAACCGGTTTTTTGTGAAATAGAACAAAAGTCACTTTTGCATTGTCCTTATTTTATCTCTTGTGCCTTATTTTATTAAATTCTGGTTCCATTGTTACGGACTCTTGTGACGTCAGCTGGGGTGTATTTGTCTGTTTTATTATTTTGTTTTTTCGCGCGCCATCAAGTAAACAAAGCTTAATACATACATATATACATATATGTTTGTATGTATAGTGCCAAATAACACTTAATGAATTTGTAAACCAAACAAAGCATATGCTGGAAATGGAAATGGCGAAATGATGTCACTTGGCACACGTCCGGGGTATTCCCCTGGCCCTCCCACTTTACCTCCCCCTTTCTCACAAACTTATTCGCCGGTCGTGGCCTTTGCTATTCCACCTTTTGTGTACATATGTATGTAATATATCACACCCTCTACTTGGAAATCAATAGCCCCCCCTCTATTTCCTAATTGGAAATGGCATGCCATTAAGAGCGAGTGCTCTCTTCCCCTCTCTAGTTTCCAATTGAATGCAACAGGTCTCGTACAATCGTAAATGACAGTTAAGTATTTTGGCCACTGTGCCAAATTCAAACTCAGCGACAAGTATTTATGGCTAATCTTATCGGATTGTCCACTTAAATCCCCGATTACGGCGCGATTATCGTTTTGCATCAGAGCCCATTGACCTTTGAACAAATCAATTGCTAGGCGATTGAAATAAAAATATGATTTATTAAGCACCAAGGAAATGTTGTCTTAAATTGTTATAATGACATCCAATCAATCTACATGAAAACATTTCAAAATTTCTTCCTAATAAAACTCATTTAAAAGAGTGTTGTGAACTCTGTATGGCGTGCTCTGTATAATTTGTAAAGGCTATATGCGGTGTTACTCCTATATTGTTCCCGTAGTCAAAGTCAGGGTCTGACAAACTGTCACCTCCCCCTGTGCAATCACCTCCCTCTCCCGATTTGCGAGTGCGAAATTGATTATAATGCACTCTTTGCATTCGAATGTCTGGCAATTCAATTAGCAGGCCGAGCAAACTGCGATATGTTAAAAGGCGCTTTCATTAAAATAATATAACTCGGGAAACATGTTTGCGATAAGCACAATGTGATAAGCAATGGGAACTTTGAATTGCCACTAATCACATACGGAACACTATTTGGATTGTACAATGTTAGTTTAATGATTGTTTTTTATCGCCAACGCCTGGCATAAACAAACGGCTGCGACCTATGTACGTATGACTCACTTTACTTATCACATCACATGGGATTTTTTCTTCAGAACAATTTGGAGTTCTAATGGGGATAATAGTTTACTCACCACGGTCCGCTGTACTCTGTGCCATTATCTTCTTATATTTAAGCAGTGAATTAGCTGTCTGCAGCACACTCATGATAAGATAATAAAGAAAATCCTTATTCTGGCCAAACATATGGCTACAGAATATTAAATTGCCTCGTTTCAATATTTATTCTGAGCCTCTGTGCTCGTATCTTTTCGCTTCAAAAGTTTCCGTTGTTGTGTTCTGTAAATAACGAATATTTACGACTCAAACAGGTAAAGTCGTTTGTTTAAACAACCTTTTCCGAAAAGCGCGCTAGTAAGTTTGCTTTAGCTTTTCTTTGCCATAGAGAAAAACACGTTTTCCTCCATATTTTATCTGATCTGTCTGTCGTTATTTGCCAACTTTTAGCACACGTTTGAGTTAATTTGTTTATGGAAAGCACTTTTGCAATTATATGAGGGAATAAATGCGGTTTCTTACTTATAAATACATTGTACATGGAATTTGGAAAATAATTCTCTGGTACAATTTTTCCATGTTTTTACGAGTTCATATTCACCTATGAGTCAGCCACAGGTGTGGACTATCTGGGACACCCCATTAAGTGGCGGGTCTATTTAATTATGGTCGGCCCAGACACGAGTAAATGATTGCCCATATCTCAAATAAATGACACGCTACCTAGGAGAAGTGATATACAGAACTGATAAACAAATATAATTCTGAATTTATACTTTTTTTCAAGTTATTATTTTCCTATTTATTCTAGAGTATATAAACGTTCACATGAGTGGATATGCTTTCGTTAATATTGCAATATTCCATGGAATTTTCTCACAGGCTAAATTCGTTATTAGGAACCATTATATTCATAAAAGTTTTTATCAACTTTAATGACTGAATTGCTAACCATAAATCCGAGAGATTTTTGAAGGCCATTCCGAATACCTAGTTACCCCTATTTATTCCCACCCAGCTGGCAAATTACATATTGTTTTTTTTTTCGCAGTACAAATATTTACATTTTTTCGATATTAAACCGCTTAAAAATGTCGACACAACGCAATTTATTTATACAGATATATGTTGCATGTTTTTAAAGAATTTTTAATCCATGTATTTTAATTTTTGCACACGTTAAAATTTTCTAGAGCAATAACACATGGGCCACAGCAAAGAGATCAAACATAAACACCCACAATTCCGATTCTGATTCCAAGTAGTTGCAGTTCTTCAGCCGTACATTCCTTAAATCCGGCGAAATGGAGAACCGTGTTCCATTGGCTCGGGCCATCGGCGGCTACATCTTTGGCCTTCTACAGGCCGTCATTCGTTTTATCTTCCGGCTGATCTATGGCCACAAAGGTGAGAGTGTTCCCCCGATCACGGACCCCATTCTGTTGGAGTCGGCCACATCGCTGGCCAGGAAGATCCGCAATCAAGAGGTGAGTGAATTAAGTAATTATATACAAAATATACCTAAATAATTCCATTATTTCAGCTAAGCAGTGTCCAGGTTCTGGAATCCTTTATCCGGCGCATTAAGGAGGTGAACCCCGTTCTAAACTGTGTGGTGGATGAGCGGTACGATCAAGCTTTAAGGGAAGCAGCTGAAGCGGATGCCTTGATCAAATCTGGTCAATACAGCGTAGAGGAGCTGGCCAAACAGAAACCCTTCCTGGGAGTGCCCATCACAACCAAGGATTGCATATCGGTCAAGGGTGCGTAGAGCACTTTAACTTCTTATAATCGCGCTAATGAAAAGTTTACTTTTCCTTTAGGCATGCTTCACACAGCTGGACTCTACGAACGTCGGGATGTGCGCGGTTCGCAGGATGCGGATGCCATGGCTTTGATGCGCAAGGCTGGAGCCATTCCCTTCGCCCTCACCAATGTTTCCGAGGTGTGCATGTGGTGGGAGAGCAACAACACAGTGCACGGAAGGACGAGGAATGCCTATGACACGAACCGCATTGTAGGCGGATCCAGCGGTGGCGAAGGCTGCATCCAGTCGGCGGCTGCCTCCGCCTTTGGCTTGGGCTCGGACATTGGCGGCTCTATTCGAATGCCGGCTTTTTTCAATGGCATTTTTGGTCACAAGCCCAGCAAGCTGGTGGTGTCCAATGTGGGTCAGTTCCCAGCTCCCTTCAGTGAGGAGCAAAACTCTTTCCTGGGCCTGGGGCCCATGTCACGATTTGCCGAGGATTTGCGACCCATGCTGAGGATTATGGCGGGCGAGAAGGCTGCACTGCTCAATCTGGACGAGGATGTGGACCTGAAAAAAATGAATTTCTTTTATCAAGAGTCTGATGGCGGTGGCCGTTTGATTTCCCCCGTTGATCCTGATTTGAGACAGGTAAAGTAATCTGTTATTTGTATATTTGAGAACTCTTATGAATAATCTTCCCTACTATAGGCCATGAAACTCGTGGTGCAGCATCTGAGCGAGAAGTTTGGCAGTCAGAAAGTCGAGCGCATCCAGTTGCCACAATTCCGCCAGTCGGCTGCCATCTGGTTCGCCAATATGCGCGACGACAGCGGCCATGGATTCGCCTACCAGCTGGGCAACCTGACGCACGATATCAACACGTACCTGGAGTTGTTCAAGTGGCTGTTTGGTGCTTCCAAACACACATTTATTGGCCTGTCAACGGCTATCATGGATAGTGCCCAGTGCAAGCACGGGTCGCCCAAGTACGACCACCTAGTGCGAAAGCGTAATGAGCTGAGGTCGGAGCTTCAGAGCTTGCTGGGCGATAACGGAGTCCTGATCTACCCCACGCATCCGACGGTGGCTCCTTATCACAATGAGCCCATTACGCGACCCATTAACTTTGCGTATACGGGTATTGTGAATGTGCTGGGCTTCCCGGCTACTGCTGTGCCGTTGGGCAAATTGGGAAGTGAGGGCCTGCCGCTGGGCGTACAAATTATCGCCAACTTCAACCAGGATCGGCTGTGTTTGGCTGTGGCAGAGGAACTAGAGCGAGCCTTCGGCGGCTGGGCCAAGCCCGAAGTTCGCCTGTAAGGCAAGTCTCAACTATTTGCGTACCCGTTAGTATGCAGCTTAGCTAGATGTTAGATAGTAGTGATCAGGGCATACTTTTGGACTCCACCCTTAACCCACTCTCCCGTTCAAAATCCCACCCACCAAAGCATTCGCCTGGTGATAAAAGGTATTCCTTGTAATATCACTTTTCGATGTGGTTTTATCTATTTTGTATGTGTTTTTAATCGTAAACTAATCAATGATCGTAAGGATCTGTTCCCGTTTAGCATTTATAATAAATAATTGCAACCTAAGATGCGGTGTTTTTTGTGAAATTTAAGTTATACGGCGACAGAAGCCGCTTGGCCAAACAAACGGAAATAAGAATGCTGAATTCGAATCCAACGCGCTATGCGTGTAAACAATTTTTATTTGAAAGACCATACATAGAGATATGCCGACGCACCCCTCCATTGGTGGACTTGTATTGTTTTCTTTTTTCAGTGCCTGGCACTGCTTTTCAAATAAACATTCTTATTCGTCAAGGGGAACTAAGGAAATTAAAATTAGCAATATCAAGGATATCGTATTCACATGAGCCTCCTCCGGTGGCTGCCCTCCCTCATTCTCAAGCAACACCTAGGTGCGAGTTACATTCGTAATTTGGTCTCTTAAAACTACTGGCTGTCGGCGGGAATCCAGGAATCCGTGAATCCCCCCGCATGCTCTAACCCTTGCCGCCAAGCGAGAGGATTAGCTTGAGCAGCTCGGTGCGCTTGGCCTTGACGGTGTCGATGTGCAGTGAGGGCAGTCCGTCGATCACCTCGTACCTGTTCAGGTAGTCGGCTATGTGGTCTGTCATGCAGATGACGTGGATGCCGCAGTCGTAGCCGTTGGCTTGTTGGAGGCAGCGCATGGGCCGGAATTTGGCCAGACGGACGCCCAGCAGCTCCTTGATCTTGTTCATCAGCTCCACGGAATTGCCCGTATTGTTGTTTCCATAGGAATCAAAGTGATAGAATGTCTTTTCCGGCCGCGAGAAGACCAGCAGTGACCAGTGGGTGCCACCGGCCTCGGTGGTCTCGTTGTCATTCAGGGCAAAGAAAATGAAGGGTTTGCCAGTGGCCTGGCTCTGGTCGAGGAGCTGCTCCAGCTCCTGGTTGTCCATGTACTTCATGCACTGCGTCACCTCCGGGGCGATAAAGTGCAGGTCCGAGTTCGTCTTGTACTTCATGTGCGACAGGTACTCATAGTAGAAGCTCAGGATCTGATCGTTCAGCCAGTGGGGTCCATGGAGCAGCTGGACATCAGACATTCGCAGGCAGGAGTCGTGGAAGGTCAGCGAGATGGGATCCGCTTTGGAGTTGCTGCCCATCTTGGCGTGGTAATTGTTATTGAACCTGGAGCGCCGAGGATTCGGATTTTGGTTCTGATTCTGGCGTGTATGTTGCCTATGAGAAATATAAATTAAATTACATTAAATCACGTAATTTTGACTAGATTTGTGTGTATTTCCGGCCGGTGACTGTCACCTCAGAATTTTCCTATCTTGGGGCATCATTTTTCCGTCTGTTCTGCGCAAAAACTCCGCTGAAAAGAACTTTTTTCCCGGGAATAATTCAGACACAACTCTAGCTTTTCAAAGTCAACGCACGAATGACATTTTCTTGGTTTCCCTTTTGCTTGCTCTTTCGTTTACCGGCCGGCAAATTGGGTTTCATAGCTATCGGAAATTGGTCATGCAACTCGCTTTTCAAGTGCATTATTATTTTATTCACTTTAATCGAAAATAAACAATAATGGACTTGAATTTCATAGAGAACGCTTTTGTTTTTGTGTTGGGCGGCGAAAGTGCGTAGCAAAACAAAACTAAGAGGAGGGGCAGTGGGTGGTGGCGGCGGGGGCGGGTTTTGGGGAGACACTCACCACGCAAAATGGCTTCCCCTCTATTTCGTGACCTCGCAATCTGTCCTTGATTTGGACACTCCTGACGTATTTTCATTTATTTGGCTGTTTGGTGGCAAGTAACTTGAATATATCAACTGTTTTTTACTGCTTATCAAATTACACAACACTCAAAAATGTTTTTTTCCGCGCAAAAAAAGTAATCTTTTCGCCTTCTTTGGGTCTCATTTTCACAGCGGGGCTGCCAGACTGGAAGTTTGTGTAGTCTGGCACCTCTATCTTGTCAAGTTGTATTCCTAGTGCTGGTAAATTTCATTTTCATTTTAAAATATCTGAAATTAGGATATTTTAAATACAATTTTTAATAAACTCAAATATTTTTAATTAGATCCTATATATATATACGTATATATTAGAATTTAATTAAATTGCTTAACATGTTTTTTCTTTACAATTCGCTTATAAATTTTTAAAATGCCAAAATATGTAGCTTATTTCCTGCCATCAATTTACATTTTTTCAAGTTTAAATGCTTCAACATTTTTTACAGCTAGGCTTAAAATTTTCAGGACAAACTAATTTTTCGGTCTCATCCAATTCTTTAGAAGTTTCAAAAACAGTTTCGCAATGATTTTCCGAAGACGTTTCGCTGGATTCTGGAAAGGGAATATCTCCATCTGCAGGATTCCATGTGCCTCCTCTCAACTGCTCGTTAACCCACTTCAGTTGCTTGTTGATCTAGAAAAAGGAAATCGTTATTACTATTTTCAAATGTCACTAAAGAGTATTATAATTAATACCTTTTCAACGAACTCTTCATAGTTATCGTTAGAAAATAAATGTGCTGTAAATTGGAATATATTTGATGGCTTCGCTTTGATCGCCTCGGCTGTAATCACCCGAATTATGGCTCGGATCTCCGGATGGCGTTGCAAGTACGTCCAATCATCCTTGCGCATGTTTCGGGAAACATTTCCTATGGTCTCGTAAAATTTCGATACATTTTTGTGCAAGTTTTTAGCATGCGTTATATTCTCGGTATTTTCACTTTCCTCAACGCTGGACGTTTTGGTAAAATCCATTTTAGACTTCGCCAGAAATATTTTTGAAGCTTACAAAAGTTTATAACACTTTAATGAATTAAAGGTCTTAAAACTCTATGAGCTATCGATTTTTGAATTTCGAACTAGCATAACATATGATTTCATGTGAAGAACTTTTGTTCATGCAAAAAAAGGCTAGGCACACAGAGATTTTTAGAGAATTGACCCACAATTCTTAAGAGGTATGGATGGTAGGATTAAATTTTTTAAAGTTATGGACTCTAGAATCCAGTTGTTAACTATCTTCTGTTGGTTAACAATCTTCAAGTCATCGGCAACTTAAAAACTCAAAAAATGCATTAACGTTAAAATGTTAAATTTGAATGCAGATTTTAAGAGAATCAGAAAAGAAGTGTTAAGAGGTATATGTCACTTTGAAATCGGATTAAATTTGCTAAAGTTATGGAATCTAGAAGTCGAGTTTTGGGACCCCTTTTTTGAAGTCATCAAAAACTTAGTAATAACTGACATGAAAATGGGTCCAAATTTTTCACCAACGTTAAAATGAAAATTTTAAATGCAGATTTTTAGAGAATCAAATCACGAGTCTTAAGAGGTATGCCACTTTGGAATCGGATTAAATTTGCAAAGTTTTGGAATCTAGAATTCCAATTTTGGGACATATTTTTTTAAGTCATTGAAAATTAAGAAATAACCAACATGAAAATGGCTCAAAATTTTGACCAACGTTAAAATGAAAATTTTAAATGCAGATTTTAAGGGAATCAATTCACGAGTCTTAAGAGGTATGCCACTTTGGAATCGGGCTGAATTTGATAAAGTTATGGAATCTAGAAGTCCAGTCTTGGGACATCATTTTTTAAGTCATTGGAAATTAAGAAATAACCAACATGAAAATGGGTCAAAATTTAAGAAATAACCAACATGAAAATGGTTCAAAATTTTGACCAACGTTAAAATGAAAATTTTAAATGCAGATTTTTAGAGAATCAATTCACGAGTCTTAAGAGGTATGCCACTTTGGAATCGGACTAAATTTGGTAAAGTTATGGAATCTAGAAGTCGAATTTTGGGACCCCTTTTTTCAAGTCATCGAAAACTTAGAAATATCTAACATGAAAATGGGTCAACATTTTGATCAACGTTAAATGAAAAATTTTGAATGCTGTTTTTTAGAGAATTAAAATACAAGTCTTAAAAGGTATGTCACTTTGGAATCGGATTAAATTTAGTAAAGTTATGGAATCCAGAAGTCCAATTAGAGGACCCATTTTTTGAAGTAATCAAAAACTTAACTAATAACTAACATGAAAATGGGTAAAAAAAATTGATTAACGACAAAATGAAATATTGAAATGCAGATTTAGAGAATTAAGCAAGTTTGCCATAAATTGATCCTAAGCCAACGGATTTGTGTTGATTGGCTGAAAACTCAACAGGTTTTATGTAAGAAAAAAAAAAATATTGGTTAAAAAATTTCCCGACTCCGTGACAATGCATGTTGAAGCATTGCCGTGACCAGGATTCGAACCTGGGTTACCACGGCCACAACGTGGGGTCCTAACCACTAGACGATCACGGCTACGTCGGGTTGTGGGACAAGGCCTTCCAAAATCGCAGCTGGTCACCTGATGGTCCACAATAATTAGCAAAAGAAAATGAAAGAAAATGTAAGATCTTTGTTTAACAATTAGCAGAAATGTAATTGATATATGTATCTTCAGGGTTTGTCCAAAATCAGACCAAACTTTTAAAAGTATAACTAACGCCGAGATGACCGTTTCAACGTTAGCGTTAGAAAATCAAGATCTTTGAGACATGGACTTGAAAAAAACGATGTATATAATAAGGGACCGAGCGGTAATATAACAATTATCTTAAGCCCAAAAAAAAAATGTTAACAAAAATTAAAACAAATACAAAAAAAAATCCCGACTCCGTGACAATGTTTGTTTCAACATTGCCGTGACCAGGATTCGAACCTGGGTTACCACGGCCACAACGTGGGGTCCTAACCACTAGACGATCACGGCTACGCCGGGTGATGACGGACGGCGGTCAAATGACTGCCTTCACCGCCGTGCGCAAAAAATTACAACAAACCCAAGTTTGCGCATACTTTATATACTATGTTAGGAACAACAAAGCCACAATATCTATTAACATTACATTAATATATATCAATTTTTGATATCTCTTCATCTGGTGATTAAATCTGAACATTCAAAAAATAAAAATAAATTGGTATGGACTTTTAAATTTATTACAAAATGTTTTTATTTATTGACATAATCTTGAGCGCATACTGTTCTCGTTCCCTACAAAAAATTAGTTTATTTTCGAGTTTAATTTTACTATTTCATTTGTGTTTTTAGTACAGAATGTCATAATTTTTGTAGTTTCATATTTGTACAAACTTCTTAAAGTGCTATTGACTTAAATAAAAGAGTTGTTTTTAATCTATTCAGTATTAATAATTTTACATTATTTTTCAATTTTAATACCAACCATGAGATATAAAGCTGATTTAAGTCTGAGGCTTTCCTTTCAAAGCTCCCTTGCCGGATCCTTTTTGGCTGCTGACGGATGCGGTTGGAACAGCAGTGGATGAAGTGGGGTTCCCGCGATCCCGACGCTGCTTGACGCGCTCACGGAACTGGACTCGGAGCGTATCCATGGGAGTGTTGAGAGCGAAGTTCATGTCCGGAAGCTGGTAGGTGGCCAGCAGGAAGTTGCAGCGCACTCGTTCGTTGGCGATCTGTTTTATGAGCTCCTGCATCTCCTCGCTCTGCACCAGATTCCTAATGGCCGTGCTCACCTTGTCCTGCGAGTTCGACGAGTCCGTCTCCAACTTGGGTTGCTTGGGGGCTTTAGAGTCTCCTCTCTCACCCGCCTCCAGAGCAACCGACTCGAACTGGAGGTCAGGACTTATGCGTCTGGCGCCATGCTGGCTCTTCCTGGCCCTGTGGCGTCCGGCTTTACCGCTCACATCTGCCGAGGTGCTTGGTGATGTGCCCGTCTTATCCGAGGAGGAAGGGGATGTTGAATCCGGACCAAAAATCGAGATTTTAGGACTACCCGCCGAATCCGGTTCCGTTCTGTCAACGATTGTTGTTTTAGGGGTGTGTTCCTTGCATATTTTGGTTTTGGCGCTGGAACCTCTGGGGGGTGTCTTACACCGTTTCGGACCCATCTTCTCGTCAACTTCACTCGACGATTCCTCGTCGGAATCTGGGATTTCTATAGCTTTATAGTTGCTCATTGTTTTTTCTCTTTTTGCAAAAACAGCTGTTTAAAGGCAGTGCTTAATAACAATCGAAAAGTGTTGGGTAACGTGTGTTAAGTTTGTCGCCACCTGGCGTTCGATTTATCAATAAAACTGTTTACGTTTTTTGAGCAAAAATTATTACATTGTTATTGAAACTCTTCTTTTTTTGCTTGTACATACTATTTCTTTTACAATTTGCGTTCTTATAAGGTCAATCTATACTTTCAATGAGGGGATCTCCAACACTGGAGCTTAGATTTGGTTTCTGGCCGCAAACAATCAACAGCCTGTCGTAGCCGTGATCGTCTAGTGGTTAGGACCCCACGTTGTGGCCGTGGTAACCCAGGTTCGAATCCTGGTCACGGCAATGTTGAAACAAACATTGTCACGGAGATGGGCTTTTTTTTCTAGAAAAAAATAAAGTAATTAATATTATAATAGACAATGTTTAAAACATAATAGTCTAACTTTTTATTTCTGATCAATATAACTAGTTGACAAAGCCATGCCCTTATGTTTATTTGCCGTATGCAAGCTCAGTTTAAAAGCAAGAGACATGTTATTTTTGCAATTATCGAGAAAGTTTATATTTAGTATATTTATTATATTCAAGGTTATAATAAAAGTTAAATTTTGACTCCCAACACTTAGGAATAAATAATCTTTAGTACAATCTGACTTTTTAACGTTAATATACTTGTCAAATTAACATTGGTGAAAAGGTCTTACTATGCACAGTGGGACAGAAAGTTAAATTTTTGTCACAAATTTTGTAATTTTTTTCCTAAGAGCGGAAACTATGCGTATGGATTTTAAAGGATATAGCTTTTTAACGAACTACAAATAATAAAGTCAAAATAGATATTGTATATCTAAAAATAGGAACAAGATTCAATCCATTTCAATACACAATTAAGTGTAAGAAATATAACCTAAGATAAGTAAAATGGTTAAAAAATAATTTATAAAAATTCAGAAACGTTGTATTTTGGTGCCTGCAATTTTTAAAGATAATATAAATGGCTTCCAAATTCCGCACGTTTCTACTATAATTAAAAATAATTCTTCTAAAGTAGTTTTGTTCGAGTCGTGACAAAATTCGTGTCTTGGGTGTTTGACTATAGCTTAAAAAGTGAACGGCCGAATGAAACGCCCAGTGAAAGGCATCTGACCATGGCATTTTGCAATAATTAACCGGACTTTATAATTTAATTGCATACCATTTTTTTTCTTTTATAAGTAAACCATTTCTCGAAAAATACTTATAAATTTAAGGTCGTCATAATTTTTAAAATAAATAATAAATAAAAACAATCTTCTGTTACAATCTACGTTTTTTATAGCTTTTTAAGATTGTTGGGATTGAAGTCGCGACTGATTTCTTTGAAAGCTGTCATTTGACCGCCGTCCTTCATCACCCGGCGTAGCCGTGATCGTCTAGTGGTTAGGACCCCACGTTGTGGCCGTGGTAACCCAGGTTCGAATCCTGGTCACGGCAATGTTGAAACAAACATTGTCACGGAGTCGGGTATTTTTTTTATTTGCTTTAATATTTGTTGAAGTTTTTTTTGGGGTTTAAGCCCTAAAGATATATTTGTCCGCCCATCGTCTTAATGTTAAACATTGACTATTTTGTAATCTTCCATAAAGCGATCTTTGAATTTGCTTTTTTTTTTGCTAATTATTGTAGACCACCAAGTGAGCAGCTGCGATTTTGGAATGCCATTTTCTTTTGCTAATTATTATAGACCATCAGGTGACCAGCTGCGATTTTGGAAGACCTGATCCAACAACCCGACGTAGCCGTGATCGTCTAGTGGTTAGGACCCCACGTTGTGGCCGTGGTAACCCAGGTTCGAATCCTGGTCACGGCAATGCTATAATACGCATTGTCACGGAGTCGGGAAATTTTTTTTTACCAGTTTTTGAAAACTTTTCACCCATGAACATTAAAATTTCTTTGCTGAATTTAAAGATCTATTTCACTTGTCTCACCGATACAGGATATATATTTTATTTCTTTTAAACTTAGATTTTTAACAGTAACCCAGGTTTGATCCTTGATATTGCCATTCTATTTTCCCCAAAACTTCAAAAAAGTACGTTATAGCATTATTTGATACATCTGTGCATATTTTGGTTTATATATTTTTAATTTTGATTATTTACAGTTTGCCTCTTTGCATAACATACAGAAGATATAATTATTTAATTATCATAAATTAAACTATTTGAATTACTAAAGCTTATACGGGTTCTGCTGGAAATTGCATCTGGATTTGTGATTTAATGTTATTCTTCAGATAGCATAATAAACACGCGCTCGGGCGGAATGTGAATCCACTTTACTTGGGGCGACATAAATAACAAGAAACAAATTGACACAATTTTGTATTAATAATTACGAAGCTAGCCATTTTCTACAACAAAGGATACAAAATAAAAAGGTCAGGTTAAATTATCTTTTCACACTCCTCTTCACTGCTGGCCGTAGAGCAGCTCCGATCCGGGTGGTATGCTACTGGGATCCACATTTACATTAAAGTAGTTGGCTGGCGTGGCAACGGCGGGAAATGCGGTGGCCATTCCTGGGCCCTGCTGGTGTTGTTGCTGCTGCTGTTGCTGCTGGGGATTTTGTTGCAACGTTAGGTTGTAGGGATTTTGCACATATTCCTGATAGATGTCTGCTGCCGGTCCGGCTCCACCGGTCGTGGCCTGAGCCTCGAATACGGGTGCAAAGCTGTGGACAAGGGATGCCTGTGGCATTTTAGGCAGCGAGGGATAAGCATTTCCGGCCAGCAGATGACTAATTGGCACATTGATGGCAGGATCGCTGGTTTGAGCTGTCAACTGTTGCTGTTGAGCCTGAAGCTGCTGGTAGTACTGTTGGTAGAACAGTTGCTGCTGTTGCTCCAACTGTTCCGCAGCAGTTTCCGATGCCATGGGCACCTCAATGGCGTAACTATTATACGTATTGTTGGTGGTCACGATATTCGTCTGGTGCACAATTGGAACGGGCGGGTCCGCCTCTTGAGGGCTCTGCATGGGCGAGGTGGTAGTGGCCTGCACTACAGCAGCAGTTGCCTCATTCACCAGATCCGGCAGCAATGTGCTGGGTTGCGGGTCCGTCGCCACCGGCTGATGCGGAGGAACAATCAGGGGCTGTCAAATAAATAAAAAATATTAAATAATATACTTAATTTATTTCCTCGAAACCCACCTGGGCGAATACAAAACTAGGCGGCTGCTGTAGTGCATCTGCCATAGGTGGCTGCAGAATAATACTCCGCCTCGGCGATTCCACGGGAGACACCAGGTTGGGGGTAGCTGCCGCCGTACTAGATGCACTCGTTATTAACTCGTTGGAGTAAGCCTCGACTTGGTTGGTCAAGATGGGCGCAGCTGGCACCAAATAGGGTGCACTCGTTACCGACTCGTTACCCAAAGTCTGGACTTGGCTGGGCAAAATTGCCACCGCTGGTACCTGCTGCTGGGGAACGGGAACCACAGCTGCCACAGGAGCTGGGTTCGTTAGGGTCTGTGCACGTTTGCCTGCAAGATGGAGCATATAAATGGGTACCATAACTATTTAATTTGTATACAAATATAAAGAGCGCGTTTGCCTGCAAGATGGAGCATATACATGGGTACCATAACTATTTAATTTGTATAAAAATATAAAGACAAAAAGAGGAAGTCTAAATAAAAAAAAAACTATTCAATTCTTTTTGCCAAATCCCTTGAGGACCTTCAGCTTGGATCTGAACTTAGCCCAGGGTTTCTTGCGCTGCTTGGCTGGAAGGGTCTCACTTTTGGCTGTTACCGTGGGGGAAATCTTGAGACAATGGCTATAAAGCGGCAGGGTTAAGGACTGCTCGATTGTGCCCAGGGAAGGGGCGTATCTAATCTGCGTAAAGTCCAGCGAGATCGCTGGAGAAATTAAGTCTGCTGGTAGGGTAAAAGGTTAAGAGTATTCTACTACGACCGTGTAACACACCTTCATCGCGGAAGAGTTCCTCCTTAAGATTTGGCAGGAATTCACCGATTCGCCGCCAGGTTAGCTCCCAAAGAGCCTGCTGCAGACTGCCATCCTGATTGTGGAAAACTCGCACCGAATGCATCACCAGCAGCATGTTCTTCAGTATTTCTTGCATCTGCTCTGACAGCGTATCCGATCCCACCTTCATAAAGCGCTCAATGTAGTCCAATATATCCAGCCAGAGCTCATTGAAGGCATTTCCTAGTTCGATTAGCGTGGTTAGATGCTGCAGGAACACCTTGGACATGATGGTAGCCGTCCGAATGCGTGACTCCTCTAGAAGAGAGGCATCCAGTTGCCCAGATGCACTGCTCTCTGGCAGCAGTTCGTTCAACAGGGGAAACAGCACCTGGTGGAAACAGGAGCACCATTCTGTGCCGGACAACGTCTGCAGATCGTGCACCAACAATGCCCGCTGCTGCAGGCACGAAATGGCATGGGTGCGCACCTCTCGCCGCCGATCCATGGCCAGTCTGGCAATGCCCTGCAGCAATGGGCACCAGCCAGGTGACCACAAAGCTGCCGATTGTGGGACTGTGCATCCTTCCTCCGCCCACCAGCGGAATATCTGTGCCGTCCGCGTGTACAACGTATACATCAGGTCTAGCAGTTGAATGGACAACTGCTCGTAGCGCTGGGCTAGATCCTCTTGCTCTGCCGCACTCCCATGTCCCTGGTTGTCGGCTGTGTCGCCGGTCAGAAGCAAAAGATTACTGCTCGAGGCGGAGGAAGCCATGCCACCTGGCTTGCGATCGCTGCGCTTCTTAGCACTTCGCTGTTTGGCCGCCGTCTCCAGCTTTCGGCGCTGTCGAATCCCTCCATCCCGGCAGGCCTCCACAAAGATGCGGATGCAGCGAACGCAGGCCTCAAAGTTGTAGGGCGTGATGTGGGCCACACTCCGTACAATGAAGGCAAGCGAGTCCCAGCACTTGAACAAAGCAAACGGTGCGTGGTCTAGTAACTGACAACTGAAGATTAGCGTGTT